AGATTCCTCAACTCATGGTATAGCTAAAGTTTTATATCTAAGTTACTTAACCTTTACAAGTAATTCACAGACATGTTTAGCTTATGCTCAGAAGTTGTTTTTCTTAAACAAGTTTATTTAGACATACGTTTTTGCTGCAAACCTCCATGCACAAATTTTGTGTAAACACGCACATTCATTTCTCCTGAATATTTTTTTAGGAGTGTAACTGCTGGGTAGTATGGGTTGACATGTTGAAGAACTGCCGAGCTATTTGCCAAAGAGACTACATCATTTACATTCTCATCGGCAATGTATGAGAGTTCCAATTTCTCCACATCTAGCGCCTTCCTTTTTATAAGAAACAAAATTCAGAACCCAGTCACACCAGGGACAAAAAGAACAAATATCTATGTTTGCATGTCTTGCATCATTTCTCCCATTCCCAAAGTTTGTAGTCTGTGGTTATTGAATAATCCAAGGGGAAGCATAATGCACCAGTTATTTAGGGTTATAACCGGGACCAATAAGAGCTGCAAGGCTGGAATATGATTTTACCAAAACCTAAACATTCATTTTCTTGTTTGGACTTTGCTGTGAGGTTGAGCAGAAATTTAGCAGAGGCTGCAACGCACCATGCCCGGCCCATCTAACAAGTCTGAAAAAAAAGTTTGCACATTCCAGAGCAAAGCTACCCAAACCCTTTTAGTTTATACCCTTTATCTCACACTGGGTTCCAGTGATTGTAAAACCTCTTCTATCTTACTTAACAGGGAGGGAGGGCTGTTATGGCCCAGTGGTCTTGTTAAACAATACAGGTCAAAACCAGTTCAGGGGCCTCCCCGGTGGGTGGCGCAGCGGTTGAGCGATGGGTTGCGAAGCTGTCCGCAGCCTCTGAGCGCCGGTTCGATCCCTGGCTGCTCCCCGGCCACTGCAGGAGGGTCCCACATGGCGCGCAGACCTCTCCTGCCGCCGCTGCTCCCCTCAGCAGTGTACTTCGGTCTTTCTGCCTGCTCTGCTCCCTGCTCTGGCTTTGGTGAATTCTCTTACCCTCCTGCGCTTCTGACTGTACCCAGTGCTGTATAAAGAAATAAATAAATCTTTAAAAAAAAATAAAAATAAATAAAGTCTCAGCACTATCAAGGAAAATAAAAAGAAAAAAAAACCAAAACCACTTCAGAACCCCATCTGTAAACCCCCACCCACTCTTGCTAAACACACTAATCAGAACCCATCCAGTACTCCAACTCTGAGTCCTTCCCCTTACCCACTCAAAGTAAGCAAGTATTTATGTCAGCAGCCTTAAGACATATGGTGCAATTCTCCTTTGAATCTGCCTGCACACACTCTGAGCATGTACTCTCACCTGCAGTAAAGCTGCACTTTTAAGTCACCTACTCTGACTCCTGCATGAATTCTTTCCTGGGCCTAAGTTAAGAACTCCCCCAGATTCCATCAGTTGGGGACAATTATTCATTTTTAATTGCCTGAGTATAGTTCTAGGCACTAACTAAGAGTTTGTTTGGGACTGTAACATGAGCTTCTCATTTTATAAGTCTAATCAGTATCTGCATCCTGGTGGAGAAAGTCCATCGCCCTAAGGACTCCTTTAATCTTAAGAAGGGTGGCTGGTTTTCCCGAGAGAAAGCCAGACACTTGGGACCTGGGTATCTCTGCACCTGAGATTAGCCACAATTTTCCACCCCCACCCCAGACCAAAGAGATCCAAGACACCAAGAACTACAAATCCCACAATGTCATCACCACAGAAGGGAGGGTTGCTGGGACGTGAGGGTGGACCTAAGCAGCCAGGTTTGGTATATAACCAGACATGTGGGCCTTGGAGGTCCTTGGTTTTTCACCAGCTTTCAGGGTGCTATTGGACTCCCAGCTCAGCATAACTGGTAGGACACATTCACCCATGTATCTCTCTTTCTCCCTGAGTTTTTCTTTTCTCATTTTCCCTTTTTGTAAATAAACCCTTTATTAACCTTTTTGTGTGTGTCTACAGTTGAGTCTCATTATAAGTCCCATTTTAAATGTGCAGGTGATGACCCACAGTCAGGCAACCCATTTCACAAAGGGGTTGCCCTGTAACAATTCTTAATAGGAGAAAGCAGCAGTGTGAGTTAAACAATAAACAGCAACTGAAGCTCAGACTGGGATGAGGGAGATGGGGAAACAACAGAGAGCAGGGAGGGTCCCCTGAAGGCAATGGGACTGCCTTGAGTAGGATGACAGCTTCCTAGCAGCATCCCCAGCCTCCTGGTACAGATCTAAACTTTTAGATCCTGGAGTCAGAATACTTCCATCTGTCACTTCACTCTATCACTTAGCTGTTACTCTACCTTTTTATTGTACTGTACCTTTTTGTAATCAAAGTAATCTTTGTGAAGTGCTTGGAATGCTAGACTGGTACATAGTAAGTGGTAGCTAATATCCAATATTAGCAATTGGGTCCAGATTAACACAGCTCCTGATTTTTCATAGAAAGAAAAGCTGATTATTATGCAAAATTTCTCATTATTTGAAACGTTGGCTTGTTTTTTTAAAGATGTATTTATTATTATTTATTTATTATTTATTAAGTAAATAAATTTATGCATACAAGAATTGGGGTGTAGGCCAGAGGTGTGGGGGGTGAGAGGATTCACTAGAGACAAAGTGGGGAGCAGAACAGACAGATCCACTGAAATGTACTGCTGAGGGGAGCAGGGGGTAAAACAGGAGAGATCTGCTGTGCTATGTGGGTCAGCTCCCTGGCAGGCATCAAACACATCAAACACATGTGGCAGTGGCTGGTGATGGCTTGATAGTGCTGAGACTTTAACCCCTGTGCCACCAGGGATGGCCACGTTGGGTCATGTTTAAAGCAAGGTGGGACTTTGGAGCTTGTGGCCGTACCATCACTCTGATCTGCAGTGTCTTCCACTGTACCCTCACAGCCTTGTTGACAATAGAATGTTGGCCTCACCACCTATCCCTTCTCCTCTGAGCCCCAGAGCCCTGTATACAACGGCTGTATAATCTTTACAGACAAATGTACCAGAGCAACTGCTCGATTTACCCACCCCTCAACTTACAAAATATTCTTCCTTCTGACTCCCTTCTCTCAGGAAATGGCACCACCATACACCATCTTACACCATCTGCTAATGCCAGAGACCTGGCAGTCACCCTCAGTTCTTCTCAACCCTAGTCTCCTTCTTCCAGGGACACCTCCAGTGGTTGTATAGGTGGTTAATGCCCAAGCAGACCTGGTCAAGGAGGGTACTAAAACCCAACTTCTAGTCACCGAGTGCCCCAGTGCAGGGCTGTGTCTGCTTGAAGGATCGGTTGGCTTTTTCTCACTGCCACTTGACTTGCCAGGTCTCAGTCCCTTTCCCTCCTCTCCCCAGTCTACTCCCAGTTCATTACTAAGTCTCTAGGTATCTTCTCTACAATTCTTGCATCTAGCCACATCCTTCCACCTCCACTGTCCTGGCAAAGCCACCCTCATTTTTCATCTGGGTCACTCAAGTTGCTTTCCCAGCTGTCTTGCCGTTTCTTTGTTCACACATACGTCCAGTCATTCCCCACCTATTTTGCCAGGGTAAGTAATCCTTTTAAAAGGGCAAATCATGCACATTATTCCCCTGCTTAAAAACCTTCCATGACTTCCTGTTGTTCTTAGGGTAAAGATAAAAATCTTAACTCATCCCCCTGTGTGCTCTTGCTCCACCTAACTCCTAGCCGCACCCCCAGTCACTCTACTCTTGTTAGGGTGACTATGGGCTTCCCTTGCCTGTCTTAGACTTTACTGTGCCTCAACAGCACCTGCTGCATTCTAATTTCATTCAATATATTTTCAGGGGAGATTTTTCTACCTCCAATTTAAATATGGTCTCCCTGTATTGTGCTTTCTTAGCACCATACCTATTTCCTTCATAGAGTTTGTATCTTTGTTACAGAAATTTACACACTGTGTACATATGTATAAAAATCTGTAGCTATGCTAGTTCTCTTTACGTAATCCAAACTGGGCTCAGTGGTGCTGCCATGGGCACACGATCGTTGAAGGAGACCACTGGCCTTATGGGACTGGACGTATGTGACTCTCCATGGGCTAGGCTATGAATATTGTATGCAAAGATTCTTGATGTTGTTGAGCAAATTCCTTAAGAATGCAGCATAGAGGGGGCCTCCCTGATGGTGTAAGGAGTTAAGATGCAACCTACGAAGCTATCTGCAGCCACTGCACACAAGTTCGATCCGCAGCCAGGGAGCTACCCACATGGTGCAGCAGACCTCTCCTGACTCGCCCACTACTCCCCTCAGCAGTGTATTTCAGTCAATCTGCCTGTTCTGTTTCCCAACTCTGTCTCTGATGAATCCTCTCACTCCCCACACCTCTGGCCTGTACCCCAGTTCTTGTATGCATAAGTAATCTTTAAAAAAAAAAGGAAAGAATGCAGCATATAGGAAGTATATAGAACAGATTACAAATGAAAAGTTGGGCATGGTTAAAGAGGAAACAGATGTTAAAAAATAAGAATATCTTGGGGTAGTGAAATAAAAGCAGTAACTCTTCAGCCTGAAAATGAGCTAAGTCTGGTGAGAAAAATTATACAATGGAAACAATGGGAGCCTTTAGTGGCAAGCCCCTGCCAGCCAATGGAAATAGCCAATATGATGACTTGTGCGCTGATGGGAAACAGATGCAAGTAATGTTCTGTTAAATTTAAAATGTTTCCATGTTATTGACTTTTTATAATAAAAAAATTCAAACGGAAAACATTCAGGAGACATGTTAATGTTGGATATTATGGTAATAGGGACATGAAAATCAATTTTTGATTTGTAAAGTATACATTCAAATTACTTCAAAGATGATATTTCTTTAAGGAGTTTATGGGAAGCTCTGAAAGTTAACTGGAAAAATTCCTATAGATTTTCAATGCAGAGGCCATATTCAAAAGAGGAAGTAACTTTCAGTGGCATCTTCAACACACTTCATTTTTTAATTCTGAATAAAACAGAAAAGGTATTTTATTATTTAAACAAATTTATAGGTCACCGTTTCAAGTTCAAATAGTAAGTAGTAAGAATAAAAGTCATCAAGTTAGAATTCATTGTAACACTTAAGGAACTTGATTTGGTATTTAAAAGAAAGATTTCTTGTTTATAGTGGTAGTTGGGAAAACATTTTGACTCATTTAAGGAAGTTAGCTTTGGGATCCCTAACCCCAATTTTCTTGATTGGTAAAACCGCATCAGGATAGAAGTAGAATTTCTGTAAATAAAAAAAAGTCACATTAAGATTCCTAAAATTTATCAGGTAGACTATATAGAAACATATTATTTGTATAGTTATAACTTCAAAGTAGAATCACTAAGTGGTTTTCACTAAGTCTCCAATATCAGTGCAACTGTGTGTGAAAAAGAAGGTAAATGTTCAAGCAAAGATGCAGTTGGCATGCTCAAGGTTAAGCAAAAAATAAAATTACTTTTCATATGTTCTCAATAAAATAAAATATATTAAAATAAAATCAAATAAATGATCCATACTTTCTCATGGGCTCTCATTCTCACTAGGGACAGGGTTAAACAAACTTGCCAATCAAAGTTACCCGGTTTTAAGCAGTCTCAGTTTGGGTAAATATTTAGTCAATTTCAGTTTACAGTCCCATCAGAACTTTCTTCTCCCCCAGTCTGGATTTCCCAAGATGGCCAATGGGATCAAAGAGAAGTTTTGAGATAGCGGCTGGAGAAGTCACAGACTGTGTGCAGAGCTGTGAGCTGGAGTATGGGTCCTCAGTGCCCTCAGCTGCCATGTCCCTAGTCATCCTAGGTCATCTCGGCCCTGCTGGCATTGTAACCAAACTCAATGGGTCTTTTCTCATGATGGGCATCTGGACTGAATGAAAGATACCACCAAAATGGAGTGCACAAAGGACAAGTATTTACATCCTTGTGACAAGAAAAAGAGACAGCCAGACCAGTGTTTCCAAAGAAACTGTCTCATAGATGAGAAAATGAGGTGGTTATATGGTATTGTTCAGTGTGGGAAGGGGTCTTCAGCAATGTCTTTGTTCCCTATGCTGGATGGTAGCATCATCTGGACCTTATCTTTAGTCAGGGAGATCTGCAAAAATATACTTTCATGCAAACCTGAAAGCTTGTCACATATGATTCTTATCTCAATTAGGTTTTATTTATGATCAAGGAGCTAGTGTACAAGGTGACCTATGCCTGGTGGCTTGGGCCAACAGGGAAAGTTCCCTAATTCTTACTACTGTGTGCTCACAGCATCTGCTGCTGAGGTTGTTGGCTAGCGTGCTCATGATCATTGCTTCAGTACCTTCAGAGTCTGATGTCTCAATTTCGCACTCCCTCCACATCATCCCTGATCCCAGCTGACGTGGGAGCATTCTAACTTTTGCTGGGGTCTTCAGTTCTCCACACCCTTATGTTCTTAGCCACATTCTCCAGCCATTCTCTGAAAACCAATCCAGTACAAAGTCTCTGGTTTAGGATAATCTGCGTCCTGGCATTGTGCCCACTGGCCTAGCTATGGCTTCCTAGCTTGCTACTTTCTGGTTGCCTGGCAGACAGCATACAGAGAAACCCAAGTTTCTGGTATACTAGCTGCAAATTGTGGCTACCCAACAGCATTACCTCAAACTCCTCTTCCTTCCCAATGCCACCACCTCTTCCTGAGCCCTGCTTGATGAGAGAGTCTACCAGACTGGGTCTTTCAAGCTAAGGAAGTGGGCTTCCCACAAGCTTAGCTGGATATTTCTCAGGGTTAGAACCCCAAACTGATAACATTGAGTCACTCATCATGATCTTTTACTCTCCCTCTTTCTCCATGAAATGTACTCCTATCTTTCCAGTGCTTATTCTCTGTTGGCTCGTAGATTTAAGGTTCATGGAAGCTTTTCCTGGTCTTTCAGATTAGATTGACAACAAATTGCACAAGGGAAGGAACTGTTTTATTTCTACACCCTCACTTCCTACCACAGCATTTGGCACACAGTGTCAGAACACAGACTAGAAATGCAATAAAAATTTGTGCAGTAAGTATTGTTAATATCTTTACCTCTAGTAGACCTTAAGGTCAGGAGGCCATGGGTGACATATTATAAATCCCTTGATTCCCTCATCATGCAGGATTTTGGAGTCAGCTCCTGGACCTACTATTTAGTCATTCTTCGTTCAACAAATACTTTTTGAGTGCAAATACTGTGTACAGTGTAAGGCACTTGCTACTGGAGATATAAATAAATCATTTAAAACATTTATATTAAATACATCAAAAAATCATAAAACATAAGCAATTATATATAAAACATAAGCAATTATAAAGTAAGCCTCTTCTAAACCTACCATTAAGCTCCCATGGTAAATCTTTACATAGTGAGAAGAAATGATTAAAGAAGGAGACAAATATATCCTGGGAGACCAGCTGGAGCCTACAACGATATTATACATATGGATGATGGGGTCTGGGGCAAAGTGTTATAGGAAGAAGAGGGAAGACTAGGCTCAAGAGGTGTTTGGGGGCCTCCCCTGGTGGCACAGCGGTTGAGCGCTGGGCTGTGAGGGGTTCGATCCCCGGCCGCTGGCGAAGGTCACACACACACACACAAAAAAAAAAAAAAAAAAAAGCTTTTTGGGGGGAATGCTGGACTTGCTGGCTTGTCACTAAGTAGTTGTGACCTAGGTAAGTCTCAACCTTTCCATGCCTCTGTTTCTGCATCTGCAACATAGATTAGGAACAGTTATTTCTATTCTGAACACCAAGCTTGTTACAAGTTTTCTCTCCCTTTCCCTCCACCCGCCCATCACACACACACACACACACACACACACACACGCACACACACACAGAGTAACTATTGTTATTACGAGGTTGCTTCAGAAATCCAGGAGGAATGAATACTCTGCCACACTTGGGCCAGGACCTCCCCATTTTCTTCCAGGGGGTAACCGACACGTGAAGCGCTCGCCTGGAGACGCCACCGTCCCTCGCAGCTGCAGTAGGTTCGCAACCGCGGCGGCCCGGCCTGGCCCCGCCCACCCTGCGAGCCCCGCCCCCTGCGAGCCCCGCCCCCTGCGAGCCCCGCCCCCGGCCGCGCGCGCCGCCTCCGCCGCTGCGCGCGCCCGCCCCGCCCCCGCTGCTGACGTGAGGGGCCGAGCGGGCCGGGCGGGCTCCGCCGAGCCGTGTGCTTCCGCGGGCTGCGGGGTCGCTGGGGCCTCGTGGCGGGGCGGCTCGGCCGGGCTTCGCCCGTTCCGCCGCCTCCCCCGTGCGCTCCCGCGGCGCCAGGCGGGGCCCGCGCCTCGGCGGGAGATCCGGAGAGCGGGTGAGAGCCGGCGGGAGCGGGATGGGACCGGCAGGGCGCGCGCGCCGCTCTCCGGGGCATTGTCTGGGCGGGGGCGGCGCGGGCACGTGCGCGCCCCTCCCCCCCCCCGGCGCCCCGACCCCCCCCCCCGGGGCCGGCGAGGTGGGGACGGGGCCTGCAGAGGGGAGACGATCGGGAGAGGAGGCTGGGTCGCGGGTGGATGTGTCTGTCGGGGAGTCTCGGAAGCGGGAACCCGGAATTTGGGGGGGGGGGGTGTATTGGGGGGCCTTTTCTAAGCGCTCTCTGAGCGGGGTGCGAGTCCCTTGGGCCTCAGAGCTCAGCTTTCTGCATGTTAGTGAAGCTTGGGGGCCTGTGATGGGATTGGAGGCGAGATTTGGCCCCAGCACCAGCAAGTTGTGGGTTTACCACCAAGAATCCTGGAATCTCCCTCCAACCTGTCGCCATCCCTACCGCCCCTCCCCGGTGGAGGATGAGTCGGATCCAGCAGGTTGGAGGATATTCCAGGAGCAGTGTCCTACCTAATTAAAACACCAGAGGTGTGAGACAGTGTGGGGTCGGAGTGGAAGCTTGGGAAAGTGAGTACTTGGAAGAAAGGCTGGCTGGGTGGATTGTGGCCAGATTGCAGAAGACAATGAGGTTTAAATCATAACCTTGTTATTTCTATCCTGAAAGTAATTATGTTCAAAAATAGAAAGTAGAGGAGGAAAATATCACCAATAACCCTGCAGCCCCGACACATCATTGTTTTAGTGTTTTGCTAGATTTAATTCTAATATTTTTAGGTAAACTTTTAAGATTCTCTGCAGTTTTCCATCCCCTTTCCTCCTCAACATGTAACAGTGCGATGTGATTTGATACAGTATTCAGCAATGTCGTTTCCTCTTAATAAACGAGGAGAAAGTATTCATTAGAGAAAAATGTAAAGAATAGAGGCACGATTAAAAATACCCTTAGTTTTGCTGTCTAGAGATATTATGGAGCGTATATTTTGGTTGTGTACATTCTTTGAAAGATAGGAGCAGCTGATGCCCTGATTAGGAATTTGGAATTTAGTTTTTAAGAGGACCCTTTGAAAGTTTTAAGTAAGGCATGAAGCCTTAAATCGACTGTGTGAAGGAAGGGGGCTGGAGTGGAAGCTGGGAGATCATTAGGATGCTTTTTGCAGGACCTTGGACCAGGACCATGGCCATAGAGATGGAGAAGACTACAAAAGTTAAAATATTTTGGCTATAGCATGAAAAACACTTGGCAGTGAACTGGTGAGGGAAGAACTTTTGATAGTTTGATGCCACTCACTGAGAAGAAGAATGGGAGAGAAATTTGAGGGGGGAATAATCATGAATTCTCTTTTGTATGTTTACATTTGAGATGCACATTAGATGTGAAATGGGTATGTTGAGGAAGTAGTTGGATGTTGTGGATGAGATTTTAGAAACGGAGATTAAAAAAATTGAGAGATTCAGTTCATAGATGATATTTAACAGTATGGGGCTATATGAGATAATTTAGAGAAAGTGTAAATAGAGAAGTGAAAATCAAGGCTCAAGCTCTGGAAGGCAAAGGAAGTGTCAACATAGGAGGGAAGAAACAGCCCGTGAGATGGGAGAAAAAGCAGGAGACTAGGTGTCATGGAAGCCAAGAGAGATACATTTCTGGAAAATGGAGAATTGGATTTGGCAAAGTGGAGGTTACTGTCCAAAGTTCTAGTAGAAGTGGAAGGTGGAAACTGCATTGAAATAGTTGAATGGCACTAAATCTAAATGACCAAGTCAATATGAAGTGAGTATGGATTAGAGAAAAGTAACAGAGTTTCAAGACATCTTATTTCCATCTGCCCCCAAACTAAGTTTGACAGCTGAAAAGTGGTGTCTAGTTTATTTTTCCATTTGTTACTGGCATGTTTGAACCTATTTTATGTTTATTGGCCATCTGTGAATTTATATTCTTGTCCTTTGTGCTTCTTTTTATTTGTGTTTATCATTTTCTGATTGTCAAAAATTCTTTAGATATTAAAAATATGTAGCCTGATATAGAGCTTGCAGAGTTTCCCCCTTTGATTCCTACCCATCTGCTAAGATATGCATGAGTTTATTACAAATACTTTGTCAGAAAGGACATGGTTAATAATGGAAAAACCATGCTTATTTAACTCCTATGTATATTTTGTTTTTCAATTGTGGTAAGATACATGTAACAAAATTTACCACCTTAAGTACTTTTAAGTGTAAATTTTAGTGGTATTAAATACATTCATAACATCGTGCAACCATCTCCACTGTCCATAACTTTTTTCATCTTGTAAAACTGAAACCTTAAAATTCTCAGTTCCTCTTCTCTCTCCACACCCCGCCCCCCAAGCCCCTGGCAGTCTCCATTTTACTATCTCTGATTTTGACTACCTCATATAATTGGCATCATGTGATATTTGTCTTTTTGTGGCTGATGTATTTCATTTAGCATGAAGTCTTCAAGGTTCATCCATGTTGTGGCATGTGTCAAAATTTCCTTCCTTTTAAAGGCTGAATAGTTGTTGCACATAGGTATATGTCACATTTTGTTTATTCATTCATCTGTCAATGAACACTTGGGTTGCATTCATCTTCTGACATGAATAAAGCTAATTCAAATATCTTTTTGAATCCTTGCATTTCTTTGGGGTATGTACCCAGAAATAGAATTGCTGGGCCATATAGTAATTCCATTTATAATTTTTTGAGAAACTGATACACTTTTCCCTAACAACTGCACCATTTTACATCCCCACCAACAGTACACACTGGTTTCAGTTTCTCTGCTGCAGCAGCACTTGTTTTCTGTTTGGGGAATAGTAGACTTCCTAATGGGTGTAAAATTGATAACTCGTAGCAGTTTTGATTTGTCCTTTCCTAATATTGGTGATGTTGAGTATTTTTTCATGTGCTTATATCATCTTTGTATATCATCTTTGAAGAAATGTCTATTCAGATCCTTTGCCCATTTAATTGAGTTGTTTGGCTTTTGTTGAATTTAGGAGTTCTCTCTATTCTAGATATTATCCTTCAGCAGATACATGATTTGCAAATATTTTCTCCATTCTGAGTATGCCTTTTTACTCTGTGGAGCATGTCTTTTGATGCACAAAATTTACAAGTTTTCATCAGGTCCGTTTTGTCTATTTTTTTGATCATCTGTGCCTTTGGTATTATATTTAATAGATCATTGCCAAATCCAATGTTGTGACTCTTTTTGTTACAAGTTTTCTTTTAAGAGTTTTATTATTTTAGGTCTTACATTTAGGTCTTTGATTCATTTTTAGTTAATTTTTGTTCGTGGTTGTTAGTAAGAGTCCAACTTTAATCTTTTGCGTGTCAGCATCTAATTTTTTTAGCACCATTTGGTGAACACTCTCCTTTCATTATTGAATGGTCTTGGCATCCTTGTCAAAAATCATTTAACTCTATGCTGTGATTTATTTCTGGACTCTATTCTAGCTTTTTGGTGAATACATTGTCTTTATGACAGTTCCATATTGTTTTGATTACTGTAGCTCTGAAGTAAGTTTTGAAATCAGGAAGTGTGAGTCCTCCAGTTTAGTTGTTCTTTTTCAGGGTTGTTTTGGTTATTTAGGGTTCCTTGAGATTCTATATGATTTATAGTAGGGGTTTTTTCCTAAATGTTTTTTTCTAAAAGTTTCATTGGGTTTTGACAGGAACTGCACTGAATGTTTCGATGGCTTTGTGATATATTGACCTTTTAATAATACTAGCTTTTACAGTCCATAAACATAGATGCGTTTTATTTATGTCTTTAATTTCTTTCACCAATATTTTGTAGTTTTCATTGTGTAGAACATTCACTTCTCTTGGTCTAAGTTAATCCCTATGTATTTTATTCTTTCTGATGCTATTTTTTTTTTTTTTAAAATTTTTTTTTTTTTTTTAAAGATTTATTTATTTATTTATACAAGCACTGGGTACAGTCAGAAGCGCGGGAGGGTGAGAGAATTCACCGGAGTCAGAGCGGGGAGCAGAGCAGGCAGAAGGACCGAAGAACACTGCTGAGGGGAGCAGCGGGCGGCAGGAGAGGTCTGCGCGCCATGTGGGACCCTCCTCAGGTGGCTGGGGAGCAGCCGGGGATCGAACCGGCGCTGCAGAGGCTGCAGGCAGCTTCGCAACCCAGCGCTCAATCGCTGCGCCACCGGGGAGGCCCTTCTTTCTGATGCTATTATAAGTGGAATTGTTTTTGCCATTTCCTTTTCAGATTGTTTATTGTTTGTATGGAAATGGTAGCGATTTTTGTCTATTTACTTTCTATACTGTTAGTTTGCTGAATTCATTCATTCTAGCATTTGTTTAGCGGACTCTAGGATTTTCTACATATATCACCTCATATTAAAATGCCTTCATTCATTGGATGAATGCATCCATTTGGGTGATTATATAATTTGCTATAGACTACTTCACATTTATAAAGCATATAGGAAGCATAGAATTAATATTTATACTGTAGTTCAGCCCACATGTGATGTGCATCATCCAGTCTTGAGTGTACTTCCTTAGAAATTTTAGAAATGTTTTCTTTTTTTCATTGAACCACAGATTTTCATTTGAGCCTTCACTGCCAGTTTCTCAAGTTGGCCTGCATCTCTCTGCTTTTAACCCTGCCTCCTTTCATTAAGTTTGCTGCACTACTTTCCAATGGAGGGTGAAGGTTGATTTGCTTTTCCCTCGTAAAAAACAAGAGTTATGAGGCAGATTGTTTCTACATCATCTGCTCTGTGGGAGTTTTTGAAGGTTGGAGTGTACTTAATGGATGAGTCAGAATATAATTTGATTCTTGAAGGATAAATAGCAAGCATTTCAGTAAGTAGAGAGAAGGTAGAGGTAAAATGAGAACCATTGGAAGGTAGTTGTGAGATGTTCAGGCATGTGAACTCTGATGACCGCAGACAAGGAGCCATAGAAGAACTAGTTCTCCTCGCCAAAGATTGTTTACTCTGCTTGTCTGAAGAGTGAGCTGTGGGGGTATTTGTGCGGGACACTTGCTATATGGTAATAAAGAAAGCTGTGGATGCATTGGTCATTATCTGTTTTGTTTTTTTAAAGTTACTTTATTTGAGGGCATATATGTATGCTTTTTATTGAGATATAGTCATATAATGTAAAATTCACTATTTAAGAGTGTATATATAATTCATTGGTTTTTAGTATATTCACAGGGCTGTACAACTGTCACTACTGTCTGATTCCATGTTTGCAACGCTTGATAAAGAAGCCCCATACCTTCAATAGTCAATGCCAGCTCCCTTCCCTCTCTCATCTCCTGGAGACCACTTTCCCAATGGATTTTTGGACATTTTCTGTGAATAGAATCATATAATATGAGGCTTTAATATCTGACTTGTTTACTTAGCAAAATACAAAATTCATCCACATTGTTGTGTATATCAGTACTTCATTCCCTTTTATTACTTAATAATTATTCATTTACATGATTATACCACATTTTGTTTTCCAGTCATCAATTAATAGATATTTGCGTTGTTTCTACTTTTCTGAATTTATGAATAATGCTGTTTTAAACATCTGCATGTGAGTTTTTACATGGACATATGTTTTCAATTCTCTTAGATATGTGCCAGGAGTACAATTGCTAGGTCATATAGGAACGACCAAATGGTTTTCCATAGCACCAAGGAGTCCTATTTTGTATTGTTTATACATTTTGGGGGCAGGCTTTATTTAATAGCTATGTGTATATGTTTTTAACAAATGAACTGAGATAAATTGGCATACCACAAACTGCACACATATAAAATACACAGTTTGAAAAGTTTTGACATTGATACCCTCTGAAACCATCACCACAATCAAGATAGTAAACATATCCATCATACTTTCAGATTTTCGTATGTCCTTTCATAATCCCTTCCTGCCTCTCAATTGTTGTGTTCCCCCCCCACCACCACTGATCAGCTTTCTGTCACTATAGACTAGTTTGCCTCTTATGTTAATGGAATCATTGTAGTATATACATTTTTCTTAAGTTGGTTTCTTTCATTTGGCATCATTTTGAGATTAACTTTTATTGTTGCATGTATCATTTTATTCCTTTTTATTAATATCATATGGCTATATTACAACTTTATCCAGTCACCTGTTAATGGGCATTTGGGTTATTTCTTGGTGTTGCCTAGTACAAATAAAGTTGCTGTGAACATTTGTGTACAAGTTTTTTATAAATATCCTTTTTTCTTGAGTAAATACCTAGGGGGTGGGATGACTGGATTAATAGTAAGGTATATTTAACTTTTTAAAAAACTGCTAATCTGTTTTTGAAAGTGGTTGTGCCATATTATATTGAGTATGAAAATTTCAGTTATTCCACATTCTCTGTAGTTCTGTTCTTTTTAACATAAAGAGGAAAAAAAACAGAAAGACACCTATAAACCATCTCCCAGATTAGTCATTTTGGCATTTTCCTCCCTAAAATAATAAATGTATGTGATTAGAAAATTCAAACATTATTGTAAGGAATAAAATGAATGATAACATCTCAACCCAGAAGTGTTAATTTGTTTTAATCATTTCTTCCAAGGAGGCCTACACAAACAACTGAGAACATTCCTTTGGTCTCTTTTCTCTCCTTTAATTTACAAAAGACTCATGTTCTTAACTCTGGGTTGTTTTTATTTGTTTCTTTTTACATTTTATTTTAGAGGTGTCTCTATATTAACACGTTCTTTTTTTCCTCCTTAAATATATCAACACATCCTCTTTCGTGACTGCATTACAGTCTTACAGAAATGTAATCTGTTCTGCTATAAGAAAACACAAATGTGTCCCAATCTGATTGATAAATTAGGGATCTATTTGAGTATAATGTGCGTTTCACATTTGCTCGTGGGTGATTTCTCCTGCAAGAAATACTAGTGAAATACTGAAAACTACCCTGCTGGACTGAACCACAGAAAGAATACACAAGCCACCTAGTCATAAACCTCAGACATCTTCTCGCTACCTCGATTTACTGCTGTGATATGAGCCACACCCTTCCACAGCTTCTCTTGATTTCAGATTGCCTGCCTTCCTTCTGAAACTTGACAGTAACTCACAAACTAACATTTCAGTGCCACTTCCACAAGCAAACTTGGTCTTTTTCAAGAGAAAGTATCATTTGTGTAATTCTTAATCACTTCACATGTGTAACAACTCTGCTACCATTTTTTATTAGATTCCCTTTTTTAAATGTCACTGGTGAAAATTTCAAGTTGTCCCCCAGTCCCATTTCCTGTAGAAGCCTTATGGCTTTTATTATGCAATTTTACACGGCATGGCATGGTGATTTTAAAATGCACACATTATAGCAGAAATTATTTATTCCATAGTATGAATATGTTGTAATTATTTTTACATTTTCTAAGTTGTAAAATACATGGTATATAATAAAGAGCACACATAAGAAGTAGTATTTAAAGAATAATAAAGCAACAAATACCTACTTTGTTACTCCCCATCTTAAGAAATAGAAAATTACCAATACTTTTGAATCTCCTTATATTCTCCTCACTGGTCATTTTATACATTTTTGCATGTCTGAAATATTTGATGTTATAATTAAATTAAATTTAATTTAATTATTAACGACTAATGCCCTCCTCATCCACTAACTGGTCTTTCTAACTGGTTTCCCTGCTAATTGCCCCACTCCGCAAGTATACACAAAGCATGCTATGTATACATACTTGGGGGAGGATAATGTTTAAATAGATTTGCTTAAGATTGCTATAGATTGGATTTATCATTGAGACTTCTTGTAACAGCTTTGTTGAGCTGTAAATCACATACTGTAGAATTCATTCTTTTCAAGTATAAAATTGTGTTTTTTAAAGTATATTCACAAAGTTGTACAACCATCACTATAGCTGATTCCAGAAAAATTTCATCATTGGGTAAATTTTTGTAAATTGGTATATTTTCTAGATTAGATCATGCTGCTCTAAATAAAACAATTTTCTTTTTAAAAATGTTTTATGTTCAAAGGTGCTTACTTCTTTTCTAGACACTCAGCCCAAGATGGAAAGGAAAGTTAGGCCATAGGATTTAATGTCAGTTTAAAAGTGCCCTTTTAGTAAATTGTACAAGATTTTGCCTCAATGTATATATTTTCCCTGACTGTGTTCCAGAGTTTGGCAAAATTGTGATTTGGTCCAATATACCTCTCTTTTCCTTTCCAGTCTGGATTTGTAGACGTTTTGTTTCCTTTTTGCTTCTCTTGGAAAGAGAAATTTTATGGCTTCAACAGCAGAAACAAGAAGACTCATATGAATCAGGTTTGGTTTTAGACAATTGTAGTGGTCTTTGTCTGAAAGTGGCTCCAAGGAAGTCACTGGAAGTTATATGGCACCTCTTCTGCCACTTAGGAAGAATTTATTTTAAATATCTCCAAACCTCTAAATAGCATATAACACTCTGTCCAGAAAAAAGTACATTGAAGTGTTAGGGTAAAAGAAGGGGAAACTTGCCTAAAGTCTGCTTTAGGCAGTTGTTACACTACAGGATAGAAAAGCTGTGGCGTGGATAATTCAGGATAGCTGTTTTTATCCTAAACTTATTTTCATGTTACTTTGCAAGATTGGAGACAGAGTACTGGCTTGAATAGATCCTAGGACTGACCTTATATAGAAACTGTATAATCTTAAGCAATTTTACTTACAAGAGGAAAGTAGGTATTTTTTGGCCTGAATGGTTCCTGGGGCTGATTTTACAGAATACCAACTTGTGTAGTCTTAAGCAATTTTACTTAAGTAGTTTTGTTTGTATGGGAAGTAGGTATGTTTGACTTAGAATATATAATAGTTAATGAAACATTTTTATGAGTTCAGCTTTTCTATCTAGATCTGTTCTTTACAGGTCATTTTGGCATAAAGCGTGATGCCAATGAATAGCCTCTGTCTGCTTCCACCATTCTGGTTCAGTGTAAAATTGTAATTTTTTTTAATTGAAACATAACAGAGGACTTGAAGAAACAGTGATTGACCAGCAAATGAGAGCCTATTTAAATGGTTTGTGTATAACAGCTGACTTAGAATAGTTTTGTTAGTACCAACTTCAATGAAAATAGACCAGAACCTTCTATTTCCCCTTTTAGATTTCCCTTGAGCTAAGTCTTTCTTATAATAGGTTACTTTAAATTGCTTGTACTATTAAAAAAGAAACATAATTTGGGGAGAAAATTAGCTGAGTGTATTTTCAGTTATCTTTATCAGTGGGAGGAATACATGAGTACTCTTCAAATAGAGGGGAAAATTTTAATTGGCTGATATTTTAAAAATTCTTTTGATAGGATTTCTTTATGCCTAATAATGTTATCCAGTATAATATTAAAATGAATATATATTCATAGAGTACATACTGAGTGATCTTTGGGGAGCCTATTTTTAATTTAAAAAATTAATTTATGAAATGGATTACTGAAAATCAGTTGCACCAATATATTCCTAAAGGTTCAGTATTAAATGTATAAATATACAGTGTGAATCACCTTGCTTCTGGATCTCCTCAGTGCTTTTTTATTGCTGGCAGTAAAACTTTCTACTTCTGTTGCACTATTTTAATACCCTGTCAGATTTGATTTGTATCTGTATTCACAGATGAAAACTGGTCTGTCATTTTTCTCTAGGGATACCTTTTGCCACATCTTCATAGGTTTAGATATTATGTTCAATTATTGTTAATTTTTAAGTAGTTTGTTATTTTGAATTGTTTAGAAAGAGTATCATACTTTCCATATCAAAATGAATTTTTGTTTCATATTTCATTTTATTAAGATTGGAATAGGAGTATAACATTTCCACATTTTGCAAAAATTTCTTATCCTATTACAATTTAGAAATGAGTTTTTTATATATATATCTCAAATGGATTCTCTGTTGGGTTCAGAGTTTATGTATCTGTTAAATGTGGCTTCTTAATTGCATCTGTACTTTTATCTGTTGTCTTCTAGGTCTTAAATTTTTCAGAGATGTGTTCAAATTCTCTTACATGCTATTTTCTTAAATTTTTGTATTTCTGGTTTGTTTTGTATTTTGTATATTTTGATGTCTAGTTTCCAACTTTATAATGTGTCTTTTTTAAATAATGTGTCTTTTAACAGTAACAATCTTTATATGTTAAATGTTTTTTTTTAAAAATGTTTTTTTGCCTTATTATGTCTGTTAATGTTATGCTTGCTGTTTATTTGTATCTGTGTATAGTAACTGCATATCTCTTTATTTTATACATTTAGCTATAGTGCCTTTGAATATAGCAAAATCAACATAGATTTTTAAGTATTTTGGAAAAAATGTTGTAAACTAATTGTTATATTCACTTTGGATATTTTGGCTTATATTTTAGTCATTCATTCATTCATTCAGCAGTCATTTATTGATAGCTTCCAGGAACTTTGAAGAGGGAAGTTGGGGATAGCTATGTTGAATAGGGTGATCAAGGAAGGCTTTCTCTGATAAAGTGATATTTGAGCTGGGATCTGATAAAGCTATCTGAGGGGAGGCATTCCATGCATAGGGATTTGTAAGTCCATAAACCCTAAGGAAAGATTGAGGTGTACTTGAGGAACAGAAAGAAAAGCAGTATATCTGGGTCTTAATTATTGAGGATGGAGAGGGAGGTGGGACCTAATTCACCTAAGACTTGTATGTCATTTTAAGGAATGGGATTTTATTGTGTTATGGAAAACAGTTGGAAGATTTCATGCAGGAGATTACATGGTCAGATAGATTTGTGCAATCCTTTTGTAAATTGAAGTAATAGTTTAAATACAGTGAAATACAAAGGTAATAAGTTGGGTGAGTTTTCATAATTGCATATACCCAATGTATTATCTCAAAAAGATCCTTTATTTCCCTTCCCAGTCAGTCCCCACCACCAGCCTCCCCAACCACTATTCATATTTCTTCACCAAAGATTAACTTACCTGTTCTAGACCTTCTATAAATAGAATCATTAGTATGTGTACTTTTTGAGACTCATCCCTGTTGCTTGGATCAGGAGTTCAGTGGGTATACCACACTTTGTTTATCTATTTTCCTGTTTTGTTTTCTGTAGAAGTTTTTGAAATGTTTCTTTGGCTAACAGGAGAATGGATTCTGTCATCCAGATATTTAATAAAGGAACACTGGTTATCCCATTTACAAAAGGGAACTTAGTTTTGTTTGAAAGCAAGATATAGAAAGGACAGGGCAAAAGAATTGACATCTTAGGAACATCTATCTATATGGAAGCAAATGGAAAATAATGTGCTGTCCTCTTCATCTGCCCTGTAAAATTAGATGGGCAAAATTGTCTTGAATGAGAGCACAGAATGCAGTGGTTCTAATGAAATTTAAATGCTGTGAGGGTCATGGAATTTTATATTGAGAAGATACCTCAAATAATACATGGCAGATTGTTCGAGTGCCTTACTTGTCAGATTTTACTTATTCCCCAGCAATTGTCCACATTTTGTAAGATGTGGTATTTGCAAAACAGGATTCTGAATCTTCTTTGTGCACTCAGACCTTTTACCAAGAATTTCTTGTGACTGTATTACTTAATTTTTGGGTTTTTAATTAAGTAATTTCTTTTTTAAATTATTTTTCTTTTGTGGTTCATTTCAATGTTTAAAGCATTAAAAGATTTTGAATTTTGGTTTTTAACATTGTCAAGAACACAGACTTGTTATTTGAACAAAGCAGGTTTTGCTTTCTTACATGATATGTGACAAAACATGTGATTTCTAAATTTGAATCAACAGCATTTACTTTTTTGTAATAAGGCTGTTTTCAGATGAAAACTTTAACTTGGAGGATTTACATTTTTATGTATTTCTGTACTTGAATTTCATCCCACGGAGAAAATCCTTTCTCACGGACAGATTGTAAACAGTAACAGACTTTTAAAAATAGTTTATATTATTACCTCAGTATTTTCAATTTCATCTAATTCAAAATATGAAGTGAATTAGTAGGACATTCTGTTTAAAAGTTTGATATGACAGGACTTAATGACAACTCACATATCTCTTTCATAAATCGCAGATAAGAAGAATCCAAAACTTAACATTATACCATGGGTCTTTGTTACACATTCCATATACTTGTTTATTACATCATGATGAGAGTATGCCTCAGCAGATGTGCTTAGCCTTAGCTAGCATATGCCTAAATGTTCCATGGGTGTACTTTAGAGTTGTTCTTAGTAGACATAAACAAATGTGAATTAGTTTAAAATGCTCAATACAGGACCTCCCTGGTGGCGCAGAGGTTAGAGTCTCAGCACTAACAAGCTATTGCCAGCCACTGTGGCATGAGTTTGATTCCCGGCCAGGGAGCTAACCCATATGGCACAACAGACCTCTCCTATTTCCCTTGCTGTTCTCAGCAGTGTATTTCAGTAGATTTGCCTGTTCTGCTCCCCACTCTGTCTCTGGTGAATCCGCTTACCCCCTGCATCTCTGGCCTACACACCCAGGTCTTGTATGCATAAATAAATAAAAATAATTCTTTGAAAAAGAAATAAAAAAATAAAATGCTCAATACACCTACATCTTCCTATGTTTATCTGAATCTCAAATCTTTAGTCCAAAGGTGACCAAAAAGCATGAAATAAGAATTTTCTTGGCAGCGTAAGTTACCTCATTGATGGTTTCTTCCATTACCCCCACATCCCAATGTACAGCAGATTTCTTTTTTTCCCATTCTGTTTCTTCAGTTATAGAGCCAAAGTCAGAAGAGAGTTTTGCTTCATCCCATAAGTAAGAGTGAAATAAAATGCTGTTCCCTACTAGCATTGTCAACATTTTGGGGGAAGGAACTTACTCATAATCCCCTAAGACTCTTGGAAAACTATAGAGGACAGGTGTGGGCAGGAACAGAGGGCATAGGAATGCATCTGGGTGCAGTCAAAAGAATGTATGTACCTCTGATTCTAATTTTATCTGATAATAGGAGGTAGTTTTTCCCCCCTGCTGCATTAAAGGAAGATTGAGGTTCGTTGATTTTTAAGAATGTGTTCTTTATATAACTGCCCAAGAATTTCTTAAGTTGTCTAAAACTAATTGCAGACCAAATGGAGGTTAAAAGAACAAGACCTTACCTTTCATAAGCTTTATTTTATTTTTTTTAAAGATTTATTTATTTATTTATATAAGCATTGGGTACAGTCAGAAGCGCGGGAGGGTGAGAGAATTCACCAGAGCCAGAGCGGGGAGCAGAGCAGGCAGAAGGACCAAAGTACACTGCTGAGGGGAGCAGCGGGCGGCAGGAGAGGTCTGCGTGCCATGCGGGACCCTCACCCGGTGGCCGGGGAGCAGCCAGGGATCAAACTAGCGCTGCAGAGGCTGAGGGCAGCTTCGCAACCCAGCGCTCAACCGCTGCACCACCTGGGAGGCCCACCTTTCATAAGCTTTAAAAACAGAAAATAGTATTTGAATTTAGAGTCTCTCCAAAATCATGGCAGATAAACGATTATAAACAAACAATACATAGCTTAATTTTGATTAAGAATGCTTATAAATGCTTAGCTTCTTTTAAAAAATTTTTAAGCTTAGGAATATTGTACAAAATAGCAATTATAGGAAAAATGTTCTTTCAGATCTAGGATTTACATATGTCCTTACATGATGAGTCTCTCTCCCAGTTGAGTCAAATAAGTCTTGGAGATGTGAAAGAAGTAAACTAAGAACCAATAGTCTTTTAAATTCTTCCTGTTTTAACTTTGATAAAAAATACTTTGAGTTTACATTTTCATTAATTTTAAAACTTTAACTACCTACCTTTAGGTAGGTAAATAATCTGTCAGTGATAGCAGAGGTTTGGAAATCAGGGAGTACTTCTAGTCTCGTCTGTGTCATACATGAATGCATGTAAATACCCTGGCCAGTGTTTTTCATAGCTGTGTATCAGTATGCCCTCGTGGTGATTGAGTTTTTGAAATGTTGGTATTCCAAATTAAGATATGCTGTAGATATAAAATACCCACTAGATTTCAGTGACTGTACAAAGATAAGGATATGAACTGACTGCTAATTTATTTATATTGATGAATGATAATATTTTGGTTACAGTAATTAAATATATTATGAAAATGAATTTCAACTACTTTTTCCTTTTTAAAAATGTAAAATTTTAAATATACTACATGACTCAAATTATATTTCAGGAACTGCTGGTATGAACAGTGTTTTCTGAATTGCCTCACAAGAAATTAACAGGTGCTCAGTGAGGCATTTTTTGGAAGAGTACTGTGCTGTCCAATATAGTAGCTGCTACCACTGATGGCTGTTAAGTACTTGAAATACAGCTAGCTCTGAAATGTGAAAGATTGAAATATGAAGAAAAGGATCTTTTATTTGATTTTAGCTAACTTTAAATAGCCACAGGTGGAGCAGTGCAGATCTAACGGATTTCTGGGATTGCTTTAGTCAGACATTCATAACTAGGACTTGTTTACCTGTTGCAAATTTGTTTAATATTAATAAAGTTTGTACACTTTGTCTATTATGAATAATAATAAATGATCAGTTGTGATATTTATTGAGTACTTATTAATGTGGTAATATACTATCTGAGTACCAGAGAGATTTGCATAAGTATTTATTGAGACGAACTAATTTGCTTATATTTTGTAATATACTTGATACATTGTGAATTCCAATTCCAATTCTACACTATGTAGACTTACTATGTTTTCATTAAAGTCTGGTTTCTTTCCTTTCCTTAGACAGTCTTTTTTTTTTTTTTTAAAGATTTTATTTATTTATTTATTTATACAAGCACTAGGTACAGTCAGAAGTGCGGGAGGGTGAGAGAATTCACCAGCAACAGAGGAGAGAGCAGAACAGGCAGAAAGGCAAAGTCTGCTGCTGAGGGGAGCAGCGGGAGGCAGAAGAGGTCTGCGTGCCATGTGGGACCCTCGTCCGGTGGCCGGGGATCGAACCGGTGCTGCAGAGGCTGCGGGCAGCTTCGCAACCCAGCGCTCAACTGCTGCGCCACCGGGGAGGCCCTAGACAGTCTTTTCTGAAAAAGCCTGACTCCTTTTCAGACGTATGAACAATGTGCTGTTGCCCTGTTAAAGGATTTTCTTTTGACAGGGAAAGCCATGTTTTTTAACAGGTGGCGGTGGTGGTGGTGGTGGTGGTGATGATTTTTTCTAATAAACATTTGAAGTTAGTACTTTGGTTTTAAAAGGGGTGTGTGCATATTTACACTACTTACAGTATTTTGTAATATTCCCTTTATACATGTGTACACATGAATTTATAATTACTAGTGTCAAGCACTATTATTAATTAATTTCTTGTTGTTTCACAGTGAAAAACAAATGTCACCATGTCTGGAGTCAAGCGAACAATCAAAGAAACTGACCCTGATTATGAGGATGTATCTGTGGCCCTTCCAAATAAACGACATAAAGCAATTGAGAATTCAGGTAGAAATTCACCTGCCTTACGAGATTTTTTTCTTGGTTGACATATTCTTCCCTGTAAGATTTATAAGAACTAATATGAATTATATTTCCCCTATTGTGTGTAATTTTAAGGTTTATCTTAAGTATTTAATGGCGAGGTACCATAAATCACACAAAAGGCAGGTACACAATCAGCGAGTGAAAATGTCAGCAGTGAAAGAGGGTAAAAGTTTTAGCTCTCATTATTTGTTAGGTTTAATCATGAAGTCTGATGTCTGCTTCAGTGTTGTAGCATTGAGGTCATAATAGGTGGTACAAGGATTAGGTTTTCATATTTTAATACTTACATATTATTTTAATGAGTATATAGGAAAAGATAATGATCTTATCAAACTTGTAGTTTCATGACTAGTATTGGGATAAGGTCAGATTATTTAGAAAATTATTATTTAATTGTGTTAATTAGATGTTTCACATGGTTCTCAGATGTTATAGGTATCTTAAGAGGGTGTATGAATGACAGAAATTTGGGAAATAGTGACTTAATTCAGTCCCTGCATTTTGCTCCTGGTGGTTAAGTTGAGGCTCAGAGGAGTTAAATTACTTGCCCAAGATCATATAATTAATTGAAGAGCAAATCATCAACTGTGTCTATAGTTACCAAAGATTATTTTAAGCTAACTCAGAAAAAAAAGTTGCTAAATCTGAGTGTTTTAAGCAAATTATTGTTGAATTCATTACTATTTATTTATAAAACTGTAAATCTTCAGGCTTGTTTATTTAAAAAAATCATTTTCAGGCTTTCAGCTCTTTTCTGTTCTCTGGTATCCAGCTACATTTCATATTGATATTTTTAACTCTTTGAGTTTCATATTACTTTGAGTAATTATCTGAATTATAGCCTCTTCAGAGCCATTTTTTTTCCTGGTGATCAGAAACCACTTATAGCATGGTAAAGAAGGCTTCAAAGTCATGGATAAGATACTGCAGATTAGGATCCTTACAGTTTAAGTGGTGATGAGGAAAATTCCTTTCTGTAAACAGTCAACTCATATATACCCTCCAAAAGTCACTGTGGACTGAAAATTTTCGAGTCCAGTTCCAAATGATAATAGCATTTCACTGCAGCTTTCCCCCTCATTCAGTTGTAATTTTATTTGGTAGGAAGTGTTATTTCCTTTCACTAATAAGCTAAATAAATGTGAAAATATAAAATTTAAATCCATTAATTACTCAAATGCACCACTTGGTATAACTTTTTTTTAAATAAAAATGAGAATGTAGAAAACTGTTCTAATAAACATCATAATTTCAGTTTAAATCTAAGTTCCTAAAGACTCAGCCTAAGTGGGGACAGTTACTGAATGACAATTTGCTATTCTTCCTCTTGGTGTCCATATTGTACCTAACACCAAACCAGATTTTACGTATCAGAATTTTTCTTTTTTTTTTTTTATTTTAAAGATTTATTTACATAAGAACTAGGGTATAGGACAGATGTGCAGGAGGGTGAGAGGATTTACCAGAGAGAGAGTGGGAGCAGAACAGAGGCAGACAGACCAAAGACACTGCTGAGGGGAGCAGCAGACGTGACAGGAGAGGTCTGCCGCGCCATGTGGGTTTCTCCCCAGCTGGCTGGAAATCGAACCAGTGCTGCAGATGCTGCGGACAGCTTCACAGCGCTGTGCTCAACCCACTGCGCCACCTGGGAGGCCCTTATCAGAATTATTCTCAGAGTATATTTGATGAACTGTTTCCCTTGATTTACAGTGTTTGTTGTTTTTACTTATTCCATAACAGATAATTTAAAAATGTATAAGGAAAGTCAGTCTTTTGCCTGTGTGCAGACATATCCATGAGAATGCTTACACCATTACTAGTTTTAATTGTTATTCTAATGGCTTTTTAGCAGGGGAGAACATGGGTGATTAAAGAGTCCAAATTTTCTGTGCAGTTTTTCATATACTCCACAGCATTAGTAGTGATTTTTTTTTTCATATTACAATACAAACACAGGAACATTTTACAGAATCACAGGTTTTTAAAGTAATCATTCTGCTCTTCATTTTTTTATTCTCTTATATCCAGCTCCATTTCATACACTAGATTTGCTGTTTGTGTTGCATATTAATTTGAATAGTTATCATCTGAATTGTATTAACTTCATTGGTATTTTCTTTCCTTTTGAATTAATTCTTTGTCCATTCCTTTTGGTTGTTGTGATCAGAAATGTTGAATTTCTTGCTTGATCCTTTTCTCTCGAAAGAGAACACTTCTCCCTTCTATGAGTTGCTTTCGTGTCGTAGACTACTTCTCCTCAGCTAACTCTTTACCTTCTCCTTGGGGGTGTGGTTTTTGAAAAATCACAATCCTCGTGGATTTCTTTTTTCGTTTTTGGTAATTTAATTTTGATAAAATTTCAATTGGAAAAATTTCAAGGAGCGTACTGGTCATATGTCTACTCTTCGGAGTAGTTCATCATCATCATTTGTTTACATTTTGCCTCATTTCGTTTATCATTCTCCCCTGCCTCCAAATGCACATACACACACCACACAGACACAGATGTGTATGCATGCATGCCTGCAGATTTATGTGCACATTATTCTTTCTAAATTAATACTGAAAAATAAATTGGACACTTATATAAGCATTTCTGATTATTTCCTAAGGACACTGTCTTGTGTAACCACAATGCACTTATCAAAAGCAGGAAACTTTCAACATTTACATTACCTTACCTATGCAAGTTTTACCAGTTGTCCCAGTATTATATTTTATAAGTATTTCCTCCTTTCCATTGCAGTCTAGGATCACACACAGTACATTTAATTGTTATAGCTCTACAGTTTCTTTTAACCTCCTCAACCTTTCTTTGTCATTCTTGACTTCAATACTTCAGTAGTACAGGCCAATTATTTTCAGTTTATGTTTGTCTGATGTTTCTGGTGATTAGAATCTGCATTAATGGCAGGAGTGCTTTGGGGTGATGTAGTCTTCTCTAAACATTATATTAGAAAATTCAAGGTTAGTTTGACCCAGTGTTAGTGATGTTAGCTTCACAGGTTACAGTAATGGCCACTAGGTTTCATCACTTCCCTGAGTTTCTTTTTTTCCTTGTGGACTTCAAGCAAAGTCTAATCCAAGTCTTAATTAGACTTTGAATTATTTTCTATTCTTTGTACAGCTCGAGATGCTGCTGTGCAGAAGATTGAGACTATTATCAAGGAACAATTTGCGCTTGAAATGAAGAATAAGGAACATGAAATTGAAGTCATTGACCAGGTATAATAATAAAATAAAATAAAATAAATTAAAAGGCTTTGAAAAAAATCTGTGCATAATGTAATGAAAAAATATTGACATAGAGTCATGGTTTGTAGTTCCTTCTTTTGCTTTACTTATTTATAAAGAGAGCTTTCTCCTTTTTGGGGGGGAGAACCATGCTTTTTTTTTCTTTAAATGAAATTGCAGAAAAAGAGTGGGAAAAATCACCTAAAACTCCATCTCAGAAGAAAATTCACCTGTGTTGTGTTCAGTGTCTACATTGTGGACATTTCTCAGTACGCATATATATATATACACATAAATAAATATTAATAAATCTATATACTCTTGCAAACATTGATCGATTTCTTTTGTTTTTTCATTTATTATTAGAGAAGTTGAGCTTTGTCATTTGCATTTCTTATTTTGTGAATTGTTTATATCTCGTTAACATTTGTTTTTAGCGACTGATTGAGGCAAGAAGGATGATGGATAAACTTCGTGCCTGTATTGTTGCAAACTACTATGCTTCTGCAGGCCTTCTAAAAGTTACTGAGGTAAGTTTTCTTCAAATGTAGTCATTCTGACCACCCGTATTGATTGTGTGAAAGGGAAATTAGTATTGATATAGAGTCCCCGCCTTTGAAACTTTCTTATAATGGCCTTTTGTACTCAAGAAGCCTACCCTCCTGGGAAGCCTACCTTCCATGAATTTATATTTATCATCATGTTCAACCATAATTCTTACATCATAGCTCTGTAATACTAAGTAGCTTTTTTTCCTTTTTACGTGATCCTCCTCCTGGTTATTAGCATTGTTGCTAAGCTTTGCAGATACAAAGGTGAGTAAGGACCCTGTTGTAATTTGTCATATTCCTTTTTATTTAATTATTGTAGGTTTTTGAGGGAGTTATTATCACTTCTAAACTAAATAGCAGTTGATTTTCCTCTCAAGTTTTAATGTTAATAAATGGCAATTTTTAGTTTAAGATTTAACCTATTAAGAATCCCTGACTTTTTCCCCCTACATTTTATGAAAAATTTCAACTATACAGAAAAGGTGAAATATGCACCTGTTTATGAATCACTTAGATTCACAATTTTGCGCTGCCATATTTACTTTATCTATGTTACTTTTTTCCTAAAACAATTGAAAATAGGTTCTAGCATCATGACACTTCGCCACTAAATACTAATGTATTCCCTAAAAGGATTCCTCTATGTAGTCACAGTACTTAAGAGAATTATTCTTTTATATTGTCTGATAACCACCCCATGTTTAAATTTTCCCAATTGTTTCCAAAATATCTTTTCAGGCTGGTTTGTTTGAAATCAGGACTCTTAGATACCTAGGAGTGGAATTGCTGGATCATATGGAAACTCCATTTTTAGCAGGTTGAGGAAACTCCACACAACTTTCCATAGTGGTTGCACCAGTTTGCACTCCCACCAGCAGTGCAGTAGAGTTCCTTTTTCTCTACATCCTCGCAGACATAACATATCCCTTTTTTAAGCATTATCTAGTTAGAACTGATGCTCCTTTTGTATTCAATGAGTGCTGGCTCAGTAAGAATGGTCGATGATCTTGAGGGAAGGGAGTATGGTGGCCAATTACTTTGCATCATTCCCTGTGGTTTTTGCAGATAAAAGGTACCTGTCATGTTTATTAGGTTTTCCAATCATCTCATCGAGCTTTAGGGTAGTTGGTATTGATTCTCCTCATCTCTTAGAGAAACTGGAGCAATATTTGAGTTGAGTCTTAGATGGTAGATAAATGCTTCTATTGCAAGCGTTTCCAAATACATACTAGAGTCTGACTGCTTTTCTAGAGCTACCTTAACAAATTATCACATCTTGGTAACTTAAAACAATAGGAATTTTCCATCTCATCAATCTGGAGACCAGCGTTCCAAAATCAGGGTGTGGGACTATGAATTCTTCTTCTAGGAATCTTGTCTTCTCTAGCTTCTTGTGGTTGTTGGCGACCTTTGGTCTGTAGCTGCATCACTTTCAGTTTTTGCCTCCATCTGCTGCACCTCCCCCTGCAGTGACCCTCAGGGCTAATGGCTGTTGCCATGGTCCCTGAGGTCCGGCGTGGGCAAGGAACCATGTGCGCAGGGGGAGAACAGCAAACTCCCTAAGATGCAGAGAAGCCGAATGCCTGCCAAGAGATAACGACCACCAGAAGCTGCCACAAAGATGATTAAAAGAAATGCTGACCACCTGGAACCTTATCTCGCTTTCTCAAGGCCCACAAACTTTATTCTGCTACAACTATCTTTCTAAAATCTTTCCTTTTTCTGTCATTGATTGCTAATTAAAAAACATATGTAATTTAATAATTAGGCTAATGCAAATGAAACATTACTAAACACTGTGTTATAATAGAATTATTAGTTTAATAATCTTTCTATTATGTGCTTGACTTTAGTACCTTTGATATTAACTGCATTATAATATAAATTCACCCATGACAATTAATTATGAGTAAACATAAGTAGGTAATAGTAGTAGTAATTAGTACAAGAATATAGAAAGAGTTAATAGCCTGTCTACTTAGGAATGCAGCTAGGTCCAGATGTATTTTGGACATAAATCACTGCCCTGTCAATGATAAGCTAAACCTATGAGCAAACTGATTTCTTTGATGTTCACTGTTCTATGCCTTTAGAAAAAACATATATACTGACCACCGACTCAAATAAAAGTGCACTCAGATTTACACTCTCTCTTGAAGTGTGTCTGTTTGTCATTTCTTTAACCGAATCCCTGACCACCCTGCGCAGTCTCTCAACCCTGAGACGGCCTCATCGTCTACTGCTGTGCTGGTCCGCGGCATCCATCTTCATGTGGACTTTTTCCCTTTAATTTGTTACTTTAATTTTGAAACACACAGCTGGCTCCTTTTTGCTTGCTAAAGCATAGTATTTTAATAGCACAATTTTTAAAAGCTGAGCTTCCTTCTAAGTATAATATATCCTGTTAGAACAGAATACATTTTATTTTGTATGCAAGTTATAAGATACATAAAAACACCCTAGGCTTCAATATTGGACAGGGCAAGCTTTATATATCAGTGTTAATCATTTCTAAGCATATATCCTGCATGTTATAGCTATGTGGGAATCATTTTACATATCTTTAATTTACATTTCCTATAGAAATATTTTGTTTAGAGCAGTTGATGTGTTTGTACAAAGCATGTGAGACATTTTTTAAGTAAAATATTATTTTCCATATGTTTCTACATATTTTTATTTTTCATTTACCTCCATCTTTAGCTTTTAGTGTTAGGACCTTTGCATAATAATTTACCATTTTCTAGTTTTTGTTTTCTTGGATCAGACTACGTTAGGGCATTTAGACTTCATTTTGTGGATGTAGAGAGGTTTGAAATATTTTAAACATGATCCTGAAATAGATACAGGTTTGGGAAAGAAATAATTTTGCCAACTTCCGATGATTTTGATTAAAAGTTTGTTTTTGTTTGTTTGCTTTTTCAGGGATCAAAGACATGTGATACAATGGTTTTTAATCATCCTGCTATCAAGAAATTTTTAGAATCACCATCTAGGTCATCATCTCCTGCTAATCAGAGATCAGAAACACCATCAGCCAATCATTCAGAAAGTGATTCTCTGTCTCAACACAATGACTTCTTGTCTGATAAAGACAATAGTAGCAGTATGGATATAGAGGAAAGACTCTCAAACAACATGGAGCAGAGACCTACCCGAAATACTGGAAGGGTACAGTTGGATTGATGGGAGGGAGTCAAAGGAAAAGGGAACTAATAGTTTTGGGTTTTTTGCTTTTTTTTTTTTTTTTTTTTGCTGTCATAAAATAGTTTTATTAATAACTTTTTTCCTTTTTTTATTTAAATTTTATTTTTATATTCCCCATACAATTACAACCCCCTTATTTTGACCCCTATGTCTCCTTTCCCTGTCCCCCACCCTCCATAGAGTGTCTCTGGTTCATAGTTGTTGGTTGATTTTGATATTTTCTTTCTTATAGTTATTTTTTTTTCCTGGTCCCTTATTTAAGTTTTCTAGATTCCTTCTATGAGTGAGCCCATCCGGTATTTTTCTTTTTCTTTCTGGCTTATTTCGCTGAGCATGATCCCTTCCAGCTCCATCCATGTTGCTGCAAATTGCATGTGTTTATCTTTTTTGAATGCTGAGTAATATTCCATGGTGTATATATACATCTTCTTGATCCAGTTGTTAGGGGGAAAAAAATGCCCTAAAACTAATTCCATACAGGCTTTGTGGACTCCACCCCCACCCCAGGCCAAAGCCAGAGACACTAAAAACTCCAAATCCCATCACCACCAAAAAAAAAGTAACTGAGACCTAAGAGTAAGGTTAAGCAGCCAGGTTGATATAAAAGACAGACACATGAGCTTTAGAGGATCCCCATTTTGGCTCTCCACCAGCTCACAACGTCCGGCCAGCTCTGTGTGTAAAAACCCACAACCAAAAACCCGTTCAATATCAAGACTGTTCTATAACACAGTCATCTATTTTTGGGCATTTGGGTTGTTTCCAAAGCTTAGCTATTGTAAATAGTGCTACTATAAACATAGGCGTGCAGGTGCTCTTTGGAATTGATGTTTCTGTGTCCTTTGGGTAAATACCTAGGAGTGGAATTGCTGGATCATATGGAAGCTCTATGTTTAGTAGGTCAAGAAGTCTCCATGCAGCTCTCCATAGTGGTTGGATCAGTTTGCACTCCCACCAACAGTGCAGGAGAGTTCCTTTTTCTCCACAACCTCGCCAACATTTGTTGTTGCTAGTTTTTTTAATATGTGCCATTCTCATTGGTGTAAGATGGTATCTCATTGTAGTTTTGATTTGCATTTCCCTGATTACAAGTGATGTTGAACATTTTTTCATATGCCTGTTGGCCATTTGCATTTCCTCTTCAGAGAAGTTTCTTTGTAGCTCTTCTGCCCATTTTTTGACAAGATTATTTTCTTTGTTTTTGTTGAGTCTCATCAGCTCTTTGTAGATTTTTGTGATCAGTCCTTTATCATTAGTGTTGGGTGCAAAAATGTTCTCCTAGTCGGTGGGGGGGAACTAATACTTATTAAGTATGCGTATGTTGTCTTGTTTAATCTTTGTAGAAACCTTAGGGAACAAGCTAATTATAGTTCCCTTTTAGAAATGGGGAAAATGGTGCCTCCCTGGTGGTGTACAGGTTAAGTCTCAGTGCCATCACGATTGTGGCCTGAGTTAGTGGCCAGGGAGCAAACCCGCATGTAGCACAACAGACCTCTCCTGTCTCACCTGCTGCTCATCTTGGCAGTGTGTTCCATGGGTCTGCCTGTTCTGCTCCCTACTCTGTCTCTGGTGAATCCTCTCAACCCCTATACTTCTGGCCTACACTCCAGTTCTTCTATGAATAAATAAATCTTATAAAAAAAACGAAATGGGGCAACTTAATCTCAGTGAGTTTATATTTGACCAACAGTATCAGAACCTAGAATTAAATCTGGGCCTTCTCTAATTTCAGGATTCACATCTCTTGTGCATGGCACAACCCTTAAATGCCGTTAATGTAGATATAAAAGACACCTTCACGAGCTGACAGTGCTATGAACTTGCCCAAGCTCTACCTACTCTGTCATGTTTTTTCTCTCAAGGGCAATGGCTTTTTAGCACTTTTTTCTTAAACTTTACATTCTAAAATGCTTTAGTAATTGGTGCAAGTTTGACAAATAATGGAATTAAAAAACATTTATTATTATTCTGTCCTGCCAGTTTGTTGGTTGAGTTTCCATCTCAAGTGAACTTCTTGTTACATTTTGCTATAAACTCCTTTTTGGATGAGACCAGTGTTTTTACTGATAGAGGAAATTGGCAGGTTGCTTGCCACCTACTTGGACATCAAGAATTTGAATTTGATTTACTTTTGATAAATTCCTGATTATAAGTTCATATGTGTTCATTGTTGAAAATTATGAAATACAAAAAATTAAAAGTGATTCATAATGCCACAACCTCCAAAATCAGAACTCAATGTTTGGGTTTACTTATCTCTTTCTAGTGTTATTTCTGGGCAAATACTGCATCTGGTTTTCTTTTTTTTAAATATATAAAGCATTTAGATCATACTGGCCATAGGATTCAGAAACGTGCCATCTCTTATGTAATATGCTTGCTGATGTTTATATCACAAATAATTTAGCACTTACTTTATACGAGGCACTTTTGTAAGAACTGTACAAAACAACAAAACAGATTCTGTGAGATAGGTACTATTATCCTTTTTTTTCTAGATGAGGAAAATGAGACAGAGAAGTTAAGTAATTACCCAAATTACACATGTACTAAATGGAAGAGCCAGGATTTGGACTCTGGCTGTCTGTCTCCATAATGAAACTTTTAATTTATCATCATGTGTTTATAGTCTCACTGAAAAATTTTAAATAGTACAAAAGATTGAGAAAAGAGTAAATTCTTTCAACTCCTTTCCCTATTCCTATTTCCCAGAGATAACCATTATAATAGTTTTTTTTAAATCCTTCCACATTTTGTTTGCATATAAGAAATAGATAGGTGACTATTAAGAGCTCACCCACCTGCAAAGGGAATTGTAGTATACAAGCTCATTATATTAACTAGTATAGAAATTAGAGTAAAATTATTTTTCCATGCTCTGAGACGTACCATAAGGCCAGAGAATTTTGTAATAAAAACAACACATTTCTGAGTTAATCTGTTATACGTAGATGATTTTATGGTATCTGCCTATTGAAAATATTCCAAAATGAAAATGGATTGTGATTTCTTTCAGGACACTTCTAGTATTACCGGCTCCCATAAAACAGAGCAGCGGAATGCTGATCTCACAGGCGATGAGACGTCACGACTTTTTGTAAAGAAAACAATAGTAGTGGGTAATGTGTCTAAGTGAGTATCCTACTGAATTGCCTCATTTTCACTCATACATTTATGTGACTATTTTTGCATACTCTTAACATAGTATTACAGTAAAGTGACCAAAGGGGTTGTTTTCCCCAAACTTTCAGCTGTCGCAAAGATATAGCTAGGTCCAGAGACTTGAGACTCTCTCTCAGTGTTTCTGCTGATTTTTGATGTAGAGTAGAATTGTATTTGATGAGAATATTTTAAGACATGAGCTTTTACACAAATGGTGTATTTCATTAAGCATGTCAGTATGAATAAGTTTGGAGGAGCTGTTTGATTTCTTCTGACCTGGTTCTATTCCTAGGGACCTTACCTAATTTCTAAAAATGTTTATTTGGTTTCCTAAACTGAAAAGTTTTTAATTTGTAATAACAGATTGCAGAGCAGATCTTAAGCAGAATTCCTGCAAGCTAGAGGACTATTTCTTTAATAATATAAACTCATGTCATTTTTGTGGGTACAGCATCATTTTTGTGAAGTGCCTAGGAATGGATAAAGATATTATGTCTTCAAAAAGCACCCAATATTTTCCTCATAGTCTTTATTTGCTTTTTTCCTTCCTCATTAGGTATATTTTCTCTGTTCTTTTGTCATTTTTATCCTATTTTATAGTCATTACCTATTTTCATATATATTTTCCAGATCACACTAGAATCTCTTCAGGGTAGAAAGTGTATCTTGTTTTTGTACCTTACATTGCTTGATATTCAGTAAATATTTGATTGATGAATAAATTGATATATTTATGAAAATTGTAACTAGATCCAATTGTTGAAAATGAAGTTTTGGGATTACAGTATTTATTTGGAGGTATGGTGGAATCAGAATGGAAAAGTAAGCCACAGTTAATGAACAACTAATAACAAACAAGAAATGCATGAAAAATTTCAGGATATTAAAAATAAAGATTCTTAATGGTTTACATGATATATTTAAATAGTAACAAGAAATATGATTAAAGCAATTATTTTTTTCTATAGATTATTTCAGAGTTAGTGTACGTTCTGCTAAAAAGACTAATAGTTCATGTGAAGTATTAGAATATTGGGGTCTTAACTACAGTACAAGACAGGTCAGTCCAGAAAAGGTGCAAAATTAGGTATCCAGGTAGATGCACAAGGGCACAAGATGATTAAGAAGACATAACCATTAATATTTTCAAACCACTTGGCCTAGAGTTTTTTGCTTTTTGGGTTTTTAAAAAAACAAATAGGTCTAAAATATTTGTTAAGCATAGATTTTAAGTGAAGGGGGAATGATTGACTTGACAGTTTTCCAAGGTGTTGTGTTGTGTTTTGTTTTGTTTCATTTTGGGAGGAGTAAATACTGGTTTACTTTAGATTTTAAGAATGCTTATATAGAGATTTTAAGAATGCAATACAGCATATCTGAGATAACTGAGATAGATAGAGATTAAAACTTGCAAGGGGTTACAAATTGAATAAAAATTGATTTCAAAATAAGGTAAGCAGGCACTAAAGGTGAGATTTAGAGAAGAGAAAATAACAAGACAAATACTGTAAAATAATTTAGTAGCAGATCCAAATATATCAACATTGATAAAATTGTATATGAAGTTAACTAGTGAAAGATGAAAATTGTTAGACTGAGATAAGGCAACCTAAAATTCAGCTTCCCATTGTTTGTTCTTGACACATCAAAATGCAAAAAAAGATTAAAAGTAAGCAGAGAGGTAAAAAAAAGAGCTGTCAGACACTAATTTAAAGAAAGTCAAATAATTTTTGTTGAGCATCCTTTCATGAACCTGTTGGCCATCAATAGGAAGACTCAGTATTGTAAAGACAACATTTCTCCCCAAATTGATATGTAGATATTTTAATTCAAATCCCATTAGGGTTCATGAAATTCACAAGTAAGTTCTTATATATGGAAGTTCAAAGGGTCAATATTAGAAAAGAACACACCTGAAGGGCCTCCCTGGTGGTGCAGGCAGTTGAGTGCAACACTGTGAAGCTGTCTGCAGCCTCTGCAGTGCTGGTTTGATCCCTGCCGGCCGCGAAGCAACCCATATGGTGAGGCAGACCTCTCCTGTCTCGCCCGCTGCTCCCCGCAGCAGTGTATTTCAGTCATTCTGCCTTTTCTGTTCCCCACTCTGTCTCTGGTGAATCCTCTCACCCTCCCGCACATCTGGCCTGTACCCCGGTTCCTGTATAAATAAATAAAATAAATCTTAGAAAAAAAGAAAATGTCTCTTTTTCTTAAAAAAATAAATAAAAGAACAACCTGAAGAAGAATACGTTGGGCAGCTTGACCCACTGCATTACAAAGAATGATAATTATAGCCATAGGTGATGTATAGAAGGCCATGGCCATCTTTTCCAAGAGAATGTAATAAGGGAGCTTCATCAAATAAAGTTAGAGCCTTTTAGTTTTTTCATGGTTGGTACTCTTAGAGCTTTTAAAAAGCAAGAGACGAGTTGTGATCTTACTGGCAAAATGAGTAGGACCCAGAAGAGTTCAGAGTTCTAGAACCTTGAAACTTGAATAAATGAAGTCTACCCAAAGGCTGTCATTTCCCTAACTTATGAATAAAATGTTAGCTTATTTCTACCTTCTATATCCACTTGGCTGAAAAAACTAGATTTTTTAAAAAAAAAATTAATTGCATGCTAATAATCAGATAAGAAACTTTAAGGGAAAGTCCCTTAGACCAAATAGAGGTATTAAGAAAAAGGATTAACTGCAAAGACTGGTTAGCTGTTAAGTACTGCTGCAATTTTAATCTTTTTTTAATTAAAAGTTTGTTTTCCATTTTATTTTTGTGTATTTGACAAAACTGTAAGGTCTCTAAAGTAGACATGATGATTTGATATGCTTATACACTATCCCATTAGTGAGTTAACTCATACATTACCTCAATTATTTTTTTGTTTTGATCAGAACATTTTAAGTTTTCCTCTCTTAGCAAGTTTCAGTTGTACAGTATAGTTGTGAATTATAGTTACCATGTCATATATTAGATCCTTAGACCTTACTGAGAAATGTTGTACTGTTACTAGCTCCCTATTTGTCCCATCCTCTGTCCCCTGAAAACCACTTCTTTTTTTTTTTTCAGTCTAAACACTTTTATGGTTATGTAAGCAATTAACAAACATATCCCCAATCTCAAAGAGAGGATAGTCAGGTTCCACATTTTTAAAGGAAGACTGTAAAACATTGTCTATATACTATAAAAACATCTTGCATATACGATCTATCTTTATTGACACAAATTAAGTACAAAAAAGCCCATATTTTCCTCCTTAATTTGTTTTACATAATATATTTTGGATTTAATGCTAAATCAACAATAAGAGATAAATTTGTTTGTTTTGTTTTAGACTGACATAGTACTCCCTTGTAAGGATAAATATACCATTATTTAACTAGCATTATCATTTTGGCTATATTCCCCATACAATTGTACCCCCCCTTATTTTGACCCTAGTCCTTCCTCTTCTCTTCCCTCCCCCTCCCCCACAGTGTGTCTCTGGTTTATAGTTGTGTGTTGATTTTGATTTTTACTTTCTATTAATTAAGTCTTTTGGAAACCACTTCTTTACTCCCTTTTTCTATGGGTTTGGTAGTTTTTAGTAGATTCTATATATACTGATAAAATACAGTATTTGTCTTTTTCTGTTAGGCTTATTTCTCTTAGCATAATTTCCTCAAGGTCCATCCATGTTTTCATGAGTGTGTGTGTGTGTGTGTGTGTGTGTTTTACCTTTATCTATTCATTCATTGACAAACACTTAGGTTGTCTCCATATCTTAACTGCTGTGAATAATGCTGGATTGAACATAGGAATGCAGCTGGTTCCTTCATAATCCTGTTTTCATTTGCTTTGGATATAGGCTCAGTAATGGGGAAGTTCTACTTTTAATTTGTTTTGGAAGTGCTATACTGTTTTTCATATAAACTACACCAATTTTCATTCCCACCAGTTGTATACAAAATGTTCCATTTCCTCCACATCCTATAAACACTTGCTACCTCTTGTCTTGTAGATCATAGCCATTCTAACAGGTATAAGGTGATCTCATTTTAGTTTTGATTTTGCATTTTCCTGGTGATTACTTTTGTTGAGCATCCTTTCATTACCTGCTGGCCATTTGTATGTCTTTGGGAAAATGTCCAGTTTTGGTTTTTTTTATTTAAAGATTTATTCAGGGCCTCCCCGGTGGCGCAGCGGTTGAGCGCTGGGTTGCGAAGCTGCCCGCAGCCTCTGCAGCGCCGGTTTGATCCCCGGATGCTCCCCGGCCACCGGAGGAGGGTCCCACATGGCGCTCAGACCTCTCCTGCCACCCGCTGCTCCCCTCAGCAGTGTACTTCGGTCCTTCTGTCTGCTCTGCTCCCTGCTCTGGCTCTGGTGAATTCTCTCACCCTCCTGCGCTTCTGACTGTACCCAGTGCTTGCATAAATAAATAAATAAATCTTAAAAATAAAATAAAATAAATCTTAAAAAAAAAGATTTATTCATATAAGAGCTGGGGTACAGGCCAGAGGTGCAAGAGAATGAGAGGGTTTACCAGAGACAGAGCCAGGAGCAGAACAGGCAGATGACTGAAAGCGCTGCTGAGGGGAACAGCGGGTGAGATAGGAGAGGTCTGCCGTGCCGTGTGGGTATCTCCCTGGCCGGCTGGGGATCGAACCTGCCCTGCAGAGGCTGCAGACAGCTTCATAGTGCTGTGCTCAACTCCACTGCGCCACCTGGGAGGCCCAAAATGTCCAGTTTTTTTATCATCTCTTAATCCAGTTGTTTTTTTTTTTTTTTCTTTCCTTTATTGCTATTGAATTTTTTTTTTTTTTTTTTTTTTTTTTTGGTGGGACCCTTGCTGGTGGCTGGGGATTGAACTGGCGCTACAGAGGCTGTGGGCAGCCTCGCAACCCAGCGCTCAACCACTGCGCCACTGGGGGAGGCCCTGAATTTTGTTTATTCTTTATATATTTTGGATATTAACCCTTTAATCAGATAAATGTTTTGCAAATATTTTCTCCCATTCCATAGGTTGCCTTTTCATTTTGTTGATGGCTTCCTTTGCTATGCAGAAGCTTTTGAGTTTATGTATTCTCACTTGTCTGTGTTGCCTTTGCTTTTGTTATCAAATCCAAAAAACATTATCAAGACCAACATCAAGTAGCTTATTACTCCCTGTGTTTTCTTCCAGAAGTTTTATGGCTTCAGGTCTTACTTTTAAGCCTTTAATCCATTTTCAGTTATATTTTAATGTGTTTGGTGTAGATAGAGGTGTGATTTCATTCTTGTGTGCGTGTGTTGTCCAGTTTTCTCAGTGCCATTATTAAAGAAACTGTCCTTTCCCCAATATATATTCTTGGCTCCTTTTTTTGTAAATGAATTGACTATATAAATGTGGGTCTATTTCTGAACTCAGTTCTTTTCTACTAATCTGTATGTCTGTTTGTTTTTTAAAGATTTATTTATTTATACAAGCATTGGGTACAGTCAGAAGCGCAGGAGGGTGAGAGAATTCACCAGAGCCAGAGCAGGGAGCAGAACAGGCAGACTGATGAAATACACTGCTGAGGGGAGCGGTGGGTGCCACAGGAGAGGTCTGCACACCATGTGGGACCCTCGCCGGAGCCAGGGATTGAACCGGCTCTGCAGAGGCTGCAGGCAGCTTCACAGCCCAACGCTCAACTGCTGCGCCACTGGGGAGGCCCTATTTGTTTGTTTTTAAGATTTATTTATGTATGCATACAAGAACTGGGGTATAGGCCAGAGGTGTGGGGAGTGAGAAGATTCATCAGAGACAGAGTGGGGAACAGAACTGCTGAGGGGAGCAGTGGACAAGCCAGGAGAGGTCTGCTGCACCATGTGGGTAGCTCCCTGGCTATGGATCAAACTTGTGCTGCAATGGCTGCAGATAGCTTCATAGGTTGCGTCTTAACCCCTTGCGCCACCAGGGAGGCCCTGTATGTCTGTTTTATGTCAATACCATACTGTTTTTGATTTCTCTAGCTTTGTGAAATAGTTTGAAATCAGAAAATATGATGTTTCTACTTTGTTCTTATTTGTCAAGATTGCTTTGGCTGAATTATTCAGTGTTTTGAATTCAGTGTTTTGAATTCCATATTAATTTTAAGGTTCTACATTTGTGGGAAAAAAATACTTTTGGAATCTTGATAGGAATTGCCTTTAAACTGTAGATCACTTTGGGTAATATGGACATTTTAACTAGTCTTCCAATCCATGGACACAGATACCTTTACATTTGTGTTCATCAGTGTCTTGCAGTTTTCTGTGTACAGATCTTTGAGATCCTTGGTTATTTATTCTGAATTATTTTACTCTTTTTGATGCAATTGTAAATAGGATTGTTAAATTTTCCTTCTGATAGCTGATTGTTAATGTATAGAAGCACAACTGAGTTTTGTGTTCAGATTTTATATCCTGCTTCGTTACTGAATTTGCTTCTTCTCAATCTTTTGGTGGGTTTTTCAAGGTTTTCTATATATAATACCCTGTCGTAAGCAAATAGCAACAGTTTTCTGATGTTTTCTCTTCTGATATTGATGCCTTTTCCTTTTCTTGCTGAATAGCTTTGGCCAGGACTTCCAGTACTGTGTTGAATAAAAACGATGAGAGTATGCATCCTTGTCTTGTTCTTGATCTAAAAGGAAAAACTTTCAGCTTTTACCATTGTGTATGATATTAGCTGTGGGCTTGTCATATTTGACCTCTGTTATGTTGGGACATTCTACCCCATTTGTTGACTTTCATCATGAATGATTGTTAAATTTTGTCAGATGCTTTTGTGTGTCTACTGAGATGATAATTTCATTTTCATTGTTTGTTTTGTTAATGTGTTATATCACATCAGTTGGTTTACAGATGTGGAACCATCCTTGTAGCCCTGTAGTGATCCTTCTTGAACATGGTGTGCAGACCTTTTAATGTACTTTTGAATCTCTTAAGATTATGCTGACGGTTTTTGTATCTATGGTCATTGGGGGTATTGGCCTCTATTTTTTTTTCTTGCAGTGTCCTATTTAGTTTTGGTATTATTGTAGTGTTGGCCTCATAAGTTGAATTTGAAAGTGTTCACTCTTTATTTTTTGAAATAGTTTGCAGAGGATTGGTATTAATTTTTCTTTAAATGTTTGATAGACTTCATCAGTGATGCCATCTGGTCCTGGACTTTCATTAGTTGGGAGGCTTTTGATAACTGATTAACTGTCCTTACTAATAGTTGTCCGTTCAGATATGCTATTTTTTGCTAGGTTTTGTGTTTATAAGAATTTATCCCTTTCTTCTGCATTGTCTAATTTGTTGGCATATAGTTACTCAGTCTCTAAGGATCCTTTGCTTTTGTGTGCTATCAGTTGTAATGTCTTCTGTTTCACTTATACTTTTATTTATTTTAAGCCTCTTCTTTTTCTTGGTAAGGCTTGCTGTAGGTTTAACAATTTTATCTTTTTTAAAAAACCAGGTCTCAGTTTCATTGATCTTTTTACTCTTTCATTTATTTCCATTCTGATCTTTTATTTCCTTCCATCATTAACTTTTAGCTTAGTTTGTTCTTTTTCTGTTCCTCAAAGTATAGTTATGTTGCTTGAGAGCTTTCTTTTTTCTTTTTTTAAAGGACATCCTCAGGTTTTTTTTTTTTTGTTTGTTTTGTTATTTTTTAAAGATTTTATTTATTTATTTATACAAGTATTGGGTACAGTCAGAAGCGCAGGAGGGTGAGAGAATTCACCAGAGCCAGAGCGGGGAGCAGAACAGGCAGAAGGACTGAAGTACACTGTTGAGAGGAGCAGCAGGCGGCCTGAGAGGTCTGCGCACCATGTGGGACCCTCCTCCGGTGGCCAGGGAGCAGCCAGGGATCGAACTGGTGCTGCAGAGGCTGCGGGCAGCTTCGCAACCCAGCGCTCAAACGCTGCGCCACTGGGGAGGCCCGCTTTCTTTTTTCTTAACATAGTTATTTACTGATATAAACTTCTCTTTGACAATTGCTTTTGCTGCTTATCATAAGTTTTGGTATGTTGTATTTTCATTTTCATTTGTCACAAGATAATTTTTGATTTCCCTTTTTGATTTCTTCTTTGAGCCATTGTTATTCTGTAGTATGTTGTTTAATCTCCATATATTTGTGAATTTCACAGTTTTGTTCTTATAGTTAATGTTTAATCATCTTAAATAGCAGTTAATTGTTTTTGTTAGGTTTTTTGAAGAAAAAAATAATTCAAGGTTTTTTTTTTTCTCCTCTAGGTATATTCCTCCTGATAAGAGAGAAGAAAATGACCAGTCGACTCATAAGTGGATGGTATATGTCCGAGGGTCTCGTAGAGAACCCAGTATTAATCATTTTGTCAAGAAAGTTTGGTTCTTTCTTCATCCCAGCTATAAACCAAATGACCTTGTAGAAGTTAGGTAAGCACTCTTGAGTTATTTTACCTAAAGAGTAAAGATTTATTGAAGTGGAAAAAAGGTGATTTAAATTAGGAACACTCCTTGGGAATTATTCTATTAATAATTTACCCAGTTTTGGCTCTTAGTCACAATGTAGTTTTAGCTGTGTTTCCCTTTGCTATATTACTATCTCAATGAACAGGTATTGTCCCCCTGTTCAGAGTGTTACCATGTTACCATAAAAAATTATATTTGTTCCTTCTGCTCCTGTCTGGAAATAGCTAAAACTGTTGATGTGGTTAAAGATAAATATTAAAATGTTGTTTCTTTATGAATGAGAACATAACAGAATTATAATATTCCAGAAATATTTAATATTGAGGTTTCCCATGATCTCATTCTCAAAGTAACCCCAAGTGATTTTTTTTTTTTAAAGATTTATTTACTTATGCTTACAAGTACTGGGGTATAGGCCAGAGGTGTGGAGGTGAGAGGATTCACCAGAGACAGAGTGGAGAATAGAACAGGCAGATTTACTGAAATACACTGCTGAGGGGAGCAGTGGGCGAGTCAGGAGAGGTCTGCTGCACCATGTGGGTTGCTCCCTGGCCAGCCAGGAATCGAACTCGTGCTGCAGAGGCTGTGGATTTCTCCACAGTGTGGTGCTCAACCCCTTGCACCACCAGGGAGGCCCCATTCTGTATTTTTCTAGTAAAGTTTTTTAAAGCCCTCTATTATGTGATTTTTTTCTTCTTGGCTGTCATACATTTCACATTCTTTGAGGAATCTAGATGTACAGAAGTCTGTTTAGGGGAGGCAGTCATTTTTTTTGTGTGAAATACATCTCTTGGGGTATAATATTTCCATTGGTGATAGCTTATCTGTTGGTAGACCTTACATTCCTCTTTCACCTCCAAATATATGGTCATAGAAGAATTTCCTGCTGAAAAGCTTCGTTCCTTGTCCTGAATATGGAGTGTATTAGTCTGTCTTCCTGGCAGCAATCTACTATGTCCATTCACTCAAGTTTAGACTATGTACATAAATTGAATACAGCTAATCTGCTATATTCATTGTGAAAGAAATTTAGCATACAAGTAGTATATTTGGTGCATATTGCATAATGAATTCTAGACTATTTATTTAGCTTTACTGGAATTAAAGAAACTAAACTTCTCATCAGTATAATTTCCTTTAATTAAGTGTTCCATACCCATAAACCCCAATGCTTTGGATCCCTTTTCAAATTCCTATCTCAGATTGCCTTTTCATTTGACCCCAAGCCTATTATTTAGTTTCTGCTGAATCTGTGTTAACATCTTCTGGGACCTTCTCTTAGTAACTCAGCCTGGTATTCAACTCTTTCTTGGATCCAGGGCACTCCTAATTTTCTTTTTTCTTTTCTTTTCTTTCTTTTTTTTTTTTTTTTTTTGTTGTTGCTTTCTCTAATTTGCAAGCTACTCTCAAACTCAGGGATGATCACCTCACTCACTAGTCTGTCTTGGTCTTGGGCACTCCTGTAGTCTCTGACTCTGTGTTGTTAGACTTCTCTCTGGCTGTGCTCCTAAACCTGCCATTACTGAATTCATGATTCTCCTTCGTTTTCCAGAAGCATCCTACTGAAAATTCCTTTCTTCCTGCAATCTTGGCTTCTCTCATTACAGTGATTCCAAGGGAATGATTCATATGAACAATTTCATTTTAAAGGCATTCTCTCTTCCCCCATTAGCTTAAACCATATTATTTTGGAGTACTTAAATGTCTTACAGTTAAATGTTAGCAGTATACATTATGGAAAATTTCAAACATGTACAAAAGCCCAGCATATTGAATCCACATGTACCCAGCACCAAATACTAAGTTTGCCAGTCTTTCTTAATCACTTTTCCTTTTCTTCCTTTCTCAAATTACGTTTTGAATGAAATTTTTTCAGTCCAGCTAGCATCTACACACAATCCTCTCTATCCACTAAAATTTTTGTCACTGTTTAGCAAACATCTAACCGTGAATATAAGGTCTTTTAAGTCCTTTAGGCAGACAGTTTCAAATAAATTGTCTCTTTCACATTGAGCAATCACGATTTAGTTTTTTTCCAGATTAGAGGAATATGTATGAGTGTCTGGGACAGGGAATATATACATCACAACATGTATCTGTCAAGTGCCAGTCAAGGATTCTGGCTCTATTACTGTGACAGGCATCCAACTAACATATTCCCTGTCTGAAAATAATGACATTGGATTATGTGGTATAAGTTTCTTAGCTCCAAGTATTAAGAAATTTGAAGTTTAATATAGATTTAAGTTTAATTTTTATAGTTCAGCATTTTACCAAAACTTCAGTATGTTGAGCTTCAAATAAGGAAACCTAAAAGGATTGTAGGAGGGATGTGAATTTCTAACTTACCCATTATAAAGGAACTTTTCCTCTTTAGAATGAGAGAGTGTGGGCTAATGTATAAGTATGTTTTTTCCTAGAGAGCCACCTTTTCACCTGACCAGAAGAGGCTGGGGTGAGTTTCCTGTCAGAGTTCAAGTTCACTTTAAGGACAGCCAGAACAAGCGGATAGATATCATACATAACCTGAAGGTATTGTAACAAAACACTGCTCACCAGAAATGAAGTGTCTCTTTCACATGCTACTGATAGCAGGAGTGTTAGGTGCTCTTAGAGAAGTGGCCAAGGAGAGTGAAGCAGGATAAATCCTTTTGAATGTGTTCTGCATACAGCCATACCACTCCTTTGTCCTTTGAACATTAGCAGAGGGGTCACTTCACAGCACAATGTCTGTTTGCCAGATAATAAGAAAACTTAGATCTGTGGTTAGGCCTTATGGTTGTTGTATACTTGGGGCTATGTAACTGAAATCTTTTATTTTTCACTCTATTTACTTTCCTAAAATATAAATAGATATTAAGAAATACATATATTTCTTAATATAACTAAGACAATTACAAACCTTGTCTGTTTATCTCATGAGGGTGAAGAATTTGTTTATCTCCTAAAGCTAAAGATAGAAGTGAACATGTTTTAGAAAATATTAAGTACTATACAAGGTTGTAATACTGCAGTATTGTAAAAAATTCTTCACTGATTTGTCTACGTGGTTTATTATGTTGCCATTAGTAATTGTATTTTATGAAGTGCTTTCAATGAAGAAAACTACTATTATGCTATTTGAAAAATACAGGATATAAAACTATAATATGAAGTCAACTATGACAGTAAATAGGTGGAAAAGCCAACAGAAGTATACCAAAATGTTAGAGTAATTAAATATTGACATTGTGGGCAATTTTCCCTGTCCTTTTTGTTTGCTTTCTTTTAATATTTTTACAATTTTATATGGTAAACATAATTAACTTCCATAGTTGAACAATTGATTTTTTTTTTAAGTTCCCCTAAACCTTTCTGTAGTGGTCTTATGTACATTTTTCCTATATAAGATAGAATCCTAATATTGAACTTTTCCCAGACTGCCCTTATTTTGTGGATTACTATACTGTTCCCATTAATGGCTTCCAAACTGAACTGAGTACATCTGCAGAATTTTTTTGTTCTCTTTGTCCTGTAGTTGCTCTGTTTCAACCTTAAGGTATGCTGAAATGTGCCCCCCACTGGCAATAGGCAGCACTGCCTATTGAATTCATGTTTGTTATTTTTTAGAGATTACTGTAATGCTATATTGCAATATGACTTCAGAGAAGAACTGAAACCAAATAAAGAACATACAGCTACCTTGTTCAGAGGGGCAGAATATGGTCCCACTTATTTAGAGGAAGATCTAAAATAGTTTCACTTTCCTTTAATTTTACTTCAGCACTACACATCTTATGTTACAGTGGGCCCAGTTCTAATCCCTAAAATAAAGGAAACTATCGATTAAGTTTTTGCATGTCTTTTTATTTATATAACAGGGTTGTTGGTGGAAAATTGAGATAAATTGTTTTTAAATTACAGTATTTAAAATACAGGTTTTCTGGAAAACTTAATATTTCTGTTTTGAACTGGTTGAACCCAAGACTGTAGACACCTGGGCTGTGACCACATGATCTTTATTTGTACTGGAGTATCATTCTCTATTATTTCTATGTTAACTCTCAGGGCCATTTTTGATTCTTACCCCTGTTGTATTCTTTTAGTTGCAAACCATTAATTTTTCTTCATGATCTTTGTAATATTCTACTGCTTGCCCTCGCTCACTCTTTTTAGGCCGTTCTACTCTGTCTCCTCATTACTTTCTTTAGTTCTAACCTGTCACTTTTCCCCTCCATCCAGTCTAATGACCTCAGATTAGTCTTAAAGAAGGACAACCTCACGGCTGTTCCTGTCTGAGAAACCTTGATTGAATTCCTCTTATTCAAATTCAAACTCCTCTTCCTACCTACATTTTGATTCAGCATACTTCCCCCTAAATTACTTTTTACTGATCCACTGTATGAACATCCTCCTCCAGCCAAATCAGTCTGTTCATGTCCCAGAAATTCATGTCCTCCTCTTTATTCATGTTCTTTCCTACCTCAAATCTATATTTGATTTTTTCCATTTGTCAAGTTCCTGTGTAACATTCCCTGACTATGTAACCCTGGCTATGTAACCCCCGCAGTAGTCTCTATATTCTGAAATTCCATTGTATATAACAATTTATATTTGATACTATAATAATTATATTAAATAGTAAATACTCTTAAGTATTAGATTATATGAAATTCAAAGTTACCAGGGTGTATAAAATTCTTGTTTCCAGTTTCCCTGACTCTCAGCTACCACCATGAAGCACAGTAATTCCCCAAACAACTCATTTATCCATTTAGTAAATATCCTTTCAGAAGGTTCTTTCATAAATTTCAATAAATTTACCTAAAACTGCCGCCTCTCCTTCTTTAAGAAAAAAAAACTTGATCTCATTTGTCCTACTTTGAGTTCTGGAATTGAACAGAATAAGATTTTGTTTTGTTCTTAAGGACTGTAAAAGTGTTTAATGGTTGCCTTCACCTCTCTCCTTAAATTGTTTCTTTTCCAAGCAAAACCTGTTGTTGTTTTTTTTTTTTTTTTTTTAGTATTTCCAAACTTTATTAATTAAAATACATAAAGGACATGCAGAGAGAGGATTTTATTTTAATGAACATACAGACTTAATCCTTTGTCATATAGAATCAAATCTATCTGTATCTGGAGTGAAGTATAATTTTGGTTTGCTTTATATGCAGCATGATTCAGGAGTTTTTATTATATACGAATTTTATGGTGATGGAATTAAAATGAAAGTGACTAATCTTTTTTAAACATGGCAACTGATGTTTTGTGCATTATTTTTATTCTTTTTTTAATTTAAATTTTATTTTTATATTCCCCATACAATTACAACCCCCTTATTTTTACCCTAAGCCCTCCTTTCCCCGCCTCCCACCCCCCATATAGTGTCTCTTGTTCATAGTTATTTGTTGATTTTGATATTTTCTTTCTTATAGTTATTCTTTTTCCTGGTCCCTTATTTAAGTTTTCTAGATACCTGCTATGAGTGAGACCATCCGGTATTTTTCTTTTTCTTTCTGGCTTATTTCGCTGAGCATGATCCCTTCCAGCGCCATCCATGTTGCTGCAAATTGCATGTGTTTATCTTTTTTGAATGCTGAGTAATATTCCATGGTATATATGTACCACATCTTCTTGATCCAGTCATCTATTTTGGGGCATTTGGGCTGTTTCCAAAGCTTAGCTATTGTAAATAGTGCTGCTATAAACATAGGGGTGCAGGTGCTCTTTGGAATTGATGTTTCTGTGTCCTTTGGGTAAATACCTAGGAGTGGAATGGCTGGATCCTATGGAAGCTCTATGTTTAGTAGGTCAATAAATCTCCACACAGCTCTCCATAGTGGTTGGACCAGTTTGCACTCCCACCAACAGTGCAGGAGAGTTCCTTTTTCTCCACAACCTCGCCAACATTTGTTGTTGCTATTTTTTTTAATATGTGCCATTCTCACTGGTGTAAGATGGTATCACATAGTAGTTTTGATTTGCATTTCCCTGATTACAAGTGATCAAAACCTGTTCTTATAACATTTCCTGTATATGATGCTTTCCAGTGTCTCTTAATGTTTTGATAATAGTTCTGTTTATCAACATTCCTTGTCTATGTGGTTCTAAGAATGAAAGGTGGGCCGGTACAGGTTACAGAAAAACGTTATTTTTCTGTGCTCTGGAGGATATGAAAATGAATGTGACTGTAAATTACCTTTTTAACAGGTTTCTATTGGCTAGGTTTCTATTGAATAGTAATATTGGCTCAAGTTTCTGTTGAAGTGATGAATTGATAGTTCACATTTGGAAAAAACAGATACTATGTTATGAAGACTTGTGGAGAAAGGGGTGTTAGATAAGGTTGTAGCCTAAGTTTTGTAAGTAGACATTGTGAAACTTACCACTTTTCCTTTTGTCTTTCAATAGCTGGATAGAACTTACACTGGCTTGCAAACTCTTGGAGCAGAAACGGTAGGTTTTTTTCCTATTATTTGGGAACAAGTAGAATGAAAATTGATCTTCATTTTTAATTAGGAAGGGGAAAAAATGCTAAAATTTTTTAGAAGTTTATCTGCACGATTTTTTTTTAAGAATTGTGATAAAGTATACATAATATTTGGCACCTTAGCTATTTTTAAGTATATAGTTAAGTGTATTAAATATATTTTCGTTTGTGTAGCCATTGCTACCATCTATGTCTAGAATTCTTTTCATATTAGAAAACCAAAATTCTATACTTTAACAATAAATAACTCCATTCATATCTGCATTCTTACAAATTTGACTCCTCTAAGTACCATGTAAGTGGAATCACAGTGTTTGTCTCCTTGTGACCGGCATATATTTCACTTAGTATAATGCTGTCAAGGTTTATCAGTGTTGTAGCATGCATCAGGATTTCCTTCCTTAAAAGGCTGAATAATATTCTGTTGCATATATTTATCACATTTTGTTTGTTTATCCATCAGTGAGTACTTGAGTTGCTTACATCTTTTGACTTGTGTAAATAATAATGCTCACATCATAGTTGTGCAAATATCTGTTTGAATTCCAGATTTTAGTTCTTTGGGTATATCCCCAGAAGTGGAATTTATAAATCATGTGTTTTTTTTTTTAATTTTGAGAAGCCGTCACATAACAGCTGAACCATTTTTACATTCCTGTCAGTGGTGCACAAGAGTTCCAATGCCAGGCGCCTCCCAGGTGGCCTAGGGTTAAGTCTTAGCTCTATCACCAATATGGCCTGAGTTCGAAAACCAGACAGGGAGCTAACCCACATATGGCACAGCAGACCTCTACTTTCTTGTCTGCTACTCCCCTCAGCAGTGAATTTCAATCAATCTGCCTGTTCTGCTCCCCACTCTGTCTCTGGTGAATCCTCCCACCCCAACACCTCTGGCCTACACCTTAGTTCTTCTATGCAAAAATTAAAACAATTTAAAAAAAAAAAAACCTTTAAAAAAAAGTTCCAGTGTCTCTACATCTTTGCCAAACACTTGTCACCTTGTTTTGTTTTGTTTTGTTTTGTTTTGTTTTTTCTGATAAGAGCCAGCCTAATGAGTGTGGTGGTTTGGGTTTACATTTCCCTAGTAGTTATTGATGCTGAGCATCTTGTCATTTGTATATCTTCTTTGGAGCAATCAATGTCTGTTTGAATCATTTGCCCATTTTTAAATTGGGTTGTGTGGGGTTTTTGGTTGAGTTATAGTTCTTTCTGTTTTCTCTTTATTAATCCCTTATCAGAGATACTATGAGCAAATTATTTTCTCCCATTTTGTGCCTTGCCTTTTTACTCTGTTGATTGTGTTCTGAGGCACAGAAGTTTTAATTTTTGATGTAGTCCAATTTATCTATTTTTTCCTTTTGTAGCCTGTGCTTTTAGTGTCATATCTAAGAAATCATTGCTGAATCCTGAGTCATGAAGCTTTGCCCTATATCTTCTTCTATGAGTTGTATTGTTTTAGTCTTGGGTTTAGGTCTTTGATTCATTTTGAAAAGTTAAAATTCGTATATGGTATATGGTAATGGTCCAGCTTCATTCTAATGCAAGTGGATATCTAGTTTTCCAGCACCATTTGTTGAACAAACTGTCCTATTCCCATTGAATGGTCTTAGCACCTTTTTCAAAATTAATTTGACCATATATATGAGGACACATGCATTCTGTTCCAGTGGTCTATATTTCTTGGTGCTTCTATCACACAGTTTTGACTACTATAGCTTTGTAATAAGGTTTTGAAACCAGAAAGTGTGAGTCTTTCAACTTTGATGTTCCTCCCCACCCCTTTTTTTAGGGGGGGTGTATTGATGATATATCAGCATTAGTCATTCTTATTAGAATTAGTTAAACTTTACTTGGAGAAATATGATTATACTGTAACTATTAAAGTTATTTATTAAACATATACAATATGCTAGACATTGGTCCAAGTGTTGGGGATAATAAATGAATAAAATTGGGCCTCCCCTGGTGGCACAGGTGGTTGAGCGCCACGCTGTGAAGCTGTCCGCAGCCTCTGCAGCACTGGTTCGATCCCCGCTGGTCAGCAAGGGTCCCACATGGCACGACAGACCTTTCCTCTTGCTCCCGCTGCTCCCCTCAGCAGTGTATTTCATCAGTCTGCCTGTTCTGTTCCCTGCTCTGTCTCTGGTGAATCCTCTCACCCTCCCACACATATGGACTGTACCCTGGTTCTTGTATAAATAAATAAATAAATCTTTAAAAAAATAAATGAATGAATAAAATCGTTACTATACTTAAAGAGTTCATTTCTTGGTTGTGTTGAGAATGAAAAGAAAGATGAACGGTAAACATAAAAGAAAAAAAGGTAATTTCTGTTATAGATAAGAAAGGGGCAGTCAGGCAAAGATTTGAAGTAATGTTCTAAGGTATAGAAGTAGCAAATGAAAAGATCCCAAATTTGTATTGAGTTATCTATTAAGCCAGACTAGATTCCAATTCTAGGATAATTTCTTTAGATTTTGAGATTGAAGTTGCCTTTGGAGAATGATTAGAAATAATTTGTCACATCCCTTAGAGTACCCCATTCTTAGACAGCTTTTAGGCTTTCTCTGACATCAATGATGGATTCATGAGCCCAATTGTTGCCTGGTTGTGTAGGTAGTGGATGTTGAGCTCCACCGGCATTCTCTTGGAGAAGACTCCGTTTATCCTCAGTCCTCTGAGTCAGACATTTCTGATGCCCCGCCATCTTTGCCTTTAACCATTCCAGCACCAGTGAAAGCCTCCTCACCAATAAAGCAGTCACATGAGCCAGTACCTGATACCTCTGTAGAGAAAGGTAATATCCTTTTCCTTGTATGGAAATGCAATTTTTTTTATGGAGGTACGCCATAAAAAATGGAGGCATTCCTTTCTCCCATTTTTATAATATGATACTGAGCTGCTTCCTTCAGAGATTTAGATTATATGGAAAGCAAAGTTTGCTTAAGTAGGCATGTTGCTTCTGCTGCACAGTCCTATTATGAAAATAATCAAATCCTTACTTTTATCAGAAAAAAGGTTTTCTTAAAGTCCTGACATTTTATAGAAAGAAAACTTAGTAAGAGTCATTTCTCATTTTTTTAATGATCGTAATGGTTTTTTACAGTTTACAGGAAGGTTTTCCTAGTTCAATCCTTAAATGTATGAATGAGAAGTTGAATATTATCTAGTCTTATTTAAAATACAATCTAAGATTCATCATCAACACATTATTTGACTATGGCATGTTTTCCATTCAATAAATATACAAGTATAAAATCAGTCTTATATACTTGTAGGTATATAAGATGCAAAACCAATTCTGACTTGTATTAATTTTATATGAGTACCATATAATGTGTTATTAATATCTTAGTTCTTTTAAAAGTCTCAGCTTTATTCCTCTATAAATTTCAATTGCATCTTCTTTATGGACATCTAATAAGATAGGATATCACTAGAGTAAGTGAATGGTATCTTTTGAGGGTCTTCTTTCTTTAAACAGTTTTTCAGTTCATCTATAAAAATGGGAGAGTGTAAGGAACTTGTATACCTTTTAATACTTGGTTAATAGTTTTATGATCTCTAATTTTCTGAAAGAAACATTTTGATAAAATAGGATTCTAGGCATATTTATATTTCACCACCAAAAATCTATAAAGGAGTAAAAACTGCTGTCAATTGTATTTATTTTGTTACTAGTAAATGGTTTAAATGGTTGAGAAATAAGGGATTTTCATTCTTTTCCCACAATGATGAGATTTTATTATTTCAAAGTGATTAATGAATTATCATTTGGCCATTTCATTTCAAGCAGGATTCCCAGCCAACACTGAAGTTGAGAGACATACTACATTTTATTCATTACCATCTTCATTGGAAAGAACACCCACCAAAATAACAGCATCCCAGAAAGTTACCTTTTGTTCTCATGGCAATTCAGCTTTTCAGCCAATAGCATCAAGCTGCAAAATTGTGCCACAAAGTCAGGTTCCTAATCCCGAGTCACCTGGAAAGTCCTTCCAGCCTATCACCATGAGCTGCAAGATTGTTTCAGGTATGATTATGTCTGTGAAGTTGTGTGTAAAAATTGCTGGCTGACGAAATTGCAGTGTGCTTTTTATTCCTCCTTAGCAGAATTTGTTTTGTTTTGCTTTTTTTTTTAATTTAAAAAGATATCAGTGGGCCTCCCCGGTGGCGCAGCGGTTGAGCGCTGGGTTGCGAAGCTGCCCGCGGCCTCTGCGGCGCCGGTTCGATCCCTGGCTGCTCCCCGGCCACCGGAGGAGGGTCCCACATGGTGCGCAGACCCCTCCTGCCGCCCGCTGCTCCCCTCAGCAGTGTACTTCGGTCCTTCTGCCTGCTCTGCTCCCCGCTCTGGCTCTGGTGAATTCTCTCACCCTCCCGCGCTTCTGACTGTACCCAGTGCATGTATAAACAAAACAAACAAACAAACCAGCAAACAAATAAATAAAGCATGCCTCTATAAAAAAAAAAAAATAAAAATAAAAAGATATCAGTATTGGTTAACAAGCAAAGCTGTCACAAAACAAAAACAAAAGTCATTCATATAGAAGCAGTTTTTGAGTAAAGGAGGAAATGAAGTTCAAAGTGGTCAAATTGTGTCACCTAAATCAGCACAGGTAAAATTCCTAAAGTAGAAATTAAGTTTTGGGATTTTATATGAAAACCAGTGTGACTAACAATAGAACAAATTCAGAGGCCTTTTGTTTTGGAGTTAGGTTTCAAGTGTTGGAATTGTTTTGGGAATAAAGTCCCTTTTATACTCTTAACCTACACTAAGAAATTATTCCTGTTTGTTGTAGGTAGTTCTGAACCTTCATTTTCAGTTTGAATTGCCCATTTCCTCACCAACAGTTTTGTGTTTATGTTGAGCATACTTTTATTAAAAATATACTTTCTGGTTTTGGCTGTACTACCTCAAAAAAGACATAAAAGACCGTCAATAAAAGTGGCAAGGGGAGGTTTATATGCAAAACTTAGTAAAGTATTGGGGGAAGTCTTTGATGCTAAAAGTAGACAGTTAAGCAGAAATAGGACCCAGGTGTCTGAAGTTGATAAAAGATGAAGAATGTGTACTTTTACCTACCAGTTAGAAGAGTTTTGGAACTTACCATTTCAGAGGTGGAATAGGCTGAATGTATAAATTGATTTGATATTTATAGAGAAATTTGTGGATGACAGATTTGATCAATAAGACAGTTGATGTTTAATGATACATTGGTAACTCTCTGAGAGTAGTATGTAGGAATGTGAGCCGCTGGATAGTGGCTGACATAATTCTGATAGACTTTGGTTGTGCTAGGTGAATTCCATATTTTTCTATTAGAAATTCATTTCAAATCAAGACTCCTGGTTCCTGAGTCTGGTCATTTACTAGTGTTCCTCCCTAATTTTAGTGTCTATGGACGTACTAGTGTTATAACTCCTGCCTAAATTGTTAGATTTATTATCTAGGTAATCAGATGTTTCATTAATGATGTAAAGCCCTGCTTTTTTGAAATTTCATGTGTCCATTGAAGGATCTTGTTAAAATGCAGATTTATGTTCAGTGGATCTGGGGTGACATCTCAGAATCTGTTGTCTACCAAGCTCCCCAGTGGTGCTGATGCAAATGCTGCCTGTCAGGGGATAAGGGAGTCCCTGTCCTAGCTGCACTGCTGTACTGCTCACACCTGAAACACCCAGTCCTGCTCTCTGCCCTGGTGTCCCTGCCATTCTTTTTCTTCAGTGTCGTCTTAGACAGATTGAATCTATCTATCTTATTTCTCTTTTCTCCTTTTTTAATTAATAAAGGTTCCCCTATATCAACTCCAAGTCCATCACCATTGCCTCGAACCCCAACTTCCACCCCAGTCCATGTGAAGCAAGCCACTACCAGCTCCGTTATTAATAATCCTTATGTCATTATGGACAAGCCTGGACAGGTTATTGGCGCTACTGCTCCCACTACAGGTGTGTACTTGATGATCAACATTTATGCAATCCAAAAGATTTTATCTTTTTTAAATATGAAATCCTAGCATGTTGTAATAGACATGTAGGGGGAAATGAATTCTTTATCCATGAACAAGAGGAGGGAATATGTAAGAATAACCTCGGTGCTTTTTCTCTGAGGGAGGATTTACTCTTCGTAAAAGTTGAGATTTTAGGAATTTACTTTTTTCTTTTTAATGTATAAAGATTAAAAGTGAGTCATTATTTTCTTTTTTAAAAAACTTGATTTTACCTTCATTTGAAATGCATTCTTATGGGATATGTTAGCAATGTGTTTAATTTTCCAAATTAAACTTTAGGGCCAGAATAGCTTTGTGAGCAATTTATACTTCTCCTCAGTCAAATAAAAAGTGATCTTTTCTGTAAATACAATAAATTTTATGTGTGGGAGGAAAATACCCATGCAGTTAAAAAATACTGCTTTGCTAGAAAGAATAAGTCTTTTGGGGGAGCCTCCCAAGTGGTGCTTCATAGCACCGCACTATGAAGCAATCCGTAGCCTCTGCAGCATGAGTTCAATCCCCGGCCAGCCAGGGAGCAACCCACATGGTGCAGCAGACCTCTCCTGTCTATCCTGCTGCTCCCCTTGGCAGTGTATTTCAGTCAGTCTGCCTGTTCCCCACTCTGTCTCTGGTGAATCCTCTCACCCCCAGCACCTCTAACCCTAACCCTAACCCTGTACCTCAGCTCTTGTATGCGTAAATAAATCAATCTTAAAAAAAAAAAAAATTCTTTTGGGCCTCCCTGGTGTCACAGGGGTTAAAGTCTCAGCACTATTAAGCTATCGCCAGCCACTGCGACCTGTGTTCAATCCCCAGCCAGGGAGCTGACCCACCATACTCATAACTGCAGAGTACTTTTAGGTTTGTTGTTCCATTAAGATTATTTTATTTATTCCCTCTCTAAGCACATGCTACTTTAGTGTAGACTTCTCTCACTTGTAATTTAGAGAACTAGCGAAAAGAAATGACAGATGACTTTAAGGTAATTAGATTATTTTTCAGGCACATTAATTTATTTTGGATCTTTCCAAGTATTTTTTGGGAAAAAATATATACTTTAACGATGATTAAAAATGGAAATTTCCTTTAAAATGCTGCTTTCAGAGATTACCTAATAGAATAGCATTTTCGATAGATTTAAGGATGCCATATAGATGTCTTTTGAGTTTTAAGAATCAGCCAAATGCCTTTGTGGACTAGCTTAGTAAATGGAGTATTTGATCAAATACTGTTTTTGGTCTTGACTTACTATAGGTAGGGTGGTTTACCTTCATCAGACCCTAAAGGCAGTTAGTAGTGTACAGTATAAGATGTCTGATGTAGACAGCATTTTAGAATGGATGTAACCTTCTAGTGAAAGTACTTTGGAGGAGCTAGCATTCATTTGAATGCATACATTTTTGGCACATTGTTCAATAACCAATCCCATTATTTTAGTATCTCTTTTGATTTAATTAGCTGAGTTTATAGTGTTTGCTTACTAATTTATTCTTCTGTATTTCCTTACTAGCTTCGTCTCTTTTCAGGTTAATAAAATGGTCAGCTTCTGAATCTTTGACTTTTTTTTTCTATGATAATTTCAGGGTTATGAAGTTTTCAGCCCTTAAAAATGAAAAATGCTTTAGAATTCCATTTTATAAGTTTTATTTTCTATTTTATTTTTAAATTTGTCTTGCTCATTAGGAAGTCCTACAAACAAACTCTCCACTGCCTCTCAGGCCTCCCAAGGAACGGGTTCCCCTATTCCTAAAATTCATGGAAGTAGTTTTGTAACATCTACTGTCAAGGTAAGGTTTGCATTATTGTGCTTTGCTAGTTTCTAAAGACTGTTCAAGCTCAGTAAGAATTTGTAAGTTGACAATGCAAGTTTCATAAAGTATAATCTTCAAGCTAACAAGTACATATAAGATCTAGCCCAGACTTCCTTGATTTCTGCCTAGTGTAGATAATGCTCCTTAACATTTCTATCAGTCTCCCAGAATCTATTTGAAAACTCACTGTTATAAGGAGATGTCTCTTTTGTTGAATAGTTTTGTTATAAATTTTACCTTAAAAACAATTCATATGGCAATACATCCTTTTTTGCCTACATTTGCACCCAAAGAAGTAAATGTAATTTCTTTTCCACATTTAGTTACTTGAAACTATCAGCCATTTAGTTACTTGAAAGTAATTCTTATCTCATCACAATGTTGTTGGGGTTTTTGTTTTTCCTCCTGTAAGGTAAGAAATCCTTTGAAATTTAGAACTCCAAGGTGATCTGACTTGTTCAGATTAGAGTGCTAGATATCCTTTTCACTATTCGGCAGAGATGATCTCTACTGTTTGGTTTGTTATTTGGTGTATTTTATACTATCATGACTGTCTTATGACAAACTTTTGCGTTATAAACTGAAAACTCATGAAATTTCAAAGATCATCTCTTCTGTGATGAGTGCTTAACATAGCATTTCCTATATTTAGGCACTTAGTAGTGGTAAGTTTCCTGATCAAAAGCAAGCCTTGTCTCTAAATTTAGTGCAATATGTATGCACACTGTATTATATGAAAGACTGACTTGTAATAATTCCCTGAAGGTCTTAATTCTCTGTTTACTTAAGCAGTGTTCTTAACTTTGTTTCTTGCCCCTAACAACAATTTATGGCAAATTTCCTCTCAGATTTGCATTTTGTATTTGAAAATGAGAGACAAACAGTAATAATTCTAAATATTGACCTTTGGTATCTTTGTATTTTTAATTTCTTTTTGTTTTGTTTTTTAAATCTGTCTTGAGAATTTTCCTCTGTAACCTGGAATATTTATTCAGCAAAACATGTTTTGAATACTGGTTGGTTTGTTTTAGTTGGTTTGTTTTTGCTTGTTTTAGTGCCCAATATTTTATTTTACTTTTATTTATTTTTCATTTTCTTACAGTATTGTTCATTTTTGTACATATTTGATTTCTCCCTTCAGGTGTAGTCCCCCTAAATACCTACCACCACATCACCTGTGAACCATCACCATGGTCCCTTGTGCTCGTACCACCCCTGTTTTGATCTTCTCTCTCCCCCTCCCCTGCTGTAAACCTCAGATCTAAAGTTGCCTACAAGTTTTGTCTTTTTTTTTAACCCTTTGTTCGATTTCCCTGTATTTCCCCTATAAGTGAAACCGTCTGATTTTTTCCTTTTTCTTTCTGACTTATTTCACTGAGAATAATTCCTTCCAGTGCATGCAAATGGCATGAGTTTATCTTTTTTGATTGCTTAGTAGTGTTCCATTCTGTAAGCAGTGTTCATCTTCTTGATCCAGTGATCTGTTTTGGGGCATTTAGATTGTTTCCATATATTAGCTATTGTAGGTAGTGCTGCAATAAACATACCAGTGCACATTTATGTTTTAAACATCATTAAAGAGGTGTGTACTAAAACACAATAACTGCCTATTTCATTTATTTATTTATCAAGTGCCTAGGCTCTAGGAATATAAAACAAATAAGATACAGTACCTACCCTGTCGTAGCTTTTCATCTGGCAGTGTAGACATGCAAACCAGTGAGTCAACTAAATATTAGAGATAGGATGATAGGAGTCTTTCCAGCATACGGTGGGATAAGGAGAAGTAGGTCCTTCCCAAGCTACAACTTTTGCTTGCATTTTGTTTTTAAACATTAAAATGAAGGTATGATTTGGACAACCCCAAAGAGTTTTGGGCTTTTTTGTTTTGGTTTGGTTTTATGGTTATTTATGTTGCTGAGAATGTCACAAGTTTATATTAAATATAAGTGACTAGACTGCCTGAAGTCACTCATCTTATACTAATTGTATAATATCTTTTTTATTATAGCAGGAGGATTCTCTGTTTGCATCTATGCCACCTCTTTGCCCAATTGGGAGTCATCCTAAGGTTCAGAGTCCCAAACCTATAACTGGAGGACTTGGAGCTTTCACAAAAGTGAGTTTTTATTAGGGGATTACTACAATAGTCAATATGGTATTGTTATATAACTTTTTCTGTAGTGTCATGTAGTTGATTGAACTATCCCCTGATATGTAACTTTTCAGTATATTCAAGTTCTAAAATTAGATCCTACTTCAGAGACATGCTTTTATTTATTTAGTGGTATCTTGTAGGGCAGCCCTTGGAGTCCCACAAGACGGAGACTTCAGAGAACACAAATGTGTTTGTTGCTCTTTGTACCACCTTAGTCACATGTCCAGGTCGAGCTTACAGATAAACAGGATCAAAATCAGATCTTACTTTTTGGTCCCGTTAATAGATGTTTTGGGCTGTATTTTGCTTTCCCCATTCTGGTGGAATCATTCCTTGCAGACCAAGTTTCACTAATTCCTGCAAACAAAAGATTCAGATGTTGATAGTTTTTTTCATGGGGTATTTATTCAGAGTCATTATCATGTTTGTTGCAAGGTAATCATCAAACAGGAGCCTGGCGAAACTTCTCACATACCCACAACAGGAGCTGCCAGCCAGTCACCACTCCCTCAGTATGTGGCTGTAAAAGGAGGTCACATGATAGCTGTATCCCCTCAAAAACAGGTCATAACTGCTGGAGAAGGAACTGCCCAGTCACCAAAGATTCAGCCATCTAAGGTTTGTGTTGGGTAGAGATGGGAAGATCAACATGTAAATGAATACATTTGTCTAAATAATTGACAAGTGCTGACAAGATTCAGGGTGACATGGTTGCTGGTCCCAGAGAAGTCTATAAATTAAAGCCCTTTTGGAAGAGCAGGTCAGTTGATATAAAATTACCATTTGTCCTTGTAGTAATCTTTGACAAGAGCAGGGACATGTAATGGCAAGTCCACAGACAGTCAAAGAGGCAGCAGGATGTGATGTTATCTTATCTCTCTGGCAGTAAATGTGACTGACTTCATGGACACAACTTTCCACTTGATTCAAGTTGGGTAGACTTGAGGTCTTCTGTTTCACTTGTTATTTCTGGTAGAAGAGTGCTGTGGTTTACACCTCTTGATATCCAGGCTTGTGATCTGTTTAATGATTCTTGGTTCTTCAGAGTTTATTTTCTTTTTGTTAGTAAGTGTGGGGAATTAATGTATTGAGAAAACTGTAAAATGGCACATAGCCCTGTGTTTTCCTGTATCAATTCAGTACTTATAAGTGCCTGTGTATGCCATGTTCTTATTTATACATTATTTATAATCTTCAAACAGCCTTTCATAGTGAGAACTTAAGTAGCTTCCTTGAGAGCATGTAGCTAATACGTGACCTGAACCCAGGTCTACTAACTCTAAAACTCTCTGTTCTAGAAATATTTATGTTATGAGCCTTTGTCTATAACTCAGGCCTGCTTTTATAACATCCAGTTAAATGATCTTACTTTTTTGGACAGATATATTCTAAAACTATTAAGAATATTATATAAGGTGTTAATAATTATATTATATAAGGTGTTAATAATTGTTAAGTTATTTAATTTTAAGTTAATAATTTTTTAATTTTTTAGTTTTAAGTTAATAATTTTAAAAATTAACCTGAGAGAGTGCATTGTTATAAGAGAATTAATATAAAAATAGAAGAGGGATTTAGATATTTTGATTAACCTAGATAATTACATAATGATTGAGATAAAAATTCATATATTATGGATGATTTTGCCATCTGTAAGAGTTCATTGACGACTTTCCCAAACTTATCTGATCATAGGAATCGTGATTTAAAATATAAAACTGCCGGGCCTCCATAGTAGTGCAAGGGATTAAGATGTAACTATGAAGCTATCCACAGCCACTGCAGCACGAGTTCTCTTCCCGCCCAGGGAGCTACCCATATGGTGCAGCAGGCCTCTCCTGACTCACCCGCTGCACCCCTCAGCAGTGTATTTCAGTCAATCCACCTGTTCTGTTCCCCACTCTGTCTCTGGTGAATCCTCTCACCCCTCATACTTCTAACCTGTACCCCAGTTCTTATATGTATAAATAAATAAATCTTTAAAATAAAATAAAATAAAACCTGTAACTGCCTAGGCTCCCATCTCAAATTTACCGAATCATCTTGGGGGCCCTGGGAATCAGGATTTTTAACAAGCTCCCCTAGTGTCTCATGATTTGGTAAATTTAGAAACCATAGAGCTATAGCATCAAATTTGACTTTGGGACTTCCATAGCCAGAATCCCTAAGATAGGCACCCCCCACTTGCTTCCTAATGCTCCCTGTGTTGTCTGGTGTCTGTAGTAAGCATTTTATCATTATCAGTGAGTCTTTTAGTGTCATGTGACCTTCATTTTTAGACACATTCTACATGTTCCTCAATATGTCTTGCTTTGCTTTGAAGTACATACTATTGCTGATTTAGGTTTTTGTATCAATATAGCATTGCTGTTTATACTCAGAAGTTCTGTATAACTTAGTTTCCACTTTTTCCCACTTTGCATTTTGTAAATCCTCTCCTCCAGTAATGCAGAGTATTTATATCAGCTTTCTTATCATGCTGCCACCTATGTAGTGGTAATGTAAGACTAAGAGAAGTAAATGGGTTTGTGTTGGAATTCCCTGAATAAAGTTTAATGGCACCCGAACAGGGGCGACAGAAGAACTGCAGGAACTGCAGAGAAGTAGTAGAGCATGAGAAAACGCATTGCTATTTATCCAGGAAATTCAGCACATGCTTTGGATTCAAGATAAGAAGCTGTCTGAAAGTACAAACTGTTCCTACTCAAGTGCATTCCTAGAAACTCTGCCAGAAAACAGGAGGGTGAAAAAAAAGATACTGTTTTATCTTCCATACTATTTTGCCACATTAGAAACACAGCTTATCTATTTCATAAAAGTGGAAAAAGGCACTGCTCTTGACATCAAAAGGGACAACTGAGGAATCAGTGGGCTCATGGAGGAAAGCAGTGTATATAGTGAAAAGAGCATGAGCTTTGGAGTTAGAGCTTGTTACAAACCTCACGTGTCACCCAAGCATTTTTTGTGATTTGGGCAAGTTTATCTCTGTAGACCTTGTTCTTGTTGTTTAATAAAAGGGAATAATGCCCTCTGTCTTTCAGAATTGTAGAGTTAGAAATTATAGTATATAAAGGACCCAGCTAGCACAGAGCAGTTACTCAGTAAATTTGCTACTACTCAGTAGTAGCTAATATTATGTAACTGAGGACAAATCCTTTGTATAAGTGCCTGAGTACCATGGTAACATTTATTATTGAGAGCTAAGTTGTAAATGAATGTTTTTTAGTATGTGGAGAGGGAAATCATATGCTGAATCCGCACCTTCAGGTTGATAATGAAATAAATTCTGACTTGTGCAGGTTTTTCTTTATAGGGCACTGGGAAGGCAGAAATAGAAACATTAAGGCATGAATCAAAGTTAAGTATTTATAGCAATACAGAACAAAAGGTTTCTGTTTTATGAAGCTAGAAAGAAATTAGGGATAGAGAGAAGTACAGAATGGGAAGAGAAGAATTGGTAGTTGAATTCAGGTTCTAGGTCATGTTCTATTCTTAAAAAAGGAAAAACAGTTTAGGGTTACAGTGTCCTACTTAAGAACCTCACTTATGGTGTCCATAGACAGTTGTGCTTGGAGTTTGCCCCAGTAGATGCCACACTTATAAATTCTCAGGGTTGAGGGGTTGGGGAGTTGTTAACTTTGTGAATGGCCTGCTCCTAGAAGATAAGCTCTGCTAATAAAGACTGCCCTCCCGTGGTCAGCTTTGTGATTTGGGCAAGTTTATCTCTGTAGACCTTGTTCTTGTTGTTAAATCTAATAAAAGGGAATAATGCTTTCTGTCTTTCATCTTGTGGAGATTAATGTGTGTCATATTATGGAAATTTTTTCTGTCCCAATCTGGTGACAAGAAAGTACTTCCTACTTTATCTTTATTGCCTTCAAAAGGCATATCTTTTGTATTTCTTACAGCTTTATACAAGTGTTTTTCATCTAATTTCTGCTAAGAAGCAAATGAATATGAGGATATAGAGGGAAAACAGATCTCTTTGGGAAGGAAATTTAAATACATCTAATAATATGTGTTGTGTTTAACTTTGTGAAGTTTCCTTTAAGATTTTTGCTTTTTTGGGGGTTATTTTAGGAATATGGAAATAGATTATATATAACTTAGCTTATGTAATGGGTTATTAAATTTGATATACTTAGGAAGGAAATATGAAGATTTCTTGTCTTGGAAAAAAAAGTTCAACTATTATAAAAGATCCAAACACCAGAGGCTTAAATAAGCTTATTTCCATCACACAAAAAAGACCAATAGGCAGTTCTGTTGTGTTGGTTCTATTAACAGATAGGGGAGAGGATCCAGGGACACCTCAGCCTGACCCCACCCCCACCAACACAAGGTAGAAAAGCTGGGCATGAACCTACCATTGCCCCCTGCTTCACCTGCTGGAAATCAGGGATGGAAAGGACACTTGAGACCTTATGGTTAGGATTGAAAAGAGGATTCCCCAGATATGAGTGAGGGCAGGCAAGGAATCAGTGTTTTTTGATTACCAAAAGAGGCAAGGAGAGAGCTCCAGGGAGACTTCTGCTCCAAGGTGCCAGAGCTAGGGGTTTATATAGGTTTTAGGACTGGGGGTTGAGAACAGCGGTGTTAAGCTTTATTGACTAAGAAAGCGAAGAAAGTGGATTTGGCTAAAGTCCATTTATTATTGCTGATTGTGGGCACCAGGCACTGCAGCTTAGTGGTCATTCAGGGCTTGTGACCGTCTCCAGGTGAACATCTCATGGAACGCCTGTGCCTGCAGCTCCAGGTTGAACTGGTCTGGTCTCAAGGTCTGTAGCTCCCTTCCATGTTGCCTACAGAATGAGGCCCATCTAGTCAGAATAAGGAGATTTAGATAATCATAGGGATTGTTTAAAACAAATGGGATTGGGCCTCACTGGTGGTGCAAGGGGTTAAGCACCACACTGTGAGGCAAATCACAGCCTCTACAGCACGAGTTCGATCCCCGGCTGGCCAGAGAGAAACCCACATGGCAAAACAGACCTCTCCTGTCTCGCCCGCTGCTCTGCTCAGCAGTGTATTTCAGTCAGTCTGCCTATTCTGTTCCCTGCGCTGTCTCTGTTGAATCCTCTCATCCCCGGCATCTCTGGCCTGTAACCCAGCTCTTGTATGCATAAATAAATAAATCTTTAAAAAAAAAAAAAGGATAGCTGGGAGAATTTTTTTTCTTCATTCTAGCTTAACCTGCTTTTTTCCCTTAAATTGATTCTTTGTTTCTTCTTTCCTCCACTACTTCACCTTACATAACAGTGGAAGGAATATTTGAATGACTCCACTGTACTCACTACCTGCTGTTAACAATTATCAGCATTTTGCTAATTTATTTCTAGAATATTATAAAGTAGAAACCAGATGTCATATACTTAAATTTCTATTGAATGACTGAATCTAGGGTTTAAGATCAAGTTCCTCTGCTCTAGCCTAATGCTGATGACAGACATAAATGTTTATCCTTTGACTCTGTCCTTAGGAGTCCGTGTGGCCTGCAGATTACCATTCCTCAGTCCTAGCAAGTGTCGTGGCTGGCAGCGGCCATCACTTACTGTACATATCACATTAGCTGGGCGTTTTTTAAACTTCCTCTCATGTATGACTCATGATCTTATGAGATAAATAATATACATATTTTATAGATGAAGCATCTCTAAAGCTTAAAGAGGTTAGGTTACTAATTGGTAGAACTGAACTGAGGAACCTGTTTCACTGCTTATAAAAGCCCATATTCTTTCCTCTGTATTATACTGTTGTTTTTTAACAGTCGATTAGGAAATCGTTTTCTTTATATCAGCCATATAATGTTTTTGAGTGATCTGAAGATTTACAGAAAAGATACTCGTGTATTTTCCTGCAACTCCTCTTTCACTCAATGTTGGAACTTCCAGTACCAGTTCATATGAAGATCTATAGTTGTAGTGCATTTACTTTTACTCGTTTATGCTATTCCATTGTCTATTTTATACCACAGTTTATTTATTTCTCTATCTTTAGACATGAGGTATGTTATCACATGTTGCAGACATTAAGATTGTTTACAGCACTAAAAATAGTGCTGCTTTGGACATGCTTGTATGTGTATGTTCTCTTGAGCAAATGTCCAAAATCTCTCTAGGACATATTCCTAGCAGCACAATTGTTTTCAGTATGAGGTACATGAATTTTCAAGTTTAATAGATATGCCAGTGTCTCTCTGGATGACTACAAATTTACCTTTCAACCAGCAGTGACCAAAAATACCTGTTTCGGGCCTCCCCAGTGGCGCAGCAGTTGAGCGCTGGGTTGCGAAGCTGCCCGCAGCCTCTGCAGCGCCGGTTCAATCCCCAGCTGCTCCCCGGCCACTGGAGGAGGGTCCCACATGGTGCGCAGACCTCTCCTGCCGTCCGCTGCTCCCCTCTGCCTGCTCTGATCCCCGCTCTGGCTCTGGTGAATTCTCTCACCCTCCCACGCTTCTGACTGTACCCAGTGCTTGTATAAATAAACAAACAAACAAACAAATAAATAAATAAATCTTCAAAAAAAAAAAAAATACCTGTTTCCCCATGTCCTCTAGCTAATTCTTGGTGTTACTGCACTTTAATTTTTTTTCCTTCTCCAATTTGATGGGTAAGTGGTACTTCCTACGTTATCTTTTTTGCCTTTAGGAGGCATTTCTTAATAACCTTATAAAAAGTCTTTTCATGACTGGTGAGCTCTTTTTATAAAATAAAGAACACAACCCCAATTTACCATTAAATTGTTTCTTCTTATTTACCATCCTTATATTGAGTTTATGTTAATAGAGATCCATAGTATTTTCTTCACATTATATTATTTTCAGAGCTAGATATTTCTAACTTTGGTTATTGGAGTCCTTTATTTTTTTTTTATTTAAAAGATTTATTTATTTATGCATACAAGAACTAGGATATAAGCCAGAGGTGCAGGGGAGTGAGAGGATTCACCAGAGAGAATGTGGAGCAGAACAGATCTACTGAAATACACTGCTGAGGGGAGCAGTGAGCGAAGCAGGAGAGGTCTGCTGTGCCATGTGGGTTGCTCCCTGGTGGGCTGGGGATTGAACTTATGCTGCAGTGGCTAGAGATAGCTTGATAGTGCTTTCTTTAACCCCTGTGCCGCCAGGGAGGCCCTGGAGTCTTCTATTTTTAATTCAATTTTTCTTCTTCCTCACGCTTTTTTTTTTTTTTTTTTTTAAAACCAAATAACCCTAGTCAAGGAAAGGAAAGATTAGCAATGTTCAGAAAGAGGTAACTTCTTAAAAAATCAGTTGGAAGAGATGTCACATTATACTAGTAACATCAGTTATTAGAGGTCTAGAGATGAAGGAATAATTGTTTCAAATGGGAAATTATAATGGGGTTTCCTGAAAAGGTGATATTTAAAAGTATATAGTGGAGCTCATAGTTCCTGTATGAGAATGTTTATTGCAGTTTTTCATAATGTAATGTTCCCAGTTGTCTAAATAACCAACAATAGTGAAAATTTATAAAGATTATGTTATGTCTATTCTAATGTATTATTTGGTCATCTAAAGATTTTTTTATATATATATAAGTAACAATGCAAAGGATCTCCTTGGTGGCACACGGGTTAAAGTCTCAGCACTTGAGCTGTCAAGCTATTGCCAGCTGCTGGGCCAAGAATTCTATCCCCTGCTAGGGAACTAACCCACATTGCACAGCAGACCCGCTCCTGTCTTGCCTGCTACTCCCCTCAGCAGTGTATTTCAGTTGATCCGCCTATTCTGCTCCCCACTTTGTCTCTGGTGATTCCTCTCACCTCCCACACCTCTGGCCTACACCCCAGTTGTTATATGCATAAATAAATGAAATAAATCTTTAAAAAAATAATAGCAATGGCAAATGCTTATATATTAGTTGCAAACAATGTGCATTGTAATATGCATTAAATCTAGATAACATTCGTGGATGATTGAATTAGACGCGTATATTTTGTTGAGGCCTTTGATTTATTTTGTGCTAGAACATAGTGCCAGTTCTATTCCAAGAGTTCTGAAAGGGCTATGAGAAGCTGCACTGCTGGACTCTCTTCTGTCTTAAACAGGTTGTTGGTGTGCCAGTTGGGTCTACATTACCTTCGACAGTGAAACAGGCTGTGGCAATCAGTGGGGGCCAAATCCTTGTAGCCAAGGCCAGCTCTTCTGTCGCCAAAGCAGTTGGTCCAAAGCAAGTTGTGACCCAAGGAGTTGCCAAAGCAATTGTGAGTGGAGGTGGAGGAACCATTGTTGCTCAGCCCGTGCAGACCTTAACCAAGGCTCAGGTCACTGCTGCTGGCCCTCAGAAGAGTGGATCCCAGGGCTCAGGTAACAGTGTTAATTGGGGGCCCTTTTAGCAACAGCCCTATACAGAATGTTTTTTGCTGGTTACTTTATTTGGTATTTGGTTTGTCTAGGAAAAAACTAGTTAGTTGGTACTGTAAGAAGGGTATAGAAACATTTGCTATTTTTCATGTAACATTCTATATAGATAAGCTTCAAGTGTGTGTATGTGTGTTAGCAAGAATAATAAAAATAGAGAATATTGCTTGATACTATTTTCAGGTCTGCAAAAGGATTCTCATTTCACCTTCTCTCTGCTTTGGGCTGTATTTCACATTTAAAATCTTGCTATGATTATTTGCCAGGAGCATTTTAAGATACTTGACTAATGAATTCTCTACCAAACAAGATTTTAAACACTTTCACTACATTTCAGGCCTTTTTCTGTGAGGGTATGAAAATGTAAATCATCTAAAGGCATTAGATGTCTGCTAATTTTTGAAGACCTGAAAAGACTAAAGAATTGTTGCAGTGAGTTGGAAGGATAGAACATAGTAGATGTTTCCAGTGAAGATTTCAGAAATGATAGTGCTAGTTGTGACAAAATTCATTTGTGTATTTAAAAATGAGTTCTTGAGATTGATTAGAAATAATCTTTGGCAGTTAGGTGATCATGCAGCTGAGAAGCCAGAGAATTAAGTAAGTTATTTATAGTGCCGTTGCTGAGAATGACGTTCTTTATAACAGAGAGCAAGACTTTGAGTCACGAGTCAGCCTTTAGCAAATAAGGGGAGTGGAAGGGAGCAATGAAGAGAGGGGTAAGATGGGATAGCCATGCAGGAGCCTTAGCATAACCAGGGTTGTTTTGTAGAGTGAGAGGTGATAATGTCCCGGAAACCAAACTGGAGATCAGAAAGGCCCCCGCTCCTAGCCCTGGCCCTCAGATATTGAGGTCAAATAAAATGGCCCAGGATGCCGGGGAAGTCATATCTTCTTCAGAAGACTACAGATTTAATTACCACAAAAAGAAATAACAAAGAAATTGAGGATGTAGAAGGTATTGTGATCACAGAGGAAATTCTTGGGGACCATTGTGAAGCATTTGGGAAGGAGGAAGAAATGTCGGATGGATTAGATGAGGAGCTGTGTAGTGTGGAAGTGGGACTCTGGGGTGGGTTGATGACCGGAAAGGCCTGCTCTTCTGGTGGTGGCTGAGACACACAGAGGACTAGGATAGGGTTAGTTCTAGTAAAAATGGAGAGGAATGGCACTTAATTTTAATATCAGCCCCTGATATTTTGGGGCAGTTTCCAGGGTTCCTCCTTCCCAAAGCTTTTACAGTGATGTGGTAATGAGGAGAAGGACTGCTCCACAGGAGATCCTTTTCCTGCGGGGACTCACTCTGTAGGCTTCATTTCATGGAGATTTGAATTCAAAGTAACTACTGAAAATTTGGTATCTAAGTTCCTTTAAGATGCATTTTAGAATTTTGTAAGTATTAGAGTGCTTTAGAAATCTATTGTAAGGAATAAGTGAAAGCTTTTTGACATAAATAAGACTCAAAGTATTATAGTTTAATATTGTATGTGCCAGTTGTTGACAACTGTTGGTACTTAGAAAAGTGAGGGAGACTAGAAGTTCTGTTTCAAATTAATAGATTCAGCTACTGCTTAAAATTGATTAAAGGGACTTAAAACAAATGAGAGGGTAAGTGCATATTCACCCATAAATAAGATGAGTACTTGTTTGTCTAAATCACAGTACTTTTGAGAGTAAGAGACACTATCAGAAATTACAGTAGGAAATGGGTTAAAACTAGAGCTATTCTGGGTAAATCAGGACATATGGCCACCCTATTTATATACAGATATAAATTATTTTGAGTTGTAGCAGGGTCTTCCGGTGTATAAATTGTTAATTAGTAAAATAAGTGTCAGTCTTTATTGCATTTTATTTCTAGGAAACACAGTAGTATTTACTGTTTGTTCATGTTTTTTTAATAGTATTTTATTACTCTATTTTAATTTTAGAGATAGCATTGCCTTAGTTCCAATGTATCTTACTATTTTTCCACTTTTTTTTTCTTTTTCCCTTTACCATTTTAGTAATGGCAACATTACAGCTACCAGCCACTAATTTGGCCAACTTGGCAAACTTGCCTCCTGGCACTAAACTCTACCTTACAACAAACAGCAAGAACCCTTCAGGAAAAGGCAAACTGCTGCTGATCCCTCAAGGAGCCATCCTGCGAGCTACCAACAATGCCAGTTAGTCTACCATTAAGTCATTGGGCTCTTGGGTGTTGGGGTATGTTCTTTCATCCACCTGAGGGAAAGTTCTTTACTGTTTCAGGTAGCATTTCCGTTGCTCTGTTTGATGATCTAATTTGCCCAAATGGATTTAAAACATACACATAATTTAATTAGAAGTGGATTTAAATAATCACAGTCTTAGGAGGTAGCACTGTTATGTTAGGTTTATCTACTCGATGTTTGGAATCAGGGACAAACTACAGTGGAGAGGTGTGGCTATTGAGGCTGTGTTCAGAGAAAACTGTCCATTGAACTGACAGTTTTCAGTGAACTGAAAATAAAAAAGTCACCTTCCATTCTTCAGTGGTATCTGAAAAGTGGTGACATCTGAGGAGAAGATCTGTGTGCTTCCAATTGACAAAAGCCTGTTTTTATTTTGAAAAGGATTAGACACAAGTATCTCGGCTTACCATTATTTAGATATGCTTCTTAATGAAGTTTACTATATTTGGAGATGGAAAAAGTACTACAGATTGAACCTTAATGTGAAGGTCATAAAGCCCCAAGGAAATTAGATAGCTTATCTAAACTTACATAAAAACTTTTGACATGGGGGCCTCCCTGGTGGCACAAGTCTCAGCACTCTGAAGCAATCCGCAGCTACTGCAGCACTGCTGCACAAGTTCAATCACCAGCAGGGAGGTGACCCACATGGCGCAGCAAACCATTCCCATCTTTTCTGCTGCTCCCCCCAGCAGTGTATTTCCATAGATCCTCCTGTTCTGCTCCCCACTCTGTCTCTGGTGAATCCTCTCACACCTCCCCTCGCCCCCCACACACACACCTCTGGCCTACACCCCAGCTCTTGTATGCATAAATAAATACATCTTTGTAAAAAAAAAAAACTTTTGACATGTAGAGAAAAACCATTTGAGTGGTGTTGGAAAGGAAAGGATAACAGGAATTATTCCCCCTGAATCAGAATCAGAAATATAATTGGTACAGCAATTGCTTTCATTGGAAATTAGCCATGCCCGCCAAAATGCAGTATGTAATGTAATCACTGTTTTGCTTGCTAACTGTAGTAAGACATGGGTCATTTCTTTTTTTTTTTTTAAATAAATTTTATTTTTATATTCCCCATACAACTGCAACCCCCGTATTTTGATTTTGATTTTCACTTTCTTTTTTTTTTTTTTAACTTTTCATACTTCTTCTTCTTCTTTTTTTTTTTTTTTAAATATATATTTATTTATTTATCCAAGCACTGGGTACAGTCAGAAGCGCGGGAGGGTGAGAGAATTCGCCAGAGCAGGGAGCAGAACAGGCAGAAGGACCGAAGTACACTGCTGAGGGGAGCAGCGGGCGGCAGGAGAGGTCTGCGCACCATGCGGTACCCTCCTCCGGTGGCCGGGGAGCAGCGGGGGATTGAACCGGCGCCGCAGAGGCTGAGGGCAGCCTTGCAACCCAGCGCTTAACCGCTGCGCCACCGGGGAGGCCCAGATTTTCACTTTCTTATATTTATTCATTTTCCTGGTCCCTTATTTAAGTTTTCTAGATTCCTGCTATGAGTGAGACCATCCGGTATTTTTCTTTTTCTTTCTGGCTTATTTCGCTGAGCATGATCCCTTCCAGAGCCATCCATGTTGCTGCAAATTGCATGTGTTTATCTTTTTTGAATGCTGAGTAATATTCCATGGTGTATATGTACCACATCTTCTTGATCCAGTCATCTATTTTTGGGCATTTGGGTTGTTTCCAAATCTTAGCTATTGTAAACAGCGCTGCTATAAACATAGGGGTGCAGGTGCTCTTTGGAATTGATGTTTCTGTGTCCTTTGGGTAAATACCTAGGAGTGGAATTGCTGGATCATATGGAAGCTCTATGTTTAGTAGGTCCAGAAATCTCCACACAGCTCCCCATAGTGGTTGGACCAGTTTGCACTCCCACCAACAGTGCAGGAGAGTTCCTTTTTCTCCACACCCTATGTGCCATTCTCACTGGTGTAAGATGGTATGTCATGGTAGTTTTGATTTGCATTTCCCTGATTACAAGTGATGTTGAACATTTTTTCATATACCTGTTGGCCATTTGCATTTCTTCTTCAGAGAAGTTTCTTTTTAGCTCTTCTGCCCATTTTTTCACTGGATTATTTTCTTTGTTGTTGTTGAGTCTCATCAGCTCTTTGCAGATTTTTGTGGTCAGTCCTTTATCATTAGTGTTGTGTGCAAAAATGTTCTCCCAGTCGGTGGGGTTTCTCTTTGTTTTTGTTATTGTCTCTTTTGTTGTGCAGAAGCTCTTTAATTTGATGTAGTCCCAGCTGTTTATCTTTGCCTTCACTATCACTGCTTTGGGTGATGTGTCTGTAAAGATGTCTTTGATGTGCATATCACGTAGTGTTTCGCCTATATTTCCTTCTATGTATTTTATGGTTTCAGGTCTTATGTCCAGTTCTTTAATCCATTTTGAGTTGATTTTTGTGTATGGTGTGAGGTAGTAGTCAAGCTTCATTCTTTTGCATGTAGCGACCCAGTTTTCCCAGCACCATTTATTGAACAAACTTTCTTTGCTCCAATGCATATTCTTTGCTCCTTTGTCAAAGATTAGTTGACCATAAATCTGTGGGTTTATTTCTGGATTTTCTATTTGGTTCCATTGGTCTGTGTGTCTGTTCTTGTTCCAATACCATGCAGTTTTGATGATTATGGCTTTGTATAGTTTGAAGTCTGGGAGTGTGATGCCTCCATTCCCTTCTTTTTCTTTGGGAAGAGCTTTGGCCATTTGGGGTTTTTGGTGATTCCATATGAATTTCATCAATAATTGTTCAATTTCTTTGAAGAATGACATTGAAATTTTGATTGGAATAGCATTGAATCTGTAGATTGCTTTTGGTAGGATGGCCATTTTAATAACATTTATTCTTCCAATCCATGAGCAGGGGATGTCTTTCCATTTTTTTGTGTCTTCTTCTATTTCTTTTAACAGTGTTTTATATTTTCTTTGTATAGGTCCTTTACCTCTTTTGTTAGATTTATTCCCAAGTATTTGATTTTTTTTGTTTTGATAATAAAAGGGATTTTTTTTTTTATTTCTTCTTCTTCATATTTATTGTTTGTGTATAGGAAGGCTACTGACTTTTGCATGTTGATTTTGTATCCTGCCACTTTACTGAACTGATTGATCAGTTGAATTAGTTTTCTGTGGAGTTTTTGGGGTTCTCTCTGTATATTATCATATCATCTGCAAATAGTGATAGTTTGACTTCTTCTTTTCCTATTTGGATTCCTTGTAAGACATGGATCATTTCTGTTCTGTATTGTTTTCTTATACCTAAGCAATGGTATATAAGATGTGTGTGTATATGTGTGAGCAAAGAGAGAAAATAATGATGTAAGTATTCCAAAATTCTTCCAGAGAGTGACATAGATTTTAGTTTATATACATTAATGTCACCACAGGGTAGATACAAAGAGTCCAAATGCTTTAAAGTGGAGTTTGAAAAACAAAGAGGAATGGAACCTTGGAGTCATAAATATAAGAGAAGTCTTAATTTTTCAGGGTGGTGGGAGAGAGTACTGTAAACTTACGCTAGATTCCAGCAGTTTTTCACTGAAATTGAATCAGATGCCAAAGAGTTTGAAAGCACTACCCTGCGCACAATGAAATATTGACTAAAATCAACAATTGGTTAGAAAATGTGTCAGACTCTCTTGATCTACCAGAATTAATTCAAAACACTTGTCAAAGATAAGTTCTGAAGATAAGTTCTTCATTGTAGTCAGAGCTGAATTAGTCAGCTGTCATTCAGTTGAAAGTAAACAGATTTCAGTCTTCAACTCTAGGAAGTCCTCACTTGACAGAGAATAAGTTTATTACAGAAGAAAAGAACAGGAAAGGAAAGGAATGGGGCCATAAAGGAAACCTCTCTCTAGGCTAGACGTTTCTGCTTTTATGATGTTCTGTCTTCATTGTATTTTCAGACCTCCAGTCTGGCTCTGCTGCCAGTGGAGGGGGTGGCAGTGGAGGCAGTGCTGGCAGTGGCAGCGGCAGCAGTGGTGGAGGAGGAGCGGCAGCAGGAACAGCAGCAGGAGGCACCCAAAGCCCTGCGGGCCCTGGAGGAATATCCCAGCACCTGACATACACCTCTTACATCCTCAAACAAACTCCTCAGGTCTGGGCATTTCTACCTGGTATCTTTTTAATCACTTAGTTATATTAACTGGCTTTAATATGTAAAAGTAAATTACAGGATTTAGCTTTACAGCTCTGGGATCAGGGGTCACTACTAACATTTTGCATGTCAAAAGGACTTTTTTTGTGTATTTTGTATTGGAAAGAAAAGGAAATCGAGATTCAAAAAAACTTAAGTGACTTATCCAAGATTTCTCTGCTAAACTTGTGGTAGAGTTTCTATTTAAGCCCAGATCTTTTAGACTCAAAGAAAGACTTTCACTATGCTGTCCCCTTTTTAATCAATGGAGTAATAAATAGTATTAATGTGCAGTTGATATGCATTTATTTATTTTATTTTTTAAAGATTTCTTTATTTATACAAGCACTGGGTACAGTCAGAAGCGCGGGAGGGTGAGAGAATTCACCAGCGCCAGAGCGGGGAGCAGAGCAGGCAGAAGGACCGAGGTACACTGCTGAGGGGAGCAGCGGGCAGCAGGAGAGGTCTGTGCGCCATGTAGGACCCACCTCTGGTGGCCGGGGAGCAGCCGGGGATTGAACCGGCACTGCAGAGGCTGCAGGCAGCTTCGCAACCCAGCACTCAACTGCTGCGCCACCGGGGAGGCCCTGATATGCATTTAGATATATAAGCATTAGTAATCTTGTATAATCTTATAAGAGAGTAACCAAAGAGACAATATCAAGTATTAAGTTACACTGTTTGAAGTTAGGTTGGATTTAAGATTAGGAACAAGTGTCCACCTTCTTTCTCCTTGCCACTAACGTGTTGGCTCTCCTCTAAGGAAGGTAATGAAATTTTGGTCCCAAATTTTATTAAGAAGGATGGACAATTTTCAGCCCAAATGATTAAATCCAGCTTTGAGGAGTAGATTGCACAAGTTGAATTTCAGCAGCCCACTGCAAAGTGTAAGATGTGGGAAAAGCTAGTGGTATCAGAGCTAGCTGATCAGAGCTATTCTTTTCCATTATTCTAATTGAGTCACAGAATTGAAGGAGCTTGTAGCTTGTAATGTGGAACCTTGTGATTTTAAAGAGAGCAGTTCATTTGAGTTTAATAAATTACTGATTAGGTCTTTATTTATTCTAACTTAGGGCACATTTTTAGTTGGCCAGCCATCACCCCAGGCATCTGGAAAACAACTGACTACTGGGTCAGTCGTCCAAGGAACGCTGGGAGTCAGCACATCTTCTGCACAAGGACAGCAAACATTGAAAGTTATCTCTGGACAAAAAACCACTTTGTTTACACAGGTAAACACTGCTCCTCCTCCCTCCCCAAATACATGGTGTGACATTTATTCACATATCTACAGCGGATCTCTTTCCACAAAGAAATTAAGGTTACTTAAGAAAATGAACAATAAAATAATATAGAAAAAATAAGTATGAAATCTTGAGATTAGGTAAAATACAAATAGAATGAGAAGACCAGAGTATCATTTAGATATGCAAACATTAATAATCTTGTTTATTAAATCTGCCAAAACAAAATGTGAAGCATGATCAGTTATGCAGTTCTTTGTGTATAAAATAACCACATGAAAATATTTCCTTAGGCTAAACAAATAATTATTTGACACTTCAATCTAAAATTTCTGTACAGGGACTTTAGATAGTAGATTCTAAACAGCGTGATAGGTGATTATGGCCAGTTTACACACTGTGAGTAAATGATGTGGGAGGTTTGAGCCCATTTCCACAGCATTCTTTGTAGTATAAACCAAAGAAAAATGACAGGAATTTTAACTGGGTGAGGGCTGTCGGCCATCTATAGGGGGATATCTGTAGCTGGATCTCAAGAGTGTAGTTAGTAGAGCAGATAAGGTCCAGAAGGATGCAGAGGGATAAACAATGCATTTTCTATAACTATATATAGATCAGCAGTTCTTAAAATCATGAAATGGGTATTAGGTTTTTGTCAATGCTTTTTCTGTGCCTGTTGATGATCATATTGTTTTTATTTTTTAGTTTTTCAATATAATGAACTATATTGATTTTTCTCAAATATTAAAACAACCCTTAATTCCTAGAATAAACCCCACTTGTTTGTAATATGTTGATTTTTAAGATATGTTCAGTTAAATTTGATAAAATTTTATATAGAATTTTTCAAGGGATATTGGTCAGTTTTCTTTGTAATTTCTGTCTCTGGAATCAGGGTAATGCTGAATTCATAAAATGAGTTGGAAACTTTTGCTTCTTTCTCATTTGGAGGAGTTTATGTAGAATTAGTGTTAATTTCTTCCTTAACTCTTTAGAATATGCTAGTGAAGCCATATGACCTAGGGTTTTCCTAATTTGTAAGGAAATTAGGAAACTACAGTTTCAACTCAGTGAATTTTGACAAATGTACATACTCATGCAGTCTATCCCAATCAAGATACAGACATTGTTGTCACCATAAAACATTGCCTTCATATCCTTTTCTAATTGTTGGGGTTTTTTTTTTTTACTATTTTTCCTATTATCATAGGTTAGTTTTTGTCTGTTCTTAAACTGCCTGTCCATAAAATTACATAGTATATATACACTTTTATGTTTAGTTTCTGTTGTTCAACATGGTTTTTTTTTTTTTTTTTTAAGATTTATTTATTTATTTATACAAGCACTGGGTACAGTCAGAAGCGCGGGAGGGTGAGAGAATTCACCAGAGCCAGAGTGGGGAGCAGAGCAGGCAGAAGGACCGAAGTATACTGCTGAGGGGAGCAGCAGGCGGCAGGAGAGGTCTGCGCGCCATGCGGGACCCTCCTCCCGTGACCAGGGAGCAGCTGGGGATCGAACCCACGCTGCAGTGGCTGCGGGCAGCTTCGCAACCCAGCGCTCAACTGCTGCGCCACTGGGGAGGCCCTGTTCAACATGTTTTTGAGATTTATCCATATATGTATTGGTGGTTTAGTCTTACTTATCCCTGATTGGTATTTTGTTGCATGATTCTATTCTCTTGTTAATGGACATGGATTATTTCCACATTTTGACTTAAGAATGATACTGTTTAAACATTCTTGTAAAGATCGTCTTGTACAGAAGAATAGTGCATGGTTTGTCATAGGGAAAGTATATATTTATAAGAAACCTTGCAAAATAGTTATAACATTTGACTCTCCCATAAGTAATGTGGGAGAATTTCAGTTGTTCCACATTCTCACCAGCATGAAAGATAATCATTCTTTGTTTAGCTGTTATAATGAGTGTGGTGTGACACCTCATTGTGGTTTTAATTTGCATACAAATCCAATGCGTATTATGTCATGGTTACTATTTCTGGATTCTGATTATGGCTCTTCCAGTCACTAGCTGTGTGACTAAACTTAGTCTCTTCATCCATAAACTGGAACTATAATATACCTATAAAAGTTCATGAAATTGATACAAGATATGCAAAAGTGCTTTCTGCCATTCCTGACACATAGTAAACCTGCAGAGACTGATAAATGCATCTACTTTGGGGTGCATTAATTTTGGACACTAAGCAGTCATTTTGGCTGGAGATCAGCCCAAGACATCCTTTCTTTATAAGTAACATTTTATTGGAATACAACCACGCCCATCTCTTGCTTTCACAGTAGCTGTGTTGCTGCAGTAGAGAGACCTGATGTTCTGTGAAGCTGGAAATGCTTACTTAGGACATTTACAGATAAAAATTTGCAGACCCTTTATTTAAACCACTGAAACTCTTAATTTGTTAAGTGATACCAAAATGCTGAGCCTATACTACTCTATGGCACCATGAACTTACCCATTTAAATCTGACCTGTCTCAATTTTTCAGTGTTCAAAGATTATATATATTCATTTAAAAGCACTTTGGATTCAATAATTTTGATAACAATTGGCCTGTCTTTGAAGGCACTGCTGCCAATAGTGATTTGCAAATGCATTCATTTACTTGTTTTGTGTTAGGGGTAAAGGAACATATTTGTAGGTAAAAGGTTGTAAACATGAGAGCTTGTTAGAAAGGTACATAAACACCTCATATAGTTTTGATTAGTAAGACTTTTCATGTATGTGCTCTTAATTCATGGCATAAGTAGTTTGTAAGGAATAAATTATGCCTGTTAAGCAAGGCAGCATTATTATTTCAACCCATTTCCTTATGCAGGCAGCCCCTGGGGGACAGGCGTCTCTAATGAAAATATCTGATAACACATTGAAGTCTGTGCCAGCCACCTCACAACTCTCAAAGCCTGGAACCACAATGCTGAGAGTGGCAGGAGGGGTTATCACAACTTCCACTTCACCAGCTGTGGCCCTCTCAGCAAATGGTCCTGCACAACAGGTGAGAATTTGGCCATTTGTAGAAAATTACAATGAAACATAAAACATTATTTTTAAGATTTTATTGATTTATGCATCAAGAGCTGGGGTGCAGGCCAGAGGTGGAGGGGGGTAAGAGGATTCACCAGAGACAGAGTGAGGAACAGAACAGACAGGTTGACTGAAAAACACTGCTGAGGGGAGCAGCGGGCGAGCCAGGAGAGGTCTGTTGCACCATGTGGGTAGCTCCCTGGCCAGGGATCAAACTCGTGTAGCTTCATAGGCTGCATCTTAACCCCTTGCGCCACCAGGGAGGCCCTGGAGCAGCCTTTTTAAATGGCATGATCTTTTGGTGTTAATCATAGATAATGCAGGTGATAAAGATAATATTTATAGACTATACTATGTGGCAGCTATTTTTCTATATAAGTTACACTGCTTTCTTCTTCATTTTGTTTATTTCTGGTCCTGTGGATGAGCAGTCAGAAGGAGCAGCTCCCAGTTCATCATCTACTATGGGGTCTGTAATGAAAACTTCTGGGCAGCAACAAGTGTGTGTGACCCAGGCCACCATGGGAACCTGCAAAGCTCCCACCCCCTCTGTCATCAGTGCCACATCACTGGTGCCCACACCAGGCCCCATCTCTGGGAAAGCCACAGTATCAGGTCAGTTGTGTCATAATAATAATGTTATTCTCCCTTTGGGCTAGAATATTTTTGGAATGTCTTAAAAAGTATTTTGTATAAATTAAAAATAATTAACCCAGTAACATTTTCCACATAGCTGCTTTTTTAGATAAACTAATTTTTATTTTACATCTATAAATTTTAAGTCTGAGATGGTTTTGTAGTGTGGTTAATAGTTTTTAAATAACACAATAGAACTATAGCCATTTGTTACCAATTGGGCATTTAGCTGTTTCATCGTGTAATTTTGTAGAGAGCTAAGAGTTTATTCTCCTTTTTAAGTACCATTTTTTTTTAAACAGTTTGGAATAGAACTCATAAAACTCATACATTTCTTTTCATAAACAGAATGTATAAAACAGATTAGCCTTGTTGACTCCATGTCTTAAGTTTCAACATTAGTTATCACATTGGGTAGTGTTCAAGCAATGTCCTTGAGATCTGGTAAGATGTGTATCTTTGTACCTATACTAAATGAAACCAAAAAAGTATGCCTTTTACTTCTATAGGTAATATAGAGCCCAGGTTGTCCTAGTTAAAATTAATTTGTTTCATTTTCCTCAGCTGTAAAATGAGGTATATAGGGCCTCCCTCGTGGCACAGGGGTTAAAGTCTCAGCAGTAACAAGCTATAGCCAGCTACTGCAGCATGAGTTCAGTCTCCATCCAGGGAGCAGACCCACATGGCTCAGCAGACCTCTCCTGGCTTGCCCACTGCTCCTCTCAGCAGTGTGTTTCAGTAGATTCACCTGTTCTGCTCCCCACTCTGTCTCTGAATCCTCTTAATCCCCCGCACCTCTGGCCTACACCCCAGTTCTTATACGTATAAAACTAAGCAAATGAAAAAGGAGGAAACTCTTAATACCAAAAAATAAAATGGAGTCATAATATCATATTATTCTTTTGGGGTCAGTGGCTATAGGATTGTCTGTTAGAGTAAATCCAACAAATAGTGAAGCATAGGGAAGAAAAGATATCAGTGCTTCAAAAATGCCTATCTGCCCTAATAGTAGTAAATCATTATGTAACATCAGACTCTTCATCAAAATTGATCAGGACCTGGACTCCCTGGTGGCGCAAGGGGGTAAGACACAACCTATGGAGCTACCCACAGCCTCTGCAGCATGAGTTCGATCCCTGGCCAGGGAGTTAACCCACATGGCACAGCAAACCTCTCCTATCTCACCCGCTGCTCCCCTCAGCAGTGTATTTCAGTCAGTCTGCCTGTTCTGTTCCCTACTCTGTCTCTGGTGAATCCTCTGGCCTGTACCCCAGTTACTGTATGCGTAAATAAATAAATCTTTTTTTTTTTTTTTTTAAAGATTTATTTATTTATTTATTTATTTATTTATTTATACAAGCACTGGGTACAGTCAGAAGCACGGGAGGGTGAGAGAATTCACCAGAGCCAGAGCAGGGAGCAGAACAGGCAGAAGGACCGAAGTACACTGCTGAGGGGAGCAGCGGGCGGCAGGACAGGTCTGCGCGCCATGTGGGACTCTCCGCCAGTGGCTGGGGAGCAGCCGGGGAATCGAACCGGCACTGCAGAGGCTGCGGTCAGCTTCGCAACCCAGCGCTCAACTGCTGCACCACCGAGGAGGCCCCATAAATAAATAAATCTTTAAAAAAAAAACAAGAGCAAAAAAACACAAAATAGGGCGCCAAGATATTTTAAGGTCTTAGGAAGAAGTTGGTTTTAATGAAGGAAAAAACTTTCTAGATCAAAAGTTTAACAAACAATAAAATCTTTCTTTGGAATAGATGAGTGTTACATCAATCAGGCAGTAAGTAATTACTGAGAGTGTCCTTGGGCAGTACGATGGTGATCTGGTGTTTTCATATTTTTATTTTTACCAAAAAATTACATGCTTATCAGTTAAAAAAAAGTACTAGAAGGCTTGTAACTGAAAATAGCCATTTTTTGCCCCACTTCTCTAACCCCACCTCTAACCTTTTTTTTGCCATGTGGGCTTCTCTCTGGCCAGCAAGTGAGGGAGATAGATACGATGTGACCAGATTAAAATGGACTCTGAATTGCTTTGAAACTATCTTTGAAAACAGTTCTTCAGCCAGTCAGGAGCCAGGGAAGGTTTTAAAAGTGACAATTACCAAATCAAAATAAAAAATTTTACATCCAGTTTGTACATATCATAGCTTTATACAAAACAAATAAATTGTCAGAGAGTGAAAATACAGTAAAGAGCTGTATCAAAAGTTAATATTGGTTGTCTCTGTAGTAGGACTTTTTTTTTTTTTTTACATTTATTTATTTATGCATACAAGAACTGGGATTCAGGCTAGAGGTGCAGGGGGTGAGAGGAGTCACCAGAGACAGGGTGGGGAACAGAACAGGCAGATTGACTGAAGTATACTGCTGAGGGGAGCAGTGGGTGAGTCAGGAGAGGTCTGCTGCGCCATGTGGGTTGCTCCCTGTCCGGGGATCGAACTTGTGCTACAGTGACTGCGGACAGCTTCATAGGTTGTGTCTTAACCCCTTGCGCCACCAGGGAGGCCCTGTAGTAGCACTTTGAAAAACCTTTTCTCCTTCCTCTTAGCTCTACTCTACCAAGAGTTTATGGATTGCTTTATGATTTATGATTTTGAGATAAAGACACTTTAAAAATAAATCATTATTGTCACTTCATTGTTTTATTGTGAAATCTGACACATTCATTGTTTCAGGCTTCCAGCTCTTTGTTTCTTGAAAGGGTAAATTTCCCTTCCTCCTGTGAGAAAAGTGAATGCTAAAGAGGGCAGGAATTTTAAGGAAGTGTCCGATTTTCAGCTCAGCCTTCTCTTCCCACTTACTTTAGGATTGTTAAAGATTCACTCCAGTCAGTCCAACCCCCAGCAGGCTGTCCTGACGATCCCCAGCCAGCTCAAGCCACTCAGTGTAAATACATCTGGAGGTGTGCAGACAATACTGATGCCTGTGAATAAGGGTAAGTTCTTCCCCCACCAGCTTGTCATGTGGTTGTCTCCTTGTTTGTCTTGGGGGGAATGTCTCTATTCTGTCCTCCTGTGATTGCTCCTCTTCTGGACAGCCTGCCCTGTAGCTGTCATCATTCTTCCTAGCACCTTGAACTCGAGAGCATTGTTCCTAGTACTGGAAGTACAACCCAGGTTATCCATTACTGACTTCTAAATAGTTGCCCATCAAAGGGGAACATTGTAAACATTGAGAGAGTTCTGGTTAGTTTGACTTTTATTTTCTTCATTTAGTAACAGAGCCCCATTTCTAGCTGGAAGATGGTAGTTCATTTACCCTGATACTAACCACCCACTTTGTCAACTCACTGTTTTAAGGAAAGACCAAGGACCTTATCGTTTCTGTTGCATTGACCTTTTTTTGTTACTAGCCTACTATGGGGCTGTCACCTGGATGTTCGATCATCCTTATTAAAATAATTTCTTTATTTGTTATATTCTCCCCTTCTTTTTCAGTGGTTCAGTCATTTTCTACCAACAAATCACCTACCATTCTGCCTGTGGCTACGCCAGCTCCAGTTGTCCCCAGCTCTGCTCCAGCAGCTGTTGCAAAAGGTATATAGTTTCTTACGGTATTTTTGCCAAAATCTTATGCACTATTACTGTAATCTGAGTCACTTGAATTTTCAGCATCTGAACCAATCAGTGCCTATGTACGGAGTGTTTTATAGTAGGCTTGACATTGCGGGAAATAGATGTATAAAGCATCTTTTCTGTCTTCCAACAACTTATATTCAGTTTGAAGAGAGTTGAAGTCGACAACAATGATTAATAAATGCAAGATAAATCTGGAAAATGAATACCAAAATATTTAGGAAGCCTGATCAGGGTTGGTGGAAATATAGGATAGGACTTTGTGTGGGACATGGAATCAAACCTACACTTTTTTTTTTTTTTAAGATTTATTTATTTATTTATTTATACAAGCACTGGGTATAGTCAGAAGCGCGGGAGGGTGAGAGAATTTACCAGAGCCAGAGTGGGGAACAGAACAGGCAGACTGATGAAGTACACTGCTGAGGGGAGCAGCGGGTGGCAGGAGAGGTCTGTGGGCCATGTGGGACCCTCACCGGCGGCTGCAGAAGGCTCAAACCTGCGCTGTAAAGGCTGTGGGCCGCTTGGCAGCCCAGCGCTCAACTGCTGCACCACCAGGCGAGGCCCCAAACCTGAACTTTAAAATAGTGAAGCGTTTTTACTGTGCAGAAGTGGTGCGGCATGGCTGATTAAGGGAATAGTCAAGACTCAAAGGGCTTGTTTGGAGAAGTAGACCAATAGAGAAACTTATCCAGGGGGTATAGTATTGGTTAAGGAATTTTAAGTAGGATCATACTTTGGCATGTATTAAAAGCCTAAAACGTACCAGGCACCATGCCAGCTGCTTCATAGGTGTATGTACACACACATGCAACTAATTATCACAGTGCTTCGGATGACTATATGCCTGCTTTGTAAATGATGAAACTGAAGAATGGAGATACGGAGTATATATGATTAGTGTCAATCCCCTGTATCTACAGGTTTTGAATCCACAGATTTAAACAGTCATGGATTGAAAATTCATATTATATAGTTAGGCCTACAATGATTGCATCTGTAGTAAACATGTCAGACTTTTTTATTGTCACTATTCCCTAAGCAATACCGTATACCAACTATTTACATAGCATTTACATCAAATAAGTACTCTAGAGATAAAGTACATGAGAGAATTGCAGAGGTGTTAAGCAAATACTGCACCAGTTTACATAAGGAACTTGATTATTTGCAGATTTTGGTATCCTTGGGGGCTGGAGGATATCCTAAAACCAATTCCCCATAGATATTTCCCAGAACTAGAAAGCAATGCACTGGCGTTTGAAATATATCTGCTTTTCCAGGCATGCCAAGATCATCTCTCTAATAGTCTTGAATAGAGGTGGATTTGTAACTTGAATCTAAGGAAGGATTGACTGACTACATTCTCTGCCTATTTTTTAAGTGATGTTTTATTGGCATACACCCATACTCATTCATTTACAAATTTTCTATGGATGCCTCAAAGTTGAGTAGCTCCAACCAAGATCATATGATCATATGATAAAAGCCTAAAATATCTACTGGATAGTTCTTTATAGAAAAAGTTTGCCAACCCCAGATCAAAAGATAATTGATGAAAGAATTGTATTAGTCTGGACCAACATTTCTCCAATAGTAGGTATAAATCATAGACCCTCCTCATTTAGATTCTGATTCAATTAATTTCGAGCCCAAGCATCTCTGTTTTGATTTTTTATTTTTTTATTTTAGTGGAATTAAAATTTTGTGGATGAAATGCAGAGATACTAAGCATACTACATGTTAGATTAGTTGTATCTGTTTTTTAACTTTATATGAGTGGAAGTACATGCATTCTTCTATGACTGATTTCATTCATTTCGTATTTTTGAGATTCATAAGTGTTGTTGCTGAGTAGCATTTTACATTGTACAAATATATCATAATTTGTTTATCCTTTCTCCTTTTGGTGGACATTACAGTTGCTTCTGAGTTTGCTTTCTGTCTTGTGTCTCAGAACATTATGATACTGCTGAAAGTTGATATACTTAGCCAGACCGTTGCTCTCCAAAGAATATTAGAACTTAGAACATAGCAGCACTGTACTTTTACGTGGCATTGATTAACTGTGTGCGTGTGTGCATGTATGTGTGTGCGTGTGTGAGAGGGATCTCACAAAATGGTGTTGTGGCCCCTTAAGAAATATCTGTACAGCCATTTTATTACCCTGAGTTGTCATGAGCCTGGAATTTTCCAGCCTCCACCCCCACCTCCCACTCACCCCCAGGCTACAACTCTTCCCTTGCCTGCTGACCCTTTGATGATAGGCACTCTCTCCATTTCCTGGCTGTGTCCCCACAACAGCTGGAGTGGCAGTTTTCTCACTGAGTTTCGTTGGAAGAGCTTTTGTTTCTGGCTACATGTGTCCTTCCATCACGAACCCTAACAGCTCCCTTTTTTGCCCTTCCCTTTTAGTGAAGACTGAACCAGAAGCTCCTGGGCCAAGCTGCCTCTCTCAGGAGGGTCAGACAGCAGTGAAAACAGAAGAAAGTTCTGAGCTGGGAAACTATGTCATTAAGTAATTATTTCAGTCTTTTTTAAAAACCATATCCATGGCTCCTGAGTGTGTAGAGCTGATGGGTAGAAACCTGTTATCTCTTTGGGGGTTTTTGTTCCTGGGTGGTAAACTGTATTAACATTGATGCACAGCTTGAGTCTTCATTTTATACATCGATGTGGCTCGAGCAGCACAGCCTCACAGTCCTCTGGTGGAACTGTGTACCTCTCTCAGTTCAACTTAGCCACATGTACTTTCTTTGCTGAGTCCTTGGGTATGAAATTTCTCGTGGGAAGTGTTCTGTATGCTTTGAGAGTGGAGACAACCTTCTTCATAAAGTATGAAATAAAATTTGCTTAGATCAAAGGAAAAAAAAAACAAAAAGAAAGTGCTCATGGTTATTCAGGTGTGTACACATTTTGTGTCATACAACCACCTAATCTTACACAGATACCTTCACATGGTACACACATGCTCAGTTGCTTCTTCTACAAATATTCCCTCAGATTTTATAATTTTCATGTTAGGAACTCAACTCTGGCTATATATTTTGAAGTACTTCAAACTGCTGGAAGCAGAGGAATCTCAGACATTTTCACATCATACAGCATGGATTATAATAACCCTAAAATAGGTATTTGTGTGATAGGATTTTTCTGCTCCAGTGGCAATGACACTGCAAAAAAAAAAAAAAATAGATAGCTATTGTATTTTAAAATATAGGAAGGTAAAACAAATGTGACATTTATATAATTTGCTACTCCTGGAAGTCTAATCTGTTTATTTAGTCTTGACACTTTCTTCTTAAGCATAAAATGTGCTTCATTTTTAAAGAAGGCTGTCTATGTATGGAAGGAAAGATACTAAGTTCTGATATCTTTATTAAAAGGAGAGAATGTGCATAAGGTCAGATTGAAACTGCTACATGTATTGACTACCTTGATTTATTTTCTTTTGTCCTTTTTAGGATAGACCATTTAGAGACTATCCAACAGCTCTTAACTGCAGTAGTAAAGAAGATCCCGTTAATCACAGCACAAAGTAAGATGATTATACTAAATATAGGGATGCATTTTTTTTAAGCTGTGAATAGAGATATTGAGTCAACTTAATCACTTGGTATAATAAATTAATACTGATGTGGTAGTTACCTTATGTTTTAGCTGAAGTTCATTTGCAAGGTTTATAATTCACAATATCTTAGTCAACAACCAGTTAGTTTTACTGTTGAGCTGCAGAAGGAAATTTTTACATGTATGTATATATGTTATGTGTATAATTAAAGCTGCATTTGTTTTCAATGTCTATTAATAAGGAAAGACATTTGCCTAGATTGTGCCAGCCACTGTGCAGGCTCATTACATTTTCTGTTTAATTTAATCAGTCTTTTTGTGCTATAGGTCTTTTTTTTGCAAATGAGAAATTTAAAAATAAGCATGGTTAAATAATTTGGCCCAGATTACTAGTTGTGGGTGTTGAGGCAGAAGACAAATCCAGTTCTGTTTGACTCCAAAGATGTTACTCTTCGGTCTGACACTGTCAGTCACTCTGTAGAACTACAGGATTGTAAAGCCCTCCAGCAGTGAAGTCTGCTCTGTCACTACCCATTGTTGGCAGGATGAAATAATTTGCTTCTCAGCTGCAGTTATTCTAACAGAATCCATGGCCCTTACTGGGGGGAGCAGCAGCCTATGGAGACTTAGGTGTCTGCTCTTGGGCAACATCCCAGTGAACATTTAAGAGAGAAGGGATGAAGCAAATTTCATAGCACATTCATGGGAATATGAAGGAAAGGTCAGGTACAGACTACCCCGCTTATTTTTTTTCTCAGCTATAATAGCAAATCAGTTATCTTTTTTTCATAGTTGAATCTCAGGGATTCAGTGTAAGGAACTTCAAAGTATCCTTTTAAGTGATTATTTTCCCAGCCTAGCAGAAAGAATTTCAGAAACTTTGTTTTAAATTTAGATACAAATATAAACTACTTGGACTGGAAGGAAGTTCAGAAAACCATCTTCCCCAATGTTCTCATTTTACAGATGAGGTAACTGAAGCTCAGAGTGGCGGTGGAGTTTGAGACCATTTAGTGAGTTAGTGACGAGGCCGCCTGTCCTGTCCTTGGCTAGGAAACCCCTGGCCCCTAATAGAGCGCCTGTCCCACTTCCCCTACCAAAGAGCTTTATTTCCCAAAGAAGAGTTGTTTTCACTATACTCAAATGAGAGGCCTTCACTTTTAAGGAGAAGCCCTTCTATTTACACTAAATCTGAAGTTGCCCAGTAAGGAATATATATCCAATAAAAGGTTTAAAGAAGCTATTGGCTATGCCTCTACAGATATGGTTTGATTTAAATCATAACATCATTCAGAGAGTACCAAACATGTACATTCTAGGTATAGACGCCAGCTGTTTTTCTGCAAAGTCTGTGGAGCAATATTATGGCTGGAACATTGGAAAAAGGAGAGCTGCTGAGGTAATCTTACGTCTGCCTGCTGAGAACCTGTGGGGAGAAGAGAATCAAAACACGTGTTCTTTCGGGCTACTTTCCTAAACCCATCACATGGAGCAGTGATGCCACTTACAGCATATTAAGTATTTGATGGGGAAATTTTTTCCTCAGTTAAAAATTTCATTCTTCAAAGGCTAGCCTTTGAAAAATCTATTTTATTTTCTTATATTGGTAAAACACCCCTTACATTTTCTAAAAAATAATTTTTAGAATTCCTGTATACTGAACGTGTAGTCATATATTGAATTTCAGTATGTTAGAATTAAATCTATGTTATGGTATAAAGAAAGTATTATATCAACTTGCAGCACTGCTTGTAAATACCATTTTTAAAAAAGGAATTTTGAGATTTTACCTCCTTTCCTACATTAATGCTTGTGCCAGTAATTTTGTTTTTGGGTAAATTAAAATCAAAATTCTAAAACTTGAAAAAATTAAATCAAGTGTTACTGAATGCTAACAGTGTGACAATTTCTATGCCAGACAGAGAGGGATTATGAGAGGAAGTGGGCTGTACAACGGTGTGCTCAGGAAGCTGTGGGAAAGCATGAGGGTTTGGGGAAGACTGGAAAGAAGTGGGGGATCATAGCTTGAGACTGGGTGAAAAACCTGATAGGGCAGACCTTAAGTGGAAGTTGTTCTACTTTGTTTTTAAGTTGAGGAGTAATAGAGATTGTTTTAGATTGGAAAAAATTATTCTAACAATTTAACATGGTGATTGACAATTGGCTGACATGTTTAAACATGCAGCTAAATTGAAGAATTTGATTATGGTTCCAAAATTTCTTTTTTTCAAGTGGCAAAGAGCAATGACAATGAGGAAAGTCTTACAAGAAATACTGGAGAAGAATCCACGATTTCACCACCTGACTCCCCTTAAAACTAAGCACATTGCTCACTGGTGTCGCTGCCATGGCTACACGCCCCCTGATCCTGAGAGCCTGAGGAGCGACGGGGACTCAATTGAGGATGTACTGACCCAGATTGACAGCGAGCCGGGTGAGCCTTCAGAGGGGCTTCCGTGGAGCACACTCCCCTCAGCCTTTCAGCCTCCATGCTTTTGTGACCCTGTCAGCCTTTGCAGTGTCCAGGGTTCCTTCCTTGCTGAGGTCATGGGACCTGAGGATGTGGAAGAAGTTGCCATAGAGAACAAGAACCTCTGGCATGTTGTTCCCTTATGTCCCTGTCAACCCCCATATAAGCTATATTGGACGTCTGTGCCTGAGCATTTCAGGTGTTGTGCCCTGACCAGGAATGTTTGTTCAGGAGCCCCCCTCCTTAGCATCATTCTCTCCAGACCTCTTTAGGAAGTAACTTCCCAGTGTTGGAGGTACAGATGTAAACAACCAATAATGTTGCAGATAAGTGAATTGTTTTATGATAAAGACACAGATGGCTGTGCTGTATGGGAGTAGGGGCATGAAATAGGGAGAAGAATATTTTGAGTTGCACCTTTAACAATGGTTGTTTCATACTCCCAATCCCGTTTTTGGAAGAAAACAGCCTCCTCTTCCCAGCGTGAAGGAACCTGGAATACAACAGAGTGGGGTGTCTTTTAAAGCATTAGCCTCTTGTTTTTTATACTTTGCAGGCATCTCTTCTCCCTGTTCTCCAGGGCCATCTACTATGAGAAGTTTGAGGGTTTGTCTGATTTATATAAGTTCTTAGGAGAGCAGAGACCATATTGACTACTTCTGTGCTCCACTAGTAGTGTATGTACAAAGCATAGGATTTTACATATACTAGACTTTCTGCTAATGTGACTGATTAATTTGTGAGCAGTAGTGGATATGGCAGTAGAAGCCAGGAGCTGGATCTTCCTCCCCCACCCTGCTGGGTGCCTGGTGCCCTTACCCCATCTTGTACCTGGTGTGGACCTCACTAAGTCATCCATAAAGTCAGTACATACACTGAGATGCCCAGAGTCCCTGCTGCCTTTAGAGCTAATAATCTTTTTTTTTTTTTTTCACAATTTATTTATTTATATGTATAAGAACTGGGGTGTAGACCAGAGGTGCAGGGGATGAGAGGATTCACCAGCGAGATTGGGGAGCAGAATAGGCAGATCCACTGAAATACACTGCTGAGGGGAGCAGTGGGCGAGACAGGAGAGGTCTGCAGTGCCATGTGGGTTGCTCCCTGGCCGCTGGGGATCAAACTCGTGCTGCAGTGGTTGGCGATAGCTTGATAGCACTGTCTTTAACCTCTGCGCCACCAGGGAGGCCCTAGAGCTAATACTCTTTGATATGATTTATATAAATCAGCTTATAAGGCTGGATGCACAGTGTACATTAAAATAATGTGAGAATATGGGTAGTTTTATCTTAACACAAAATGCCTGTCTCTGTCAAATGCATGAGTTACTAATTCTCATAATTATAGATCCATAGAATTTTAGAACCAGAAGAAAGGTCCTCCCTTGAAATTTATACATTCTTCTCTGGATCTCAGACTGTTGATCTTATGAGGATGGAAAGTCCTTTTCTGTTGTCATCCCAGCGGTCATAAGACTGATGACCTCTCTTTTAGAGTGCCCGTCGTCGTTCTCCTCTGCTGACAACCTCTGCCGGAAGCTGGAGGACCTGCAGCAGTTTCAGAAAAGAGAGCCGGAGACTGAGGAGGAGGTGGATATCCTCAACCTCTCAGAGCCATTAAAGATAAGCATCAAAAAAGAACAGGAGGAGAAACAGGAAGAAATGAAATTCTACCTGCCACCAACCCCAGGGTCTGAATTTATTGGTGACGTCACACAAAAGGTAGGGGGCTGTGGCCTGAGGTGTTGCTAGACCACAAGCCAGGTGCATGATGGTCAGGTGTTCCCTTCACAAGGTGACACCAGGCTTGTGGAGTGATGTGCGTGTCTGATTTCCTCCTGCTGGTCAACTTGGGGCTCATTCTCTGCTCACCCACCTTCCCACATCAGGGCTTTTGGGCAACAGAATTAATTGCATGTGAAAGGTTGCTGGTTGAACATGGAATTGAAGCAGAAGCAACTCATCCCAGACAGTGTTACTCTCGTGCTTTTTTCTCATTTGCCTCTGTGGTAGCCCCTTTTCCTCATGCGACATACCACAATATTTCCAAGTCATGCTTCAGAGGGTGTGCTCTCCCTGACACTTCTAGGGCTCCCAAGAGCCGTGCCTGTGGTGTGATGTGGCACACACTACCCTTGTCATACAGGAGCGCGTGTGTCCTCCGGTGGAGCTCAGCAGCTCTTAAGCGTCTGCCACCTACATAGCTGCTAAGGACCCAAAGTGAAAGACAGTGTTTTCACTTACAGGAGGAAATGAAAATAGGGCAAGATGAAGATGTATCTTCACCTTCGGCCCGTGGGTACTTAGGAGCTGATTCCACACTTTCCAGTGTGCTCATCCCGCTGTGAGAATTCATGGCAAATCTCCCATGAAGGGGATTTGAGAATAAAAGCAACACTTCAATAGCACTTTTAAGCAATCACTTTGAGAAACATGGAGAAATTGGATAACAGATTCTTTCAGTTGTTATTTTCTGTATTGCTTTCCCATGAATTTTGTAAGAACATTTGTCAAGTTAGTTCATTCACCTGGTCATTTCTCTGGGCATCAGAGAAGTTTGCTTGTTTGGAGAGAGCTTGGTTTTAGCATAGACGGAGAAACAAATGACTTTCTTCTGCTTTTCTAGATTGGCATCACCCTGCAACCAGTGGCACTTCACAAGAATGTGTATGCGTCAGTGGTGGAGGACATGATTTTAAAGGTTGGTACTTGCTGGGAGCAGATGGGTCAGGAGCTGCCTACGGGGCGGAAGAACCGAGGGGCCAGGCAAGCTGGACCTCAGGCTGATTTAAGTAATGAACAGGGGCAGAAAAGGAACAGAAATGACAGGTTTGAAGATTTCTCATCCAGATTTAAAAGTCATCTCCTCTTTTTTCCTTCTGAATTTTAAATGAACCAAATCATGGTTCCTCTGAGTTTTGAAGCATTTACAAGATATCTGTGCTAATGTCACACGAATGATAGTTTTAGTGCCATTTGAAGTGATTTTTAAGTAGTCTGAGATGAAAGTCAGTGCTATCATTGCTTTAGGAGGTGACAGAGTTGTAAGGGTCTGGGTTTTCTCCAGCAGATCACAACAGCAAAAGAAAGTCACAGCTGTCCATCCCTGAGCAAGGGAATGACAAGACCGGCTTCCTTACTCAGACCAATCCTGGATGCTTTACAAATAACCTTATCTTTTTTCATTAAAAACATCTAATTGTTGAAGATTACCCTGATTCATGATTTCTCAGAAACACGACAACTGTGGCCTGTTAGTCATCATCTCCTATTTGGGCCTTTAATTTCTCCTTAAGGACTGTTGATCCCTCAGAGCTGATAAAGTTGTGTCTAAAGTTTCTGATGAAGGATGGGGTCAGATGAATCCCGTCTTGCCAGCAAGCAGGTGGTTTTGTTTTGTTTAGTTTTGTTTTGTTTTGTTTGAGAGTAACAGCATCTTCTGTCATAGGCTACGGAGCAGCTGGTGAATGACATCCTGAGACAGGCGCTGGCAGTTGGATACCAGACAGCACCTCACAACAGGTACCCTCATCTCTTTAGTCAGCATTATCAGGCTTACAGGTATTTCCTAACAGTTTAGCTGCCCGTCGAGATGTTTTATGCTTAATCAGCGCAGTAGGAGATAGAGGTGCTGGTGCTTAGGACATTCTCAATGTGAGGCAAACTCACGGGTAGCTTGGTCATTTTGAACGAATCTCTCGATTGGGAAGACTCAACTTTACCCGGGGACACCGAGGACTCTGTTATGTTAGAATGGAACAAACACCAGCTCTTTGCATTTAAAGATAACAGTAGTGCCTTTTACCTAATTTATTTTTCATTGCAGAATTCTTATTCCCTTTCTAGAAGTTGGGAAGCTGGGATTTTAAAGTTAATGTTACTTGACTTGACCAGCAAATACCTGATAGGACCTCAGTTCACACTCAGATCTCCTTGACCCTAAAACCCATAGCTCTCCACTCACTCCCTTTGCTGCCTCTCTAATTGTCAGTGATTGGGACGCTGAATTTTTTTCTTTTCTTGGGCCCTGAAACTATGGTTAAAGGTCTTTGTTCCAGTTCCTGACATTTTTTTCAATTGCAGCAAATATTTTCTTTCTCCCTTAAAGGCTGTCATAAATTCATAAAGTTGTAACAAAGTATTGGAGGACATGAAGGAGCCTGATTCAGAGAAATGTTTGGTCAGACTTAGCAGGAATATGACACATTGGGCAGTGCAGAAGAGAAAAGGAAGGGAAATTAGTCCAGTGATGCTGTTTCTTGTCCTGTTTGAAAGCCTAGAGCGGGTCAGTTGCCTTCTGTGGCCCCTGCTTGTCTCCGGGGTCCTTATTCTGGAGCCACAGAGTGACCAAAGCCCTTTTGATGAAACATTTACCATCCAGCTTGCCTAGCGACGGGAAATAGAGTCCCAGAGTCCCGTGGTGCTTTGACTCAGCTTTTAGTTGGCTAAGACTGAATCCTAAAAATAACACTATTCTGCCCTCTACGTTACTTCACTTCTCTTTCCTTGATCCTCATAGTCTTTTTTCTTTTTTTAAAGATTTATTTATTTATGCATACAAAACTGGGTGCAGGCCAGAGGTGCAGGGGCCAGGGGTGAGAGGATTCACCACAGACAGAGTGGGGAGCAGAACAGGCAGATTCATTGAAGTACACTGCTGAGGGGAGCAGCGGATGAGACAGGAGAGGTCTGCTGCACCATGTGGGTCATCTCCCTGGCCGGGGATGGAACTCATGCCACAGTGGCTGCGGACAGCTTCATAGTGCTGAGACTTAACCCCTTGCGCCACAAGGGAGTCTCCATAGTCTTTTTTTCCTAATCATGCTACAACTTCTTGAAATTCATCTCATGTCTGTGACTGGGAGTCAGATCTGAGTCCTGAATAGGACTTACTGTGATTGCACGTAGGCCAGATCTCCACCAAAGTTGAAAGGAATTAATGTGAAAAAGAGAAAATCACCTGGCCACTGCCTGTCCCCAGAGTGACCCTGAACCTTGTCACTCATTGTTACCCCTTTCTGTTAGGGCAAGGGGTGGATGGTGCCTCTGATAACTTGATTGATTAAATTATTAGATGCTTGAGAAAATTGCACATGTTAACACCTTTTGTTTTTTTGGACCAGGATTCCTAAGGAAATTACAGTGAGTAATATTCACCAGGCCATTTGCAACATTCCTTTTCTGGACTTCCTCACAAACAAACACATGGGGATATTGAATGAGGACCAGTGAATGGAATGAAGATGCCCCTAGAGAAGCAAGATTTGATGTTGTATCTGAAGCCTTGAACTATGACAGCTCCTGTTTGGAGAAGGAGGTTGTTTTGTGTGCCTCAGAATGTCATGGCTACCAAGTCATTGCCTCCACTTAATTCAGTGTTTAGTCCAGATCAAAGCCCTTTAGGACAGAAGTATCTTGCCCGATGATAGAGTGAAGCTGTGAATGGGTGCATGTGCTCTCGGCTTGCATTTACTTGCCCGCTGTGAAGGCCCCACAAGAGGGTCTCAGAGTTGAGTTGACCAGGCTGTGTATCCTCCTCTCTTGAGTGTGCCCAAGGGGGCACCAGGGACCTAGCCTCCAGGAGGCAGAAAATGAGACCAGCAGCTTTTTGAGATTCTGCCCATTTGTGGGCTAGGCTTACCCAATAGTTACCCACTAGCATGTGGAGGGGGATTGGGCCTCAGCACTCGGCAGGTACCATGGTGTGGAAGAGCCACACTCAGCTCTTGAGGCAGTGAGGCAGCTACGGGAAGTGGTGATGCTGTGCAGAACATCACAGAGGCCTGGGAGGCTGCAAACCGAGCGGAGATCTGAGCACAGGGACATACTGCAGCCAGTGTCAGAGGATTGTCAAAGGATAGACAGATCCCAGCGTAGGTCAGAAAACTTTGTCTACAGCCAAGAAGCTCTTCATGTGTTAGTAACAGGCAGCCTTCACAAAGCCCTGGCACTTGGCAGGCTTAGCAGCTTACTTCGTGTGCTTGCTGGGCAGAGCTGGGTCTGCACCGTCGCATGGTCTGCAGGAACTTCTGCTGAATCCATGCTGAGTGGCCATTGGGGAGCAGCCTCTGGGACAGGCTCTGCTGGGATTATTTGTCCCACCAGTGGACTTAGTGTCCTGTTCTTTGTCAAGTTTTTCCCAAGAAAAGTGTTTCAAAGAAACACTTGTGAGTGCCTTAAAGGTAGAGAGATAACTGCTGAAGCCAAGAGACAGGGATGTCGGTGCTCAGAAGCAATGACAGTGACAGTGGATTGTGTTCATAACCAGAGACCCTCTCCGTGGGAAGGAGAAGTGAATAAACACAGGATGGTTAGCAGTGCCCATGTGATGTCCAATTTCATTAAAGATACTCTGTACCAAGTCTCATAACATAGTCTGTGTGGAAGAAAGAAGACACACTCAGTTAGGAATCTGCTCAAAGAAACTTTGAAACCTATGAGTCATAGAGAAACTTATCCAAGCAGCATAATTCATGTTCTTTACGTGTCCTTCAGAAGTTTGAGTCAGGAAAAGTAGTCAGGGAGGTGATATGAGAAATCTGCCTTTTCTTTATTCAGCATCTGTGGGTTGCAAACACAGAAGAAAGTATTTGGTAAGGCGTAGGGCATGCCCTGGCTTTGTAGTAAAACCATATCGTATGCAAAGGCTCAGATATTCTAGATGGAACTTCTGCAAGCGAGGTTAATAGTGTATAGATTCATTCAGCAGTGGACTGTGACAGATCTACAGGATGGAAGATTCAGTCCAAGTGACAACAGATTCACTTATTTACAGGTATGAACGCTTAAAAGAAATTATCTTTTTGCAAAAGAAATATTAAATGATTTAACAATCCCCATATGTGTTAATGTTTCAGATGTATTTGTATCATAATGTGTAACATAACTGTGTAACAAAAATATCTACAATAAACCTTTTAGTATTTGTGATGTGTTTTGCAGACTTTGAAGCACCACACTCTGGTGGGGTTCCTCATTAGGCCAAAAAGAACTGGCATGGGACAAAGGCATAATATTTATTTGTATATATAAATTGATTCTACTTCTTTCCAAAAAGAATTTGTAGCTGCACAAGATGACAGTTACATAAGGATTACTTTACATAAAAGTCTAAAAAAAATTTGGAAAATACAAGCTGACCCTGAACATGGTTTCGGACCCCTTGAGACCAAGGAACCACATAGTTGAGCACAGAGCTGCTTCAAAGCCCAGCAAGGTGGGAGATAGCTTCTGCCAATAGAGCAGCATGCTGGTTTCTCTCCAGAATAGAAGTGGTCGGTGCTGATGTCCCAAGGAAGGACTCCCGTGACAGTCCTGCTGTGACCATCTGCTGTCACAGTGGCTGAAAAATTAGAAGCATTTCAGAAGTGACTGCTTTTTACATCAGCCCTTCATGAGAGCTAACAGCTTTGAAGGCTTTTGACTCATGAAAGGCAAGAATTTTTGCAAGGAGAAGGAACTGAGCTACCACCCAAGTAACTGCCTCGGGACCCAACTCCACTTCGTGTCAGCCTGTAGGGAGTTGAGTTTGGAAGAAAGAGCGGCGGCGTTGTGTAGACCCCTCTCCTGAATGTTAATTGTCTCAGCCGGGGTTTTGACAGGAGCCCCAGAATGGGCAGTTATCAGAGTCGGGCATTGTGAGTGGGTCCTGTTTGGAGGGAAAGTAACCCCATCTGCTCGGGAGGGGCTGCAGGGATGGGGTTTCCCCAAAAAACATTTTGGAGTTTGGCCTGACACACTGGAGCTGTGCACTGCAGCACACAGTACTGGTACTTGAGTCTGAATGACTACAGGTCACCCCAGGGAAGGGACGGCGTGCGTCCGAGTACAGCGCCGTGGCTGAGGGAGGCAGCTACGGGCAGTGCTGACTCTGGTTACAGAACAACACTGTACTTTCTTTTGACTGAAATCAGTGAACAGATTAAACTGCTTTTTATTTTTTAAAAACTTCTCTTTACAAAATTAATACAAAAATGTTTATTATATAGGAACTTTATCAAATATAGTAAGGTGTAAAACCTTAAACTACCCGTAATTCCCTTCTCAAAGCTCACCGCCGTCAGTATTCCCGGGCATGTCCTTGCGCGTGTCACACACGTGCCGTGTATGGGCTGGGACCTCAAGGCTGAGGCTTGTCTCAGCTGTTTCTTAAGGCCAATAACACGATGGAAGCGTTATTAAGCTCTCGAGAGAGAGGAAAGGTGGTTTCTTCAGAACTCGGCTTTCCCAGGAGGTAATGAAATCTACCAAGGAAGGTTATGACTGGGTTGGCACCTCGTGTGCCATCCAGGGAAGGTTGCTGCCCACCATGCGGTGTGATGCGGGCCTGCTGAGAGCGACCGCAGATGGAGCAGTGCTCAGAGGAGAAGAGAGCCTGTCCCCTGTCCCCTGGGCCGGGCAGGCGGGCCGGGTGGGGAGGGTAATTTTAAGGGCGCGTGGCAGCCAGCACAGAAGCGTGAATCCTCTCAGGGGCGTGGGGGGCGGGGGGGTGTCACCCTCACTTTGCCGAGGAGAAATGGAAGCTCAGCCTGCACACGGCTAGTGAGGGAGGAGGGACCTGAGCCCGACTACCTTCCAACACAGCCCCTTTGCTGTAGGGGAGGAAAGGGGGAGATGCGCCCGGGAACACCATGTGAGCTGCAGCCCAGAGTCAGGACTTCCGCGCCTCCAAGGGATGCGAGCAGCAGCCATGACACAGTTAATCCTCGTTACCAAGAGACAGGATAAAGGAAGACGTAGGAGAAGGCGCTCGTGTTTATAGTTAATTTAAGGAAATAAGTTAACAAATTGAAATAGTACATTTTTGCATTTTAGTAAAATCTGAGCTTGTACCGTTAATCTGTTCATTTCCCACGGAATGCCCAGCAGGCAGCCTCTCTTCCCTCAGAAACATCTAACATGCAAACCAGGGACATCTGAAATAATAGAACCTTTGTGTAAGCATATGGTTTTTGTTTTCCTTTAAATTATTCTCAGAGCATTTTCTTTGCCAGAATGAGGGAAGGTCTGTCTACAGTGCTAGCACCTCTGAGGGGGCGCCCCCTTTGCAGCCTGAGCTGGAAATGTGGCCCTGCCACCTTAAGTGGGTCTGAAGCCAAGAGGCCCCTTTGTTCTCACCAGGCAGGAGCCACTGTGACTGTGAGTTGCAAGCGAGCGAGAAGGATCCAGAGAGATACTGGAATGACCTGATCAAAAACTGCCTAGACCTGTGCCTCTGATTTGTAAAAAGGGACAGAAACTCAACTGTTTGAAGGGCCCTGTGCAGAGTGGTGACCAGGCTTGTTCCACAGACCCCCCCCCCACTGGCCGGAATTGATCGAGAAAGTGGAGAAAGCTTTCCAAAGACAAGTGGGTTGTGCTACCACGGCGGGCAGCGAGGTTCCGGAACAGGCAGGGTGCAGCCCAGGCAGGGTGGTATACAGGACGTTTTAAGATCTTTCAGGGAATGAGGCAAATGCCACCTTCCAAAATACACTCCCAATTCTTAGCCAGGGGGCCTGGGAGCTCCCTTCCAGTCATCTGTATGCTGGGGGTGGGGAGCTGGAATTAGTAATAAAATGGGGACTTCAACACCCACCGAGGTAACCTCACCCATGCACTCAGTACTTGCAGCGCTCACCCCAGGGGACATGTTAAAACAGGTCATTTTGACCATCAGGTGTCTCTGAAATGGAAACCTACGGCTGACATCACTGTTTCCTTGGGACACTTCTTCCTCCTGCTCAGCATCTTGAGTCACATGCAGGTGAGAACCTAAGGTTTCTTGAACATAGACGTGTGGGGCCGTGTGTGTCCAAGGACATGGTCTTGGGCGGGTCACACACTCATCATGCAGCCCGGGAGAACAACAAAGTGGACATCACTGCTTCTTCCAAGGGCCTGTTAGTCCATGTTCAGCCCCGATGCACCTGTACAGTTTACAGCAGAATTCCTCTCCGGGTTCTTCAGCCTTAAAAACTTGAGAGGTGGCCAGAGCGCAATTCCAAAAGCGATCCGAAGCCTCCACACGCTCCTCGAGGAAGAAGTGGACGGTGGGGCGGGGAGTCGAGCAGGGTGGTGCGCGTCCATCTGCCCCTGCTGCGCCAGGCCCCGTGCAGCTAGGAGAGGAGCCCTCAGAGAGCGAAGGGCCCTCTGGCGGCAGGGAACCTCCCTGATCTCACCCCAACCCCCGGCAGTCTCCCCTCTTCGTGGCTGTCACACATTGAGGATCCGCGGAGCTGACGCCTGAAAGATGGCAGAGGGGTTAGGAGCAAACTTCTTTCTCACCTCGGGGACCTGAAAAATGACATTATGGACTATCAGTGGGGCATTTTCCTGAGCTGCTCCCATCCCCCATGTCCAGGAAAGAATTCCCTCCTCCCTTCCTGTCTTCCTGGGGCTGAGACTACTAACCTGAAGGGTCTGGGCGGAGTATCCGCAGGGGGCAGGGTCACTGTACTAGAAGGTCAGATACACAGTGAACCTGCCTTCCAGTCGGCCCCTCGTCCTGCCCCTGCCCTGCCTCCTTTGAAATGGAGTCAGGAAGCTGAACAGCCCCCACCTCCCTCTGTGTTACCACAAAGCCAGGCACACAGGCTGAGTGGTCAAGGGTAAGAGTGGGGCTTATGAGGAAGGACACGCTTTGCTCATCAGAGGAGCCAGCTCTGGGTTGGGGGGTGGGGGGGCAAGCCCACTGGCTAATGACAGCCCCGTAGCTTTCTGTTGAGGGACTTCAGTTTGGGTGCTCAGACGCTGCCGTCCCTGGGCATTTTACACCATCAAAAATCTGGCATCTGGACCCTAACCTGGGGCAAGAGCTCTGCCTCTGCACCCCCATAACCGTGGTCCGGCCCTGTAGGGTAAGGAAAAATGTCAGGCTTTCCTGCCCTCCCGCCATCAGGATAGATGGTGGATCCTTGCGGTCCTGAATGCATGCCTGATGGCGGGCACCTGGAGTAGGGTGTGGGCCTAGGTAGATGGGATTCAGCTGGGCTGAGACTGGGCTTTTTAAGGGCGGCGTCACGGGGACGCCAGGAGAAGCCGAAAGAGAAGCCGAGAGAGAAGCAGAGAGAAGGCCGGAGATCCCAGATAGAGGGAAGACTTGCTGGGGGCTGGGAGGCCCGCCAGCCTCCGGGCCCCCCAGAACCCCTGCCTGCCGTGCACCTGGTAATCTAAATAAAAAACCTGCAAAAGCTACTGAGGACTCTGACGACTCCTTCACCAGGTCTGCTGGATCAGAAAACCTGCACTGTGGTCCTTCCTGCCCCTACCGGCCCTCTGCCCGCAGCACCGCTGACCTGGAAGCTGGCCCCAGGGTTGCTGTCCCATCTGGAGGAATGGGTTGTGATGACGGTGGCGGGTTTCGCCTTTGTGGGTCTCGATGGCTTCACTGCAGTCCAGGCCTGGAATTCCTGCCTGAAACGGAGAACATGGTTGCAGCCTGGCACAGATCAGCTGTCCTGGCCCAGCGCTTCCCACAATGGCCTTGCGTGTCCACCGCTGGAGCCTGCTTCTGCGCCAGGTGCGCCTCTCCCCTTCAAAGGCTGAAACACCGGGGGAAATGCACTCCCCAAAACACCCAGCTCCAGGGAGACCGGGTCTGTCTGCAGCTGACCTGCTCTTCACTTCTGAGCGCCCACTGTGAAGTCAGCTCACCTGAACCCCCGAGGGAGCGGGAGCAGAAACACCTTCAGGTGCAGATGAGCCAGGCCCGGGCTGTGCTGAAAGCAAGGGCCGAGCTCAGTCAGCAGCTGGACCTTGTTCACCCCAAACTACAATCACTTGCTACACAGGTCTCCAGCATCCCGTTTTGTCTCTAGGCCACTTCAAAGGGCCCTAAAGACCTAGTGAAGATCGGCTGCCTCCAGCCCAGGGCACTGGTGACCCTTATGCCCAGAGGACGGGGGTGCCGGCCTGGACAGCTCCCACACAGCAGAGGGCCTTCATGCCTGCTTGACTGAGAAGGAAAAAACAAGGTTCAGTATTGGGTTTTTTTGTTCGTTTGTTTTGTTTTTAAAGATTGATTTATTTATGCATGCAAGAACGGGGTGCAGGCCAGAGGTGTCGGGGTGAGAGGATTCACCAGAGACAGAGTGGGGAACAGAACAGGCAGACTGACTGAAATACACTGCTGAGGGGAGCAGCAGGCAAGTCAGGAGAGGTCTGCTGCGCCGTGTGGGTATCTTCCTGGGTGGGGATGCACTCGTGCTGCAGTGACTGCGGACAGCTTCACAGGCTGCGTCTTAACCCCTTGCGCCACCAGGGAGGCCTGACAAGGTTCAGTATTGTTTAGTTTTTTTATCTTAATTCTGCAAAAGAATCAGTCATGGTAACCGTCTCAAAAACTCCAAGCTGGCCTGCTTTCACGTGGCTCTGTGCCCGTGAGCAAGGGAGTGGGGAGGACCAGTGGTCTGCAGAGGGGAGCTGGCTCCCTGGAGAGAAAGGTGGGCAGCACCCAGTTCCAAGTCCCGGAAGAAGCATTCTTTTGTCAATAAGATTTAATTCCTCTCACTGGTAAAAACCTACTTCTTTTGACTCTGCCAATTCCCCTGCCAGACAGTAGGCTCGGGGAGGCAGATACCTGTGTCCACAGGAGCCCTGCGCCGGGCAGCAGGAGTGTGTCCGCTGCCTGGGGGCACCCACGTGTGGGCTGGGTCCTCTCATCTCATCCTGCTTATCGCACTAGCTGCACATGGCCCGGCCCCAAGCTCAACAAAGCCGTCCTTTCTCCTTGGCGGCAGCACAGCTGGCACCACTGGGCGGGCGGCGTGTGTGGGAGCAGCTGTGTCTGTCCGTGGTCAGCACTCGGTACCAGGAGGCGAGGCAGGCCAGGCCCTAGCAGATCACTTCTGCCCTGACGCTGCAAGGTCCCAGCGACCGGCTGCCCAAACCATCTGCCGCTCCATTTCTCCTGGGGAGGCAGGAGGGCCTCCCTGGGAGTGCCCGTCTGTCCCCAAACTGCCGCTCAGGCCGGAGCCCAGCCTTGCACCTGGCAGCCCGGGCTTGCTGCCCCCAGGATGGCCACAGGGTGCCAGAGCCAGGGCTGAGCAGCACTGGCCGAGGCTGCCCCTGGGACCTCAGGTGATGCCGGAGGGGGCTGTGGGGGGATGGAGTGAGAAGGACCCGGGCACTGCCTGGGAGAGGACAAGGCGGCTTAGCGGTTCTGGCCAAGATCATAAAGATGCAGGACCAGCCAGGTCTACGTGCCTCCCCCTCCACCTCACATGGACCTCAGCTGGACTGGGGCTGCAGTCCCTCCCACCCAGGAGTAGGGGCCGGATTCAAATCCCCAAGCCCTCTGAACCTGTTTCCCCTGCTGAGAAGTGGGCTCCACGGGTTAGGTGCTTTGGGGGGGGTAGGGGGGAGTGGGGAGTGAAGTCTTAATCGTTAACCCTTCTCTGACCACCAGGCAGATGGCTAAGGACAGAGTGGAGAGGGAGGAGCTGGTCAGTGGCGGGCCCGCTGCGCTGCGCACACGACCAAGCCAGGGCTTTTCAGGTTGGTTCTGGAGACCAGGGCCAGGAGAGACTCCTTCGGTAGAGTAGTGGCAGCCACGACTGCGCCCCTATCTTGGCTTCCTCAGATGTGTGCATTTTCTGTGCTTTGTGAATTTCTTTAAACGGGTCACTTAGATAATGTGCCTCTTGCAGGAAGGCAGGCAGGGTAGAGATGCTCGTGCCAAGTCCCAGGACTGGGAGGCGGAGGGCCCAGAGGGCAGGTGGCATGGCACTGGGGGAGCCACAGTCAGCCGCGGGTGCAGGGCCCCAGGCTGCCACGCTGCTGCTGTTTCCCTTACAAATGAGGAAAGGGTCAGAGAAGCGGAGTGAGAAACCAAGTTTCTACCCCAGGAAGTGAGAGCTCCAGAATCCCAACCCCTGTTCCGCCACTGAAGGCAGAACCCAGGTCAAGAGAGTAAGTGGCTGCTAACCTGGGGGGTACAGGTGTGGTCTCTGAAATGAGACAAACAGGCATGTGCAGAAAGGGGACGGCAAGAATTCAGCTGATTCCAGAGGGTGCAGTCCTGGTGGTGTTGGGGGGTGGGGGACAGTGATAATCCCCAGCAAGCCGTGAGCCTAGTTCTTGGTACTTGATAAGCAGGGAGTAGTAACGAGTCCCCTCAACATCGCTAGAGTTGGGAGGACCTAGGAAGACTTCGAAGCAACCACCAGCTCAACATGATGAGGGACAGCTTCTAAGGGCCAGTCTCTGCTAGATCATTCCAGCCAGGAAAGCTCAGCCCCACACATGCAGCTCACTCCTGGCTAGCAGCTCTTCATTACAAAGTGCTCCCTTCCCTGAGCCGTAGCCGCTCCCTGCAAACTCCACCACCGGGCCTGACGGGGCCAGAGCTGTGGCTCAGCCTCTGCCAGGCCCCAGCACGCTGTCCACGGTCAGGCAGCGTGGCCTGAGCACCTGCGTGCTAGACACCCCACAACCAACACCCACTCAGGGTCAAGTGCCGTAAACACCACACACCCATGAAGGAACAGGGGGGGACAGGGGATGTTCTGCGAGTCCTGATCATGGCAGTGGCACCCAGGTACATACAAAAGTCAGCCGCACACACGATGGATGGATTTTACTGTGTGGAAATTATATCTCAATACAGTTGACTTGCAAATAATAAAATTGAGGCAGAACATTCATGCCTTTGGTCCCTTTAATTCCACAGGTAGGAATTTATACTAGAAAAATTATGAGCAAAGATTTAGCTGTAAGGATGATTATCGTAGTTTTCTCTCTATAAATTATGTTTAAATGGTAGCACATGTGCATGGTTTTTTTAAGGCAAATGATCTGAAAGAGTGAAAAGTCGGTGTCCTTCCACATCTATCCCACCCCCTTCTCTCCCCAAAGTTTACCATTTTCTCATCCATCCACGCAGAGATATCCTAACATGTGCTTGTCAGTACCCCTTTTAAAAACACAAGTGGCAGTGTGCTTGCGTGCTTGTGTGTGTGTGTGTGTGTGTGCGTGAGAGAGAGAGAGAGAGAGAGAGAGAGAGAGAGAGAGAGAGAGAGAGAGGGAGGGGTGTAGCTATCAAAGATTATCAGTACATCTGGGCTTCCCAGCAGCCCATCCTACAGCCTGGACAGGTCACCAGTCCTGTCCAGAAGGCCGTGGGACTGTTCCCTCTGCACTGTACAGTGTTGCAGTGAGCCTCACACTCCAGCCAGCTCCCTTCCCTAGTTCACCGCACCTTGTAGGGAAAAATCCTGGAAGTGAAGTAACTGGACCAAAGGAACAATGTTTTTAATGGCCCCAACTCCTGTTAGTACCCAAATTAGAAACAGGGACCCTAAGTATTCAATGCTAGGAGTAATTAATGTCTGGCCATATACTAACATATGAATAAATATCCATAGGATGAAATAAAATGCTGCAAATCTATTAAAATTCACATTGCAAAAGAACATCTAGTAACATGGACACACACCCAAAACAGGTGAAGAAATAACAGCACATGCAAGCCTTAAACCCAGACGCACGCTGCCATAAATCAAGGATTAGGAAGAACCAGCTTGGAGTGGAGTGACAAGGGGACAATCAAATTTTCTGTTGTAATTTCCAATTTTTCTACAGAGTAGCTATCACTTTTGGGATGAGAACAAGGGAGAAAGCACTCAGTTGTCCCGGGGACAGAACTGAGGAAGGGGTGTGCCAGGGGAGGACCCCAAGACCTGTCCGTCCTCAGGAAGGCCGGGTCAGCCGCCCTCAGTCAGGGGGAACCCCAGTGGCCCACCCCCTTGAAGTGCGGCGCTGGGTCCTCCCCACCAAGCCCCCAGCAGGGGTACCCCACCGGAGGGAGGCGGGGCGGTGGGCGTGGGCGTACCCCACCTACGGTTAGGTTAGGCCCCCCTGGAGGAAGCTGACGGGGAGCAGCTTCACCTCAGTGGGAGGCAGCCTTCCGCGCGGGGCTGCCCGGGGGAGCGGCTGTGAGCGAGGGAGTGAGCTCCCCGTCGGCGGAGGCGCTCCTCGCTGAGTCCCGAGCCGCGGAGGGACGCCCCGAAATCAAAGGGGAACCTCCGAAGGCGCCCGCGGCTCTCGAGGGGGTGTGGGGTGGGCGCTCCAGGCGCCTCCCCTGTCCGACCCACCGCGGCCCTCCCGGCTCCGGCCTCAGTTGCCCGCGGCCGCGGGGTCCGGCGCGCGCTCCCCGCCCGCAGCCCGTACCTGTAGGACGTGGTGGCCGCGGCAGGCGCGTCCGCGTCGCCGACGGGGAGCACGGGGAGCACGTAGACCCCGCCGCCCCGCCGCGCCGGGGGCTTGCCCCGCCGGCCCCCGCCCCCGGCCCCGGCCCGCGCCCCGGCCGCGCATCTCTGGGGCCCGCGGGCGCCGTCCACACGCCGAAGTCCCGCTGGTACTGCGTGAGCGGCACGGCCCGGCCCGGGGCCCGCGCGCCTGCGGGGGACGCGCCCCTGCGCGAGGCGGCGCCGCCCGGGCCCGGCTCCTCGCTCTCGAGGTCCGAGTAGCTGTGCAGGGTCAGCGGCACCGCCACGTCGGAGCGGTCCAGCTGGTTCCAGCGCCGCGCCAGGCAGCACAGGCGGCTGATGCAGGGCCACGCCATGCCGGCCCGGCGCCCGCCGCGCGGCTCCCCGCGCTCCCGGCCGCCCGCCCCCGCCCCCGCCCGGCGGCCCCGCCCCCGCGGCCCTCCCCGCGCCGCCGCAGCGCCGCCCCTGGCTTGGGGGTGGCCGTCCGGGAGGGGGGCTGGGGACAGTCCTGAGGCTCAAGGCTGGAGGGGGCGCCGGGCGGGGGAGAGCCGGGGCTGGAGGGGCGCAGAAGCGGGAGTGCCCAGGCGGGGAGGGGGGAGGGTTGGAGCCGCCTAGAGGGATTCACAAGTGTCCAACTTGAAGAATATTTTATTAATTGAATCCAAAGTTCCCTGAATGCTCTTATAAACCGGTTCTGGCTTCGAGAGGCCGAGGGCCGGGCGAGGAGAATTCCTGGCTGATCGCTCTCAGCACCCAGGCGCAGGGGTTGTGCCAGGCTGCACCGCAGGGGCTCGCGCGCACCGGGGGCACAGAGGGGAGGTGCAGTGATGAGGGGGTCAAAGGGATCCCCGAGAACACGTGTTAGAATCTGACTGCGAGTCACAGACTCTCTGCCTTTACTGTGCTAAATTTGTGATAACCAATCCAGTTTTCGTTGAGAATTGGCATTATCTTTCAATCGACTTTCCCCTAATTTTAAAATTTCCAGTTTTAAAGCATGACCACAAAGGCTTTAAAAAGTCACTTGGGGGGGGGGGGAATTCAGTTAGCTTTAGAAAGGTGCTACAAATCTTTGGCCACTGTGCTATGCAAGCCCCCCAGCCTCTGTGCATGCATTTGCATTCACTGCAGAGCAAAGCCTGGTTAATCATCCAGGGAAAGGTCAGTTTAGTGCATGACAAAGCATCAGCAACAACTTCCTGGTTACTGTCAAAAAGCTCCCTGAATATTTGACAAATGTGTTTGGTGTGCTTTGCAGATCAATTACTAATAATGCTGTTGAGACAGCATTAATTATCCAGCGCTCAGTATCAAGCACATTCTTGGCCTCTCCCATCTGCATTTCAGAGGACTGCAGCACAGCTCCCGCCAGTGAGAATCCAGATTCCTCTCCCAAACCATTGCCTGTCTTAGCCAGAGTCACAGCCCCGCACCCACAAAGAATCCCTGATTACATACCTCTGAGGTACCTTTGTGAAAACACCCTGAACCAGGGTCCTGCACCCAGAAAATATGATGACTAAAATATCCTGCAGAAAACAAAATGCAGTTCTCGGTTTTACTTCAAACAACAAAGAAGTAAAACCTCCCTCTGTGCTTGGACATTGCTGGCACGGAGCTGTGAGCTGGAATCGGGAACAGCAGGAAGTAGGAGGCAGACTGCCCACCTGGAGTGAAGGAGGGTGGCTGGGATGGGGAAGGGTACACCAGAGGCAGCAGAGGCTGGACCATGGGGGGCTTTAGTGGCACCACTAAGGAGATTGAAGTTTTCCTAGGCAGCAGCAGAGAATGACTGGTGTTTATAGCACTCTGTGGCCATAAAGAGACATTTTAGAGATCAGCTGGAGAAGAGTCTCACAGACCAGGTTAGAGATGAGGGACTGAAGTAAAGCAGGCACTGGGAGCAGAGAGGAGCTGGATTGTATAAATAAGCCAGGAGTGACATTTGGGGGGCTTACACAGTACCTAAAACCATGCCTAGCATGCCAAAGACACATTTACTAGGTACTGAGATATTCAGTGAGTGCCATGCTCAGAAGACATCTTCTTGAAGGTAACAAGCCCCAAGTGCACTCACTCAAGAAGTGTATATAGAATGAGAGAAAACTGCAACTAGGGGGTGCATTCCAGGGGACCCCACACTTAAGCAGTGGAGATGCACAGCCTGAGAGGCACATGCGCCTGGCAGAGTATTGTGGGGTGATCTGTGTCAGCAGAGAAGTGGAGATGACCAGGTACAATATCCCAGTGGGCAAAGGAGGGAGAACAACCACACAGGATGACACTAATGCTTGGGCTTCCAGAGCTGGGTGGTCTCTGACTTTCAAGGTCCCTCCAGAAAACACTACACTCTTCAAAGTCTCCAGCATCAAGGGGTATTATGAACAAGGAAATGCTTTGGGGATTTGACCTTCTAAATTTTCCTTCCCTAACCACCCCAAAGCAGGCAGAGAAATGTGTCTTCATCTGTTTTCCTGGCCTGCCCACGGTAAGACATGAATTTCATTTTGGACTCCATATGGACGTCCATGTGATCTCAGCCTCCCATCTCTGCAAAACACTTCTTGCCGCATCTGTATGTCACAGGATTAGCATTAGTATTCAGAAATGTGAAAACACATCAGCGTGACCTTGGGCAGCACATGTTCGTGCTCTCTCTCTCTCTCTCTCTCTCTCTCTCTCTCACACACACACACACACACACACACACACACACACACACCTGCCTGCCCTAGATCCTTACTGGCAAAATGAGGGCTGGCTCAAAAAATTCTCTCCCCAAAAGGAAAAAAAAAAAATCCTCTCCTATAAATGACAGTTTAGAATAGAATCCTCTGCCTGTAATAGCTGGTACTTCACAGTAGGAAAATCTGGTTTGGTGGAAAAAGGAACTGCCAGATCCTGGACAGTCCCTGTGGGCCGGGCACAGGGTGAGGGGGCGAGGCTCCGGCTCCTTTCCCTAGAGCTGATGCTCAGTGCCCGCGCCGCCCAGCCAGAGCCTCCCCAGAGCAGAGGCTTGAGATTTCGCAAAAACTTTTGAAATGACCATAAGACTAAAATCTCTTCTGGAAATCCTTTCAAGAAAAACTTAATTCTCAATTACGTTTCCTAGAATTTCAACTACAAGGTTAAGAAGTGGGCGGCGCCCTGACGCTGGCCACTATCTGTTTCAGCAAGACGCTTCGATTCCTAAGATGCAATTAGGCTCAGACTCCAGTCTGAATTTATCCAAGATACTTCCTTCTGACTCTTAATTTAGCTACAATTTTAACCTAGAAAGCAAATCCTAAAAATAGCTTGTTGTATATGCCACTCACTGCCAGAAAACATTACCTTTCTTGGGAAAATTTAGAAAATACCGCAGTTATTTCAGGCCATGCCAGAGAGGAGATGTTCTCAGCGTTTATCTGTCAGCGGAGGAAAGCCAGGGGTGGGCAAGTCAGTAAAAGGAGCAGAGACGCGCGAGCCAACGCACAACACAAGCAGGTCTCTCCCCATGGGCCCTGCCCTGGCTCCCGGCTCTGACCGTGTAGGCGTAACGGCAGCAAGGTGCTCTTCAAAACAAGATGCACACCCTTTGTTTACAAACTAGAGATATAAACCTTTATTTCACAACTTTGTCATAATTCACTTTCGAGAAAGACATGCAGGGGAGACTGGGTGCTGGCTATCTTCCAGGCAGGAGCGAAGATGAGGTCGCTCCGGGGCTGAGGCTTCCGGGGTTTCAGGCCGCGCAAAGCAGATGCGCAGGTGCTGACCAACTCCAGTTACTTAGAGCCGCCACCTCCTTTTTTGGGGCCATTCGTTCTCATTTCATGCCAAATTTTCACTAGAGGCTCCCTGTTCTTCCAGATGAGTTCATGACCATAAGTAATATACCATCTGGGGGAAAGAAAAACAAACCAACATTCAAACAGTATGACATACAAATTGGAGTGCTGTGGTGAAATCAGGTTGACATTTTAAAAATGGAATGCCACTGCCAATTACTATCTACCTTATTATAATAGCTGGCTAACTGATTTAATGTAACTCAATGATTTACAGAGTACGGCTTACCTCTCACATACATAGTATGTAAAGGGACAAAGTCAGATGGGCCCGCCTGTGAACGCTGACAGGTGTGGGTACTTCACACACGCTACACTTTTGACTCACATGGGTTACCACAGACTTGAAGAACCCAAGTCTGAGAGGAAGTCATTTGCCTGAGGTGCTAACAGCTTCTAAGTGGTCAATTAAGGACTCACGAGTCTGAGTGATGCTATACTCTGACTCCTTTTACTAAGGATAAGAAATGTCAGCATGAGAGACTACTGAGGATGGCTATCATAGCTTAAATGCCATTTGTCATCTCTTGCAGGGCTATACCAAGGTGGTCTGCTGATCCCAAGCTCTGCCCGCCCTTTAAAATACAGCTCAAATCCCCACCTTCCTGTTAAAAACGGCCTAAAAGTTACCAGCAGTAATGAGGTGAGGAAGCTGAATCACTGAGAGATTTATAACTTAACTTGCTCAGCGTGCACAACTAGGAACTGCCAGAACAGAGACTAGAACCCAAATCTGATCCCAAAGCCTGTACTCTGAGCAGCAACCACAGGCAAGGAAAAGAGCGAGCACAAATGAGAGCAGCCCACAGGTCCCAGCTACTGAGGCCGGGTGCGCTACTCAAAGGGCCGCACAGACCCCAAGGAGAACTCAGAGAAGGCACCTAGCTCCCCCTTCCAGGGCTGGCGGAAGGCTGGGAGGGTTTCTGGAGGAGGTAGGGGTGATTTGGAATGTCTGTTAATCAAAATTTTTATTATTGAAACCTTTATTTTGGCCCTGATTGTTCCCAAACAGATTTCATGTTCCCTGAGGCAGAGACCATATTTTGTTGATCTTTGCATCTCCCAGACACCTAACTAAAAAAAACCAAAACACAAAACGAACAAACAAAAAAATCACTGCTCTATCTGGCTCCAATTCACATAAGAATAGCAGTTTAGTGTTTTAACATATTTAACGTTCTTAACGTGTGTTTTTCTATAATAAAGGGCTTGAATTATACCTGAATCTAAATATTCACCACAGTTAATCTATACATGTATACAGTTAAATTTTAGTTAAAATCAGAGTCACCTTTAAAATTTTAAAAGTTAAAGAAAAAACAGTAAATTTATAGAAAATGGCTTTTTAAAAGCATGCAAATTCATAGGCATCTAACAAAATTCTTTTGAGTTAAATTCTCTGGTGAACTTAGAACAAGAGATTCAAATGCAATTGTAAAACTCTCACAAGAAATGAATCACTTGTTGGGAACTGCCCATTAATAAAGAGACTCTGAAATAAGCTGATTTAAAAGATCTGGGGAGACACTTTATTTTACAGGTACACTGTTCTGAGTATACTCATCAGTCCAAATGTAACTGGTCATTGGGCTAAATTAAAATTAGAACACCTCAAAGTGACCACTTCTGAGGTATTGTTTTGCTGCTGCAGCAGCCGCACAGTTAGTGCTCTGTCTGCAACTCCAGGGCTCATGTGAGCTCTGTGACCTTGGACAAGTTCCCTTCTTTTAAACAGTTTCCTTTGTGTAAAAGTATTAAATTTTAAGAGGACTTTAAGAGTATTAGTCCAGAAAGTGCAAACTTTCAGTTGAAAGAGAGTAAGTGCCAGGAAGGCGCTGTACAGCTGGTGATCATAACAATACTGTATCACACACTTGAAAGTTATGAGTAAATCTTAAAAGATTTCATCACGAGAATAAAAACTGTAGCTGTGCGGTGATGGATGCTGCCTAGACTTGTGGTGATCCTTCACAACCATAGATCATTATGCCAAACACCTAAGATGAATACAATGTCATGTTGTCAGTTAGACAGCAAATAAATCAAATCCTTAGAAGAATATTACAAGGGACAGAAGCAGGGGCAGCCCTTAGCTTAGTTAGGCACAGAGAAAATATCCAGTGTATGTTTACGTTAGCTACAAACATTGTCGCAGGCCAGCATGAAGACTGTACAGCTTGGTTGAGGATATTAAGTCAAGGATATGTGCAGTAGGACACCAGTGGGAGCTTTACCATCAGCAAAAACTAAAAAAATAAAAGTTCAGATTACTAAATCTATATTAAAGATGTTAGAAAAGATGAAGTCTGGGTTTGACTGCGATCTAGAGTAAAGGAAAAATAGCTGAAATCAGAAATAGCAAAGAGAAATGATACCTGTTAGATCCTAAACTTCAAAATTCATTTGATCCAATTATTTTCAAAATGGAAAAAGGTCATCTAACTATAGTTCAGAAGAATAAAATCCCGCTGGGGAGAAGACCCTTTATACTTGGAAGGAGCCAGATAAATTTAGAGTTCATAAAACAGAACCCCTTTTCGTAAGTCTTTGTGTTTCTCATACTGTAATATCAGGTCAGTTTCTACTATTTATAATGTGCTGCTGTTAAAGCTAGAACTCACATATGCTATTCTTTAATCATCACTGAAAATTATAAAAGGCATAATGGCATTTAGTTCCACCGCCTACTGGGCAAAACTGCTCCATTTAGAATAGATTTTTCTACCTTTTTTTTAAAATTAAGAAACTTAAGTTTTCATTGTCATTAAACAAAGCAAAAACCAAGTGAGGGCAAAGGCAACATCTATGGAAGAAGAAACAAGTCACCACAGGACCTAGCACGTCAGAGGAGTGAAAACTCTGCTGAAGGGACACTGTGGTCAGCTGGGCTCTAGGCGTCCTGAGGACGTGCCATGACAGAACTGCGAGGGCACTGAACAACCACAATGCAGCTAGTTATACTCAATATAGTGTGACGGGGGCAGGAAGGGCTTTGGATGTGGGTTTAAATCTCTGCTCTAGCAGCTTTTCTGCCCACCTGCGACTATGCAGGTGCCTCTCTCTTTCTCTCTCCTTTTCCTAATAAACCTGTCCTTTTAAAATGTAAAAAAAAAAATCTCTGTTCTGCTACTTAAGAGCTGTTTGAGCTGGGAAAGATCATTTCCTATCAGTAATCAGAGGTGATGATAGTATAATGTAAGATCATTGCCTGTGTGGGCCTACCTGGCGGTGCAAGGGGTTAAGACACAACCTACGGGGCCTCCCTGGTAGCACAAGGGCTTAGTTAAGACACAACCTATGAAGCCGTCCGCAGCCTCTGCAGTATGAGTTCAACCCCCGGCTGGCCAGGGAGCAACCCACATGGTGCAGTAGACCTCCCCTGTCTCGTCCACTGCTCCCCTTAGCAGTGTACTTCAGTCAATCTGCCTGTTCTGTTCCCCACTCTGTCTCTGGTGAATCCTCTCACCCCCCCCACACCTCTGGTCTGTAAAAAAAAGATTATTGGCAGTGTGGCATATAACAGATGTTTGGGAAGTGGTCACTACTGGTTGTTGGCCATACTCTAGTCCCACAGCGAAGATGCACATTCACTGTGCACACTCGCTATGTGCAGGGAACAGCTCCGCCCAACAGCTCTGGTATATCTGCCTGGTGAGTTGGAGGTCAGTGAAGTAGTTGGGTAGAGGACGGCAATAAGGCCTGAAAGGAGGGACAGAACAGATTGGGGTGCTGGGAACCATTTCTAAGAGGGGCTAGGGACCATGTCAGATCAGGTGATGGGGTGACTTGAGGTTAGAGCTAGTCTCTCCCTACAAAAGACCGAAGTAGGGGCAGGGCTGACATCACATGGGGAAACTGAGCAAAGCCTAAAGAAAGCATGCTAAGGTTTCCTCCCCCTCAAAACTCCATTTGCTCCTTCTTCTACCACAGAGCTAACTGCCTTCCTTGGGGGGCAAGGAAGATGACCCCAGAAAGCAGCTTAGCAATGGATTACATTCAAACTTACATTCCAAAGAGAGCTCCCCCGAGATGCGCTGCATGATCAAAAAATTTCCATCCTAGGATCATTCCTGCTGTATCCATGGCGATAATGGCTTTTAGGGCCTGAAAGCCAGCAAAAGAGAACAGAACCGGTACAACTTTGATTCCTCTAGCACTGACATTTCTAATATAAGGGCAAGAATTCGGTCAATACAAAAACATCACCACTGTCCCCAGCATTTCTACTCACATTCCCTGCTGTGAATGTGAACATTGGAAGGAAGATAATGGCGAGCCTCCCATCTGGGATCTTAGTGCAGACAGCTGCAAGGACGGTCATGATCGCGCCCGACTGCAAGTGAACACATGGGGGGAAACGTGAAAAACTCAACATGCAAGTGCTTAGTAATTACAATGTCTAAAATAGCAGTACTTGCTCCAGAAAGTCTCTGCGCCACAAATTTCTAGGTAAGCACAGAGCTTCCTTTCCAGATTTCTCATTACAAATACCATTATACTAAGTAAATTGTTTTCTTTAGATTTAATCATGGATGAATTAAAGTACTGGGGGATGATAATTTTATCCTGCCATGCCACTTACAAGATACTGATGGTTGAACTTCCTTTTCCACATTTCTTCCTACATGTGCCTTGCTGTAGTAAGCATTCTAAACATACTTGCACTGCCAATCAGAAATAGGTGTGTTATCACCATTTTATATGGGGAAAATAGGGTTCAGAGAGGTAATGTAATACTTCTAGGAATCACAGAGAAGTGGTAGAGCTAAGATTCAAACCCAATCTAATTCCAAATACATGCTGCCATACTCTCTTGGACTTCAGTTTCATACCTGTGAAATATAAGCAACAATTGTCTGAGGGCATATAAAAATGCCCAGATCCTCTTAGCTACTGAGAAAAGTCTCCTCTGTCTCAGAACCCCTAGTCTTCTAGAGCATACTCAACTCTTTCAGTATATACTTCTTATTCATTCTAGTGTTCCTCACTGCCTTCATATAACAGGTGATTAGTTGACAAATAAGGTAGAGAATATGATTTAAAATATATAAATTATACCAACACCAAATTTTACACAGAAGACAAGATAGTCCATAAAAACAGGGAGCATTTAAGTTAAGAAAGCATGCTAGTCATAGACAAGATATAGGCAAAAAAATAAAGTATATATAAATCTGAAGAGCACGCAAGTTAGGGGATGATTATTTTACATAAGGATTCTTTTTCAAAATTGAAACTTTTAAGAATTCCTTTCACTAAGAAATTCCCTATTTGAATGCATTTAAGTCCACTAGAATTTAAATATGTAGAACTTGAAGTGTACTTTATTATTATTTTTTAAAGATTTATGTATGCATACAAGAACTGGGGTACAGGCCAGAGGTGTGGGGGGCGGTGAGAGGATTCACCAGAGACAAAGCGGGGAACAGAACAGCAGACTGACTGAAATATACTGCTGTGGGGAGCAGAGGGCAAGGCACTGAGGTCTGCTGCGCCATGTGGGTTGATCCCTATAGTGCTGAGACTTAACTCCTTGTGCCACCAGGGAGGCCCTGAAGTGTACTCTTTAAAGAAATATTATGTAAAGATTTCCATGTGCCTAGAAATCTGCCATTAAACTCAAAAGAAAACATATTTGCAGTTTTTTAAAGTACCCAGAACATAAGTTCCAGAGGGCAGAGATTTTGATCATCTTGCTCACTGGCAGCATCCCCAGTCTCTAGCAGTGTCTAGTAGTCTAGTCTCATAGCAGATGCTAAAATATTGTCTAAATAGGACAGAGTGCCAGATTCAAATGTGTAATTGGTTAGAATTTTCCAATGCTAGTTTAGTCTCTCTGGTTTATGGGGATTGGATACCCACTGTCCTTGACTACTCCCTCTGACAGATAATAATCTGTTCCAGTAAGTATATATAAATAACCCATGGTTGAAAGCTATCATCTAAAATTTACAGAGGTCTACAAATGTATAAAATCTAAATTAGACAGTGAGCAGTTAAAAGTACTGATATAATGTTAATTTCCTGGCTTTGGTAATTGTAGCATAGTTTTGTATTTAACAGTAGTGGAGGGTACATGAATGGGAACTCTTTTTGGGCAAGTTTTTTGTACATTTGAAATTATTTCAAATGAAGTAAAAAGTAAATTTAAAATACTTATATTTAAAATACTTACCGCACCAAGTGATGGTCCATATCTTCCTGTGGCGACTTTACATACATAACTGACAAAATTAGAAATAACACCTGAAAAATAAGTCACATTTTAACAATTTTAGTGAGAGGTAAAAATAGTTCCCACGGAGACTGTCAGATTTCTTCCTAGATCACTGGAAGTGTGCAGGCACAGATACTTATCCTACCTATAAATTCAGCAGTATTAGATGAGCAGGCGAGACAGGAGAGGTCTGCTGCACCATGTGGGTATCTCCCTGGCAAGGCCAGGCATCAAACTCATGCTGCAGTGGCTGGCAATAGCTTGACAGTGCTGTCTTTAACCCCTGCACCACCAGGGAGGCCCCCCCTATGTTGTTTTAAATGAATTGGTTTTAGGAATAAATTTTTATGCCTTGTAGTTTTCATTAGGTAAAGCTTGTAAGCAGAGAGTTAAGTAAAATTTGACCAACCATTGCCCACTTAGCAGCCACTAAGAACCTAGAAAAGTACACCACCACTTTCTAGTTGAAATAAGGAAATAACATTTCCAGGCTCATGACCAGGATGGCTCTATGCTAACATTTACACATGCAATAAAGGCTCAAAATAAATTCATTCTCAACAAGCTTATTGGATAGCTCTGATCTAAAGTGTTCTGGAAACGAAACACACCAGAGGGAATGGGGCTGAAGATACAGATAACTGAGACAGCTGGGAAGTCTGGGAACCACTTATATATAAACAGGCAGCCCTGAGCTAAAAAAACCATGCCTTGTGAGATACAAATGATGTTTAAATTCTACACTAAACCTTAACTCTTACCTAACCTGACTAATTCAAAACTAAATAGCCTAAATAATTCATATAAGAGGAAATCAGTTTAATGAGAGGAAGGAAAGACAACGGCTTCACCAAGTCTGTGGTACACTTCTCTTTATACAATTTGAAACACATATGTACTTACTATATATACAGCGAGGCTATAATCACTACCTTTGTCCTTTCTCCAGAGAATGTCTCTATTTTTCAAGGCCCAAGAATAAAGCTTATTACCTGCAGATAAGTACACTGCCATGAACTGCTCTTGACCCAGAATGTTTACTATGCTGGAAGAGAAGCTCCACAAAACATACATGTTTGCTGCCATGTGAAATAAGGAGAAATGACTGAATGTTGACAGCAGCATTGGAGAACAAAGGACCTCTACAAGAGAAAGAAAAAAGGTCTGATCATTGTGAAACACACAGCCAGTAAAAATTTTCTATTTTAGACTTTTTTCATTATTATTATGAACAAATCAAACATGGAAAACAGAATCAGTTATCACGTTTACATAAAATGACTTAGAAATTTTTCACAGTGGTAACAAGCTATCTTATGTATTTTTAAAAGATCTATTTATTTATTTATGCATACAAGAATTGGGGTACAGGCCAGAGGTTTGGGGGGTGATTAACCAGAGACAGAGTGGGGAACAGAACAGGTAGACTGAAATACACTGCTGAGGGGAGCAGCGGGTGAGACAGGAGAGGTCTGCTGCGCCATGTGAGTTGCTCCCTGGCTGTGGATGCGAATAGCTTCATAGGTTGTGCCTTAACCCCTTGAGCCAACAGGGAGGTACAGTAATAAGCTATCTTAAATCTCATTTCTATTAAGTAAATAAACAATAAAATTCTCAGTTCAATGAAAACAAGTTGTTCCTGTGCAAAAGTAGAAAATTTATATATCTACTACATGCAAGGCACATTTAGGCACTATGGCATATCAGTAAGAGATGAGGTCCCTGTTCTCAGGAGCTTTCAGCTTACCCTCTGGATTTTGCTTAAAATTGTTGATAACTCATTTTTCTAGTGGAAAATTAACATACAGCATATTTCTTTCATATTACCTCTATGTCAAAATCCAAGTCAGACTTACTTGACGCTGGATTGGAAGTGAAGTATCTGATCATTGTCCGCTGCAGAGAAGGTACTCTCCATAAACAGAACACAAAGACATTTGCAGCTATGATTCCTACAAAATAAATACCTGTAATTAGGGAAGTAAAAACAAGAACTGAGTCTGATCTAAAGCACACCTGAATACATTCTTCCCACAATTACATAAAGGTACTATGTATATTGGATTGTCGGAAAAGTCATGACATATTTTTGCTTGAAAAACATAGGAAAAATACATCAAAACTTTTCTGACAACCCAGTATCTGGAGGGGAAAGTGAGTAAGGGAGTAAGTAAAATGAATGTTTTTTAAAGTACCAAAATTGCCATGGATGGTAGAATCAAAGAATTCCTGGAAACTTGCAAATGTTCAAGGAGTTAACTTCCTTCACTCAGACCCATATTTTTTTTACTTCTTTAGAGCAGTTTACTCTTCTCAATAAGCAATCACATCTACCGTTACTTTTAATGGTGGTTAAAATCAGAGACAGAAGTGTGCGGAATTATGTTCTTTAGCCAAGAGCATGAAAGCTTTACAATCACTTATTTGATAAGTTAGTTATCCACCTATGGATAACTTATGGAAACATCTACTGATCATCTCTGTAGATGGTCAAATGTTTGAGAAAAAGACTTATTTAATAAGAATTCGGGAATAAAGTGCAATATTTTTGTAACTTATTTTGAAAATGTTTACACATGGGAGTTGAGTTACTGTTTCATTTTTCTGCGAGAGTTGGTATTTTGAGAACTACCATTAAATTGAGTATGTTTGTTTAAAAGTAAAATTAACTAGTCACATTTTATGAAATGTGAACTTAATTAACTGTTATTAAAAACTACAAACTTTTAAAAAATACATTAATATTTTTAATCACTGTAACTCCTTGCACATAATAAACTCTCACCTACTTGTTGAATTAAAGGAATTTAAACCTTCATTCATTCTTCCAATATCTTTTTTTTTTTTTTGTGGGACCCTTACTGGAGGCCGGGGTTCGAACTGGCGCTGCAGAGGCTGCGGGCAGCCTCACAACCCAGCGCTCAACCCCTGCGCCACCAGGGTAGGCCCACTCCTCCAATATCTTTAGGTAACCTCTTCAATAACAAATTCCTGTCCATTGCTTCACCTTGAAGTTACCTTCAATGTCCTTCTTTGCTTATTTCTAGGTTCTCGGGTATCTCCTGGCATTCTTAGTCTTTTAAATCTTAGCTCTCCCCCTTGAGAGGTAGGAAAGAATACTACCATTTTTAATAGGTATTAATACACTTTTCCCATTTTAATATATGAAATGAATACGCATCTTACAATTGCTAGTGTCACAGATAACTGGCAGCACATGTTTCTCTCCATAGCGCATTAAATGGTGTTGTACTGCATTTAAATGAATTAATTCCATCAATTTTGTTAGATATCTTACTAGTAGGACCTTTAACAGCTATTATATAAAATCTTTGGTAAATAGCTAACTAGAAATCTTTCAAAGGCGGTGACAAAGTGTTTATAGAAAAAGGGGTCTTAAGCAAGGCAAGTGAAAGCACCATGTATTATTTCCCACCAAGGAAGGGCCTGGAAAGTTGGACAGGGGAGGACAATAGAGCCCCCTCAGATGGAAGGAGTGTATCATCAGGAAGTTTATCCTAAAGAAAACAAGTTGGCTCCGGTTTTTTAGATTCTTTTAGGAGCGTGAAACATCCTGAGTTTGGCTTCAGGTTTCCATGACCATAAAGATAATCAGTCAGAAAGTCTTGCCACTTTCTCCAATTGTGAGTCATCACAAAGAGAATAGGATGGGGCCCTTGACCCTGCCTGCTAGGTTGTAAATAAGCAATAACTACTCCACCTACTCTGTCAGTTCCACAAGCTACTTTCTGAAAAACAGCACACACTCTGGAAACTGCAGACCACAGCACTGCTGAGAAGCAGGGGCATATCTGGCTGAAGAGATTACAACTAAGTGAAATACTTGAAAAAGGGAAAGATAACCAAAGATATTAAGGCTAACAGTAGTCAGAGTTAACACTGCCAGGTTTCTAAACCAAATGCAAAAAGCCTTCTGGTAAATTGTGACAGAATGTTGGCAATGGAACACACAGCAGCCAAACCCCTCGTTTCACAGACCAATGATCATCAAACTTCCTTGATTAGGTATTCCATCAGTAAACAACTAACATACGTACCCAAAGTATGTATTAACACATGAACCACCATAACTCATTAAAAAACACATTAAAAAGGGCCTCCCCTGGTGGTGCAGTGGTTGAGCACTGGGCTGCGAAGCTGCCCGCAGCCTCTGCAGCGCCGGTTCGATCCCCGGTCACCGGCGAGGGTCCCATCATGGCCCTCAGACCTCTCCTGCAGTGCCCACTGCTTCCCTCAGCAGTGTATTTCATCAGTCTGCCTATTCTGTTCCCTGCTCTGCTCTGGTGAAATCTCTCACCCTCCCGCGCTTCTGACTGTACCCAGTGCTTGTATAAATAAATAAAATCTTTAAAAAAAAAAAAAACACATTAAAAAATTCAAGTAAAATGCAGGCATTTTATTCCTTGCATAATCATCTCATAACCCAGTCACAGAAGAGAAAATGAAAGTGCTAAGAGGTACAAGTTTTCAGAGAGCTGAATTCAGGGGCCAAGCCAAAATTCTTACTCTAGTGTTCTTTCTACTAGCAGAGACATGGGTAATCAGGACTTTGGTCACTTCAGGACTTCAGACACCAGAAGGTTCCTTATCTGAGAAATAGCACTGGTTGGTCCCCTGCAGCAGTTGAGCAGGAGAGGATGTGTGGTACTTACCACAAATAACTTGGCAGTGGATATAAAAAGGTTGCGGTTACCTTAGTGCATCTTTACCAAAAGGATGCATTAGTCCTAGGCAACACTGCACATCCTTTGCTGGTATGGGTGAAAGAGTGCAGCAGAAGTGACTCTGATAGCCTGGGCAAGAGGCCTATCCTCTCAACCTCTCTTCAATTATTTTTTTTTACTTGATTATAGTTTTATTTATTTTTTTAATTTAAATATTTTATTTTATATAATTCTTACATCTTTTTTCATCTTTGCACAATGTATGCATTATATTGGTTATATTCCCCATGCAATTACACCTCCCCCCCTTATTTTGACTCGTCTTTCCTTTCCCTGCGTGCCCCCACCGCCCCCCGTAGTGTGTCTCTAGTTTATAGTTGCTTGTTGATTTTGATTTATACTTTGTATTGATTAGTCTTTTTCCTGGCCTCTTATTTAGGTTTTCTAAATTCCTGCTATGAGTGAGACCATCCAGTATTTTTCTTTTTCTTTCTGACTTATTTCGCTGAGCTTGATCCCTTCTAGCTCCATCCATGTTGCTGCAAACTGCATGTGTTTATTTTTTTGATTGCTGAGTAATATTCCATGGTGTATATGTACCACATCTTCTTGATTCAGTCATCTATTTTGGGGCATTTGGGTTGCTTCCATAGCTTAGCTATTGTAAATTGTGCTGCTATAAACATAGGGGCGCAGGTGCCCTTTGGAATTACTGTTTCTGTGTCATTTGGGTAAATACCTAGCAGTGGAATTGTTGGATCATATGGAAGCTTTATGTTTAGTAGTTCAAGAAACCTCCATACAGTTCTCCATAGTTCAACCTCTCTTCAATTAAATGGAGTAATAGAATCTACCATAAAGAGTTGACTGATACTTAAATAACAAGAACAATTAAAAGTAGCAGTCGCATGGTGACAACCCAATAAATGAAAAATATGGTAGAAAGGAATGCCTTTCCAGGTCTGCCACTTAGTAGCTTTGGGGGTCTGTGGCATTTCATCCCTATCACTTCAGATTCTTCATTTTAAAAATGAAGATAGTATTTCCTACCTCACAGCCATTGTGAGACTTAGATCAGAGAGTACATGTACAATGTATCTAGTATGCAGATGCTCAAAAAATAATGGTTCCCTCTCCCTCCTTTCCCTTGAAAAGAACAGCTTAGGGTCTATGCTTGCATCCTCATTTGGGAAGAGTGTTACTTGCCTCCTCTGACTCAGTAACTTCTTGAACAAGCTTGGCATTATTGATTTGGGAAGTTGCTGCTGTCAGGGGATAGCTTTGCCAAAGAGCTACACTGGATTGATTATATCAGCAAAAATAATGAATCTCGAAAACTCTCTCCTTCTCCAAAGTAATGAAAAAATTGCCAGATCAATTTTTTCAGAACTCTGGAAACTAGTCAAGGGCTTGGAGAAAGGCAGCATTTATTTAAGAAAAATGGCTTAATCTCAATATGAACAGTGAAGTTTGAAGCATTTTAACTTGCCCTAGTTCTAGCTCCTGCTTTACAGCTATGAGACAATCATGAAAACAATCCCCATTCCCGGCGCAGTCTGGCAACTACCAGGGGTAGCAGAAAGGAAGCTAGACATGACCAGTCCAGACTCTGAACAACCACAGCGGCCAAAGGACTAAATTCAAGTGGTCCTGACCTCAGGTTCCTTAGGAACCAAAAATACAGGTAGGGGGCATCCTGTCAGCCTCAGAGAGTGGCTACAACTTCCTTCCCAGGTAACATCTACATAACTAGTTAAGGGCCTGTCCCACAGCTTCCTGGAATCAAGAGGAAATCCAGAAAGACTATCCATCTATCCTTCCATGGGAATGGAGACAAAAGTTCATAACTATTATGGGAAAATGGAAAGGATGGGGCAAATTCACAAGGAAGGCAAAGAGTTTTATAGTAATCAATAACCACAAAAAGAGGTTATTATTTCCCTGCACCATTCCTACAGATGAGAATCTCTCTCTCTCCTGTTAGCAACTTTTAGAAATCAGTAAGACTTATTTACACTTCACACATTGTTTGGAGGGTGTTTAAATTGGCATACAACTTCTTTTAAAACATCTTGACAAAATACAAAATTTTAAATTACATATTCTTTGACACTTTAACTCTATTTCCAGTAACTTACCCTAAAAATACAATTGTACAAGGTGCAAAGATCTATATGAAAGGATATTCACTGCAATGTTATCTATAAGGCAAAAGACTGAAAACACCCTAAATGTCCATTTATAGAAGACGTGTTAACATATCTGTTACTACCTGGATTTCCCTTTTTTTTAACCTGCATGCTAGTTACATAGTTATGTTCAGTTTATAAAAATTAGTTACACAGGGCCTCCCCGGTGGCACAGCGGTTGAGCGCTGGGTTGCGAAGCTGCCTCGCAGCCTCTGCAGCGCCGGTTCGATCCCCAGCTGCTCCCCGGCCACCGGAGGAGGGTCCCACATGGCGCGCAGACCTCTCCTGCCGCCCGCTGCTCCCCTCAGCAGTGTACTTCGGTCCTTCTGCCTGCTCTGCTCCCCTCTCTGGCTCTGGTGAATTCTCTCACCCTCCTGCGCTTCTGACTGTACTCAGTGCTTGTATAAATAAGTAAATAAATAAAAATAAATCTTAAAAAAAAAAGTACCTTCTTATAAAAAAAAATAAAAATACATTGTCTAAAAAAAAAATTAGTTACACATTTGACATGTGCATATTTTTTTACACATATTATGTCAATAAAATATTTTAAAAGACTACAATAGGTCTGCTTTTATAGATATAGAATGTCATTTAAAATATTAAGTAAAAAAAAATCAGGGAACAGGAGTATGCACTGCATGCTGTCATCTGTGTTTAAACAACAGATATAAATGCTTATATCTAGATAGATGCCTTGGGAGAATACACACGTGATTGAAAAGACAATGGCTATTATGGGGAAGGAAACTGCAGAATTGTGAGTTTACAATGAGAGAAATTTATTTTTCACTTTATATACCCTTCAACACTATTTTAAACTGTTACCATGCACATCTATTCATTTTACGTTATTATACTTCATAGCTACTACTAACCTAAGTAGCCAAAAAAGGTTCCCTTTCTTTCCCAAGTGCCAGACTACTGTCCTGGGGCATTTTGCTACAATTTAGACTACGAATCAGCACCCAGGTACTGGGAGGCAGCATGGTTTACCTAAAGGTGTTTGCTAGAGTAGAAAATGAAAGGATGTAACAAAAAGCTTATTATTTAACTAAGAAGTGAGTCTGTTTCCCACCTCCACCCCTTTCTAGCTGTGTAATCTCAGACACGTTATTTGATCTCTCTGAGCCCCAACTGCCCCCCAATCTATTGGGTAACTGAGGATACCACTAACAGAGCTCTCATAATTAAGATTTTTTTTTTGTTATTGTTTTGTTTTTACTTTTTCTTCTTCATAATTAAGATTAATGACATAACAATAGCATGTATATGTAAAGTACCTAGCATAATACTTAAAATCTCATTGGCATTCAAGCATTAGTTGTGTTACTTTCTCCCCTTCCCCAGGATATAACTTGTCTGAAAACTGGAAGACAGAGGAGTTATAGGCAAAAACAGTGACAGATTTAAAAGTCAAGATGAGCTAGAACACTAAGTGAAACACTGCCTTACCAGCACATCAGGAAGAGAGAAGACCTTAGCCTGGGAGGCATAGATCAAACCTTTGAAAGGCAAAAGGGGAGAGAAAATTTGAAAATAAAAAAAATAAATAAACAAATCTTGGTAGAAAGAGAATAACAAAGAAAAAAGAATAGAGGTTTGAAGAAGGGTCAAGTGCTAACTGGCAACTCTGAAAAGAGACAAGATATAACCAAAGCACAAATTTATTTACCTTAAGAATCTTCATATCTAGTTAACTGATTAACAGATGTTGTGAAGCTAGAGTCACTACTACCAGGGTAATGATTTCCTATAAGATAGGTGACATTGTTTGAGGGGACAGTGCAGTGAATAGATCAAAGAGCATTTCCTTTAAAAGTCAAAAAGCCTTTAAAAGTCACTTGAATAACCTGACAATGATTTAAGATTTTCAGCATGATCATTTGCATTTATGTGGTTCGATGCACCTCACATCAAGTTGCTAGAACACATGTTTTATTCTCTAGTGCCATGTCCTTAAAGCAAAATGACTGATTTAACTTAGAAAAAAGCACTAGGGGAAAGAATTCAAATTTTAAAAATTATCTCCAACAGCCAACATCTCTGAATAAGAATAAGCCATTTACTGACATGAGAAAGGTTTCTAATTCTCAGATTTCTTGTGAGAAACACTGAAAATATCAAAATTAATGAAACTTTGCTACCCTAAAGAAATGTTTATTTTCTTTTCTGTCAGAAAGCAAGCAACAAACCAAAAAGCCTCTCTTAATCCCCGTGGAAAGTGATGTACTATTACAGAGCTATCTTTGAAGTTAGCATATTTATTAACCCCTCTCTGATAAATCAATTCTATAGTATGGCAATATACTTTGAAATATCTGTCCTTTTTAAGATGCCCTGTAAAGTCAACATTCATTACTCAACAGATTTTAATTAAATGACTTTACTGTGTATAAGATATGCATGAAGTACTGTAACAAAACATTTGCTCATTATTGTCAAGGATTCTACATGCACTTATATAAGGCAGGCCTTGTTAAAATCATTAAAAAGTGCCTTGAGTTCAAGAAAAAGAAAGCACTCCCTAAAGGAAGCAATATCTGAACCACTGCTTCAACACTGCATCACGTTCCAACAAGGAGACAAAGGAAACAGCTTGAAGAAAAAGGTAAGCAACTTTTCTCCACCAAAATAGTTAAAGAAAATAAGAATACCATTAATTTTAAGGATATTTGAGAAAAAGCAATATTCTGCTATTCCTCTAGGAAGATTTTTTTTCCTACCTGCACAATTGTGAAAGAACTTACAAACACATTCCTCAAATTCATCAATTGACAAAGTCCACAAAGCTTTATACAAGTGTTATTTTGAATAACCGGATCTGTTTTCCATCAAAATTACAAAGAACAAAAATAAAGTTATGGCGATATGCATGGCATGCTCACATCTAAAGATTTTATAAAACAGCATGGTGTAGTAAAGAGAAAATTGGCTTTAGAATGAGACAGACCTGGGTTTTGAAACTTGTGACCTTCGAAAAGTTCCTTCTCTGAAAGCCAGTTTCCTTATCTGTAAAAAGGGAGATAACTACCCTGTAAGCAACCCTGTGAGTTAGGGAGAGAATGTGCATAAAGCATTCTTCATGAAGAAGGTATTTAGTCAATGTCCCCTTTAATTTCTTTAACACATGAAGTAACAATTATTTATACCCTATTTTACAAACTAGGATTCTTCAGCAAAGATAGAGCATTTGATCAGCATCACAATAGATCAAATTAGAAAATAACAGACTCAGGGCATTATGCATACCTTTATGCCACATTACTTTTTATACTATTACTTTAGCCTGAAGGTACAGAGATTTTCTATGTCTTCCAAACCACTGAGGAGCATGGTACAAAAGCCATTGACTGTGACATACTGTACCTTTTGGTTTGATTTCTCTTCCCTTGAATGGCTAAAACGTGTAAGCTAACACAAACCTGTCACAGTCCGCTGGCCATCACTTAGGTTATTCCACCACTTGTTAATCTAAAACAGAAGTAAATTGCATATTACTATATGGTAAATGCTTTCAGGCTAGAAAAGCGCAGTCAGGAAGCAGATGCTTTGTGTATAAGGGATTGCTCATTTGTAAAAATCAGCAGGAAACCACACACACACACACATACAAATACACAATAAATACATGGTACAATGGAAAGCACAGGTATTTTATAGTCAGCCTACATTCTCTAGGTAATCAGAGCCACTGACTAGATGTGTGACTTCCAATAAATAACTTCCAAACTTCAGTTTCCTGATAAAATGACTAACAAAAACCTAGCAGTACAAAAACCTAGTCATGAGGACTATCACATGCATATAGCATCCACCACACTATCAGATATATACATATACACAGATATCAAGTAAATGGTTATTCACCATAGTTTTAAAATTCCATAGTTTTAAAATTCTGAGAATATTTTCTACTAATATCACCCCATTTTTTAAGGTTTAATAGTATTAAAGTTTGGAAAATAAGAGATGGAAAGACAATCTTAAACCTCTAAGGATACACACTAAAATTTTTATGGGTAAAATATGCCTAGAATTTGCTTTACAGTAACTAGTGGTGGGGAGACACAGGGAAAGGGGACAAAATGAAACAAAGTTGGCCACATATTTGTCAATCAGTGTTGAAGCTGGATGTTTAAAATTTTCTGTGATCAAAGTTTTTGAATAAAAAACATCTGAACTATGAAACTAAATCAGACTTTATAAACTAATGTGGAAAAAACAGTGTAAAAAACTTACAAAGCAATATGTGCATTGACCCATAAACAATGACTGGCTTTTGTAATTATACTTACACTGCGTATGAGCGCTCAGATCTCACTCGCTGCCTATGTAGGGGTGTGTCAGGGGTCTAGTGCTTTCACTCCCCATGTCATAGTTACATATTGTTTCAATTTTCTTTAATAGACACAGATTTTCTAATTTATAACCTACCATTTAATTATTATAAAAAATTCATGTCCAGATGAAGACTGTGAATAATGCTTGTGTCATTTTTCACCATACTTATGAAACATTTGGGTATCAAAACTTCACACAGACATGTGCTGGAAACCCGTGGCTTTCTAAGGGACCCAGGATTATGGAATAGAAGAGTTTTCCTAGTTTCTCAAACACACTGTACTGAATGAAAATCACTACTAGTCACAGTTTTGGAACACTGTCAGACATAACTTTGTGAATACTTATTATAATGTAATACCTAAAGAAGAATATTAAAGTGCACTGACTTAACACCTATTGATCTAACATTAACTAAAAACTAAACTAAAAACACATCGCAATCAGATTTCAAATATGATAAACTAGAAGAAAGCCATGTTTATCTTTACCTCCTTTCTGAAGTCACCTTCTTTTTGTGGTCTTATACTATCCAACCAATCAGCTTTTATGCCATCAAAATAACTCTGGACCCTAGATTTCAGTGATTCATATTGCCAAATAGCAGCTGATCCAAATGCACAACCTGTAAACTATATAAAATTAATATTATAAAATAACTGTATACATACTTCCAAGAAAAATAGTTCATTTTTCATTGCTTTTTACAAACCAACAGAAGGACTATCTGGCACAGTGAAAACTATTAGGTAAAAGAACATTTATTTCCCACTTTTTTAACTTTACAGTACCCTAGGAACTGTTTGTAACTAGAAATTTTCAAATAAAGGCCTCCTTGGTGGCACAGGAGTAAGTCTTAGCGCTATCAAGCTATTGCCTGTCACTGCGCCCTGAGTTCAGCCTGAGTTCGATCCCAAGCCAGGGAGCTGACCCACATGGTGCAGCAGACCTTTCCTGTCTCACCCACTGCTCCCCTCAGCAGTGTGTTTCAGTGGATCCACCTGTTCTGCTCCCCACTGTCACTGAGGAGTCCTCTCACCCCTCCACATCTCTGGCCTATACCCCAGATCTTGTGTGCATAAATAAAACAAATCTTTAAAAAAAATGAAATTTCAAACAAGATTCAAAATACCACTTATTATCACTTGAAAGGGTACACCAAATAAGACGTTCATAAATTTCTTCTGCAGGGTTTATATAAGTGAACCAGATTCTAATAGCAATTATTAAACTCATGTTCTCCTATGATCATTCATACCCAGATACCCAGATGCTTTTCATTCTCCTCTACTTGTCTTTCATTTAAGGGAACCCATGTAAGACAAACAGTACTTTAACACTGCACCTGCATCAAGGCAGGTAACTCCTAGTGATGTAAGCTCTTACCCCAACAGTAAAAAACAAAGGTTTTACAAGAGTCCTTATAGGGTAGGGAGAAGGATAAAAGACTGTTTCTTCTACAGGAGGAATCAAAGCACTTCTCTTGTATGCTTCACCACTTGTTCCTGTGTCTGATCTTCGAGGTTCAACCTTCCTGGGTGCTTTTCTGAATCCACATTTTTGCTGAATAAAAAAGTCAAACCTGTAGGGGAAAATAACAGATTACAACAGAGCTTCATCTTATACACATTAACCTCTATGAGCCTCCCCACTTGCCTGCATCATCACCACATCAGTTTATCACTCTATAGCCCCAAAGAAATTAAGTTTCCTACTCCCTGATAGGGTACAAAGCCAAAACTTTGAATGGTACTAGAGAAACAAACAACAGGAAATTTAGAGGACTCTTTTGGGAGCTGTTACTGTCTAACAATCAACAAAATAATGTGCATCGATATCCACTCAGAGTTTGCAGTCCGGTAAACAGCTGCAGGAATTCCAAGTTGTTCCTTTGATTTAGGACAGAATGGCTGCTGTTCTGTTTGAACTTCGTTATCTGGTCAATTTCCAGAACAAACATTTAAATGTAAGTATTATCCTTGAAGTCATTCCAAATTCAAACAATTATTTCCTTTCATAAGTAGTGAACATTATAAACTGATGGATTCTTCCCACTTCTCCCGCTATTTATTTCACTACCAGTTTTGGGAATGCTCAACAAAATGTTTGATGAGGGGTTTTATCACCTGATAAAGGTCATAATTATTTGTTAGAGGAATGAAGGTTGAGTCCTTACATAACTTGAGTTCCTCAAAACATATGCTACTGTGATCACACCTGCCAACCCTAACTAACTCCTTTAAAAAGATTGTACTCTGCAAATTCACTCTCCTGATGGCTCCCTTATTCTATTCCTTATTGACAGAAACTTTCAGGGCTCTCAAGGTGCCACACACTCTCCATTCTAACTCAACCATTATATACACATGAAACTTTTTCCTTTTGTAAAATTGTAACTTCACCAGGTAGACAATGTAGAGGCCTCACGCTTCCTTGTTCTCATTGTACTCTATACATACACTATCCTTCAGACAAAACTGGTTGGCAGCAGAAATTAGGCCTTCTCATCTTTGTAAACCAAGCCCTGAAACACTTTGGATTAAAAAAAAAATTCATTTCTGTGGCCCGCATGATTTATAAGTAAATGATTCAGCACACTTCTTTAGTCCTAATTTCAATGTTCTTGTCCTGCATTTCCAACTATATACTGAGTATTTTCTCCCTCCTCCTTTAAAAGGGTATATGCACAAGGGATACTTCCTCTATAAAAAAGCCCCATTTTCTGACTTCCTTATTCTCTCAGGTCCACAGTTCTCTCAGTCTTTGGGGTTAACAATCTAGAAGTCACTTTGGACTTCTCTCTTTCCTTTATTCTTACCATCCAATTAAACAAGGCTATCAAATAAAAAAAAAATGTTTTTTCATTCCTAATCTAGGATTTACTCATGCCCAAATTACAACAATGGTTTACTTAACCTTTTTTTTTTTTAAGATTTATTTATTTTATTTATACATGCACTGGGTACAGTCAGAAGTGCGGGGGGGTGAGAGAATTCACCAGAGCCAGAGCGGGGAGCAGAGCAGAGCAGGCAGAGGGACCGAGGTACACTGCTGAGGGGAGCAGCGGGCGGCAGGGGGGGGGTCTGCGCGCCAGGTGGGACCCTCGCCCGGTGGCCGGGGAGCAGCCGGGATCGAACCGGCGCTGCGGAGACTGCAGGCAGCTTCACAACCCAGCGCTCAACCACTGCGCCACCAGGGAGGCCCCGGTTTACTTAACTTTAAACGTCTTAACATGCTGCATGTTCTTCTTTCCGCATACCACTTTTCCTCAAAATTTAATAGTTCCTCAAATGCTCTCTCAAAGGGGAAAAAAAAAATCTCTCTTTAACTCTAATACAGTTCCTAGACACCTTCTCTGGCCTGGAACATTGGCATTTTCTAACAGATCACATTGTTTCCAATAATTCTCTATTCATTTTCATGTTCCATATTTTGTTAATGTGTCCCTGCTTTTTTTTTTTTTTTAAAGATTTATTGATTGATTGATTGATTTATACATACATACATACATACAAGCACTGGGTACAGTCAGAAGCGTGGGAGGGTGAGAGAATTCACCAGAGCCAGAGCGGGGAGCAGAGCAGGCAGAAGGACCGAAGTACACTGCTGAGGGGAGCAGCGGGCGGCAGGAGAGGTCTGCGCGCCATGTGGGACCCTCCTCCGGTGGCCGGGGAGCAGCCGGGGATCGAACTGGCGCTGCAGAGGCTGCGGGCAGCTTCGCAACCCAGCGCTGAACCGCTGTGCCACTGGGGAGGCCCAATGTGTCCCTGCTTTAACCTGTTTTTCATCACCCTATCAAACTCCATGTTAGTTTGGCACATACTTCCTTTTGTAACTTTTTTATTCCCTTCAAAATTTAATTCATTTAACTCCACCTCCAGGAACCCTTCCTAACTTCCCCAGACTGGGTATTTTTTTTTGTACTCCTAGAATCCCAAAGCCTTCTGTAGCTACTCTTATATTTACCTCCATTATTGCCTGCACCACAACTAGATCATCACATCTGTATTCATTATATCTCTACCACCAAGCCCAGTCCCTGATAAAGGTCTTAATTATCCATTAGAGGAAAGAAGGGGGCAAGAATGATTGTTAGTTTTATTCTGACTAACAGGCCATACTATTCAATAACAAGGAAAATCAGAGGCACCAAAATAGGAAAATAGAAGATAAGAGGTGAACAATTTCATTTTGGGCACTGCTGAAAATGCTTGAAGTCACACCAGCTTTATTCTTATAACTAAAAACTGGAACTTAAATTTCCATCAATGGGGGGAACTGATCCTCTGTGGTATGGTCATACAATAAAGAACTAGCAAAAAAACTAGCCATACAACATGGGTGAAACTGAAGACACTGTTGAGCAAAGTAAGTCAAACATTAAAGGATATATAATGTGTGACTGTGTCATTGCACTTTATGTACATGAAGCTAAGGAACAGGCAAAATAATCTGTGGTGATAAAAATCAGTAGTTTACCTCAAGTGGAAGGGATTTCACTAGAAAGGAGGGAACCTGGACTGATGGAATGCTCTTTATCTTCATTTACTGATGGTTGCACAGGTGTGTACATCTGAAAGAACTCATGGTATATACTCTTATTTCATTTTTACATTTGCTATATGTAAATTATGTCACAATAAAGCATTTTTAGCATCTGTAGGAGATCCAAATGGTATGTAGCAGACATCTAGAAACAAATGAATCACAGAAAAATGATAACTGCTACTACCACTTGCTTAAAAGGCACTTTCTTCAACATTGAGTCCACTCCACAGTTCAACTTCTCAGAAACCAGATGGTGAGGATGGGTAGTGGTGATAAAATAATTTGCCTTGAAACTTTTAATAATCCAGAATATACACTTCGATATAAACACTATTCTTTTCCAAAAAACTCTATTTTGGCAAGTGATGAACTTATTGAAACAATGCCAATGTTGTTACCAGTCTTATGAATATCCTTTAGCAAAAACAGTTAACCCAAATCTATTTCTATTTGTTTCCTCTTGCCTGCCACTTCTGCACAGGCTAGGAAAGATAAACATGTTCAGGTTTTCAACCTCTCCTATAGCCAGGGATGACCATATTACACAGAGTTCTAACAATATGAGATTTAAGAACTTGTAGGTGCCCTTTGAAAAGGTTCTGCTTACCTAATATAATGTATTTGTCACTGATGTCATCCCCTGCTCTCTTCTTTTGTCCCTTGAATAAGGATGTATAGGCTAGAGCTGGGGTAACCACTTACATGTATGAATATTTCTGAGCCACCGAGCAAAGAGTAACCTGTCTCCAATCATCTAATGCTAAGTTCTTCACTGATTTAAATAATATATTCACTTACAGTCAAAAGCATTCCTAATTTAAAGTAGCAGGTAGTAACCCTTTGCAATTGGATTTTTTATTGAATATACATATTTTGTGCACTTATGTTTTTAAAGATTTATTTATGCATAGAAGAGCTGGGGTACAGGTCAGAGACGCAGGGGGTGAAAGGATTCACCAGAGACAGAGTGGGGAACAGAACAGGCAGACTGACTGAAATACACTGCTGAGGGGAGCAGCGGGCGAGACAGGAGAGGTCTGTTTCACCATGTGGGTTTCTCTCTGGCAGGCCGGGGATCGAATCTGCAGATTGCTTCATAGTGCGGTGCTTACCCCCTTGAGCCACCAGGGAGGCCTGAATATATTTTTTATTGAATATTCCAAAGTAACCTGGAGCTAGGTCTAATAAATAAACTAACACATTACACCACACTCCCTCTCCCCCTAAAGATATGCCATACAATAAGGGTAACATGCTTCTTTTAAAGATCCTTTAAATTTTATAACCCAATGTTGTTGATTTATGAGCTTTTTCTTTTTAATTAGACCAAGAAACTGAAGGGTGAGGTTCCTTTAAATTTCCAACAGCTTAATACTACAGTATATATACTCAATCATTCTAATGAAAGTTACTTCAATAGCTCATGTATTCATTGAAGCACAATGTTTGAAAAGGCACACACACACACACCAGGGTGGGAATCTGATCTGCAACAAAGCCAGACCTTTTTGCCTAAAATAATATTTACCTTGAGAATCTCACCGTAAGTGTGAGAACACAAATAACATGTTATACAGCTTGGCCCCAGCATTGAGTTCAGATATAGAATATATTTATGTTAAGAGTGTGTATATACACATACATACACATATATAAACTTAACAGTTGACATACAGAATTTGTTGGACACAATTAAATACTAAATTTTGGCTAATTGAACATATATTCCTATTACCTAGGGTACATTCATATGCAGCAGGGACTGCAAGCTAAAAACCAGTTTATATTTCTGGTTAGGGATCCAGATATGCTCAGGGTCGGCTGATCAGATGGCACAAGAACTGAATTCGAGCAGAATTTATTGAGAAGGTAAGAAACAAGGCATCAATTATGCTAGTGAAAATGGCTGAAGCAGTGCAGTTCTCTCTTTGGTCAGCAGATCCCGATCTGGCAGCAGCTTCCCCAGCTGTCTCACTTATTACTGAATAACAAACTACCCCAAAACTTATTGTCCTATACCACAATTTATTATTT